ACTAGGCTTAGCTATATAACTACCTAATTAGGCAATTTAAATTATAGTAGGCAAATTACTATTACAACATGTTATAGGCTGATTTTAGGTGTATTCATTGCAATGCCTGTATGTCTAATAGTCTTAGTAATTTTAATTAGGGGAAAATATTAGAAGCAAATTCGCTTAGAATCTCTCGATTTACGACTGTTAATCGATTGAATACCCTACTCTCGCTCCTTCTCGTCCTCCTTTCTCACCTCTCGAAGCCAGAATTACCATCATGGAAAAACAAACTTCGTCTCCACTCATCGTAAAACTATCCGTCGAGTTAAAGCAGATGATACTATCCAACTTACCCGATGTCCTGTCTTTGCGATCGGCAGCCTTGTCTTGCCGTGCACTTTACGACGCCCTCCTCAGCGCCGAAACCATCATTACCACGCGCGTGTTGCTGAACCAGGTGGATTTTGACGTGCTCCCCGAAGCCAATATCACACAGGAGGCCTTCCGCTTGGAGCCTTGTACCGAGGAAGGTATCCAGAACTTTATCGAAAGACGTCTTCACAAAAGACAACCACCGCCAGGATCATGGAGACTCCGCGATGCGGTTCCTATGGCGAAGTTGCATGCCTGCGTAGGCGAACTGGCATCGCAGTTCATAGCCACTGCCGCAACGAAATCACCCGTGTGGGGGACTAGGCCCGCAACGCGCGCCGAAGTATCTCGCATTGAACGGGCCATGTATTGGTTCGAAACCTTCTGCAACCTGTTCCGCGGCTTTGAGAAATCGAATCCCAGACTTCTAAAACAGCTTTGGAGTGTTTATTTTCTGAACTTTTCTCCTTGGGAAAATGAGCAACTAGCCTGCGTTCATGACTACCTTGTTCAAGCCGTCTACCCTGGTATGTACTATATTCGCTAAATGTGCACATTGCTAACGAAGCAAAGCATTCAACGATATTGCAGAGCACGATATAGCCTGGGGCGAATTTAGAGTTGAGTACGGCGATCAGAGAGACTCCATATTTATTCAATACATTCTCTCACTGGGATTACAAATGATACGAAAAATTTCGAAGGCCAAAACATATGAGGCACGATAGGAGCTCCTATATTCGGGCTACCATCCTGAATTTAGAGATTATTTCCTTTATGAAGCACTAAACTGTGCGAATAGGCGAGACGATGGCATTTTTCTCTCTGGCTTCACCTCAACCGATGAGCAAACTCACATAAGGCGTCCGTTCTTTGATGACCCTGATACCGGCCCTACCGATATCTGGAAATGGGCGCATCAAGATGAGACCTGGGCAAATTTTGTCAACCAGGATAACCGGACGACTCTACATGAATTGGGTTATGTTATGTGGGATCGTGCTCGGCTTGATGAGTCTGGTATATTGCAAAGTCCTTGGGAACTGCCATATCCCAATGATGAAGACTCACGGGCAGAGATCCAGCGCCGTGCCGAAATGCAGGCGTCATGGGAAGCTAGATCAAATATCTATATGATGGGTGGGAGAGGCTGGTGGAGCTTCGGAGATCACAGCAAAATCGTTTGGCCACGTGGGAAAGCGCCTTGGGAGGTTAGGTCTGCGCCCGCTCTCACCGTACCCAGCTCGCTTGAGGAGGCGAAAGATGCGTTTAGGTTGATGAAGTTGCCAGAATCGGTGAGGAGGCTGAATAGCAGACAGCGAAGGGAAGGCTGAGATATAGGAAGCACTATATATGGTGCTGTGTAGCAGGTGCCATATCTACCCTAGGGTAGTAGAACAAAATCGAGTCCTGCGGCTTGCAGTACACCACCTGGTGTGAGTCCCTCACCCCAGAAATGTGCTTGGTACGACGATCCTAGGGTTCTGTTTTGGAATTACTATGATCACCTTACCATCGCTATAAGGCGAGAGTGTCGAGGTAACTTGGGGAGAACAGCAATAATTCTTTCGAAGTCACCAATATGTCATTTGAATCCTTTTTTATCTACTGTTGAACACAAAAATGACTCACAAGAAGGGCAAAAATATCCTCAAAAAACATACAACACCACGCTATTCGCACCTGGTCACCCACGGTACTACTCAACGGGCGCTACACGGCTTGTGTATGGTCGATCGGACGAGAGGCCCAATTTTCCGTGTGCTATGGTCGTATGTGATAGTCACTACTTACGAAAATGGTGATAAGGAGAAGAAAGCCTTGATGCCTGATTATTATCGATGATTCGAAATCGATTGTCTTTACAACCACCAGTCGGACCGCAAGAACCCGCACTAGGTAGTGGTGACAGGGTAAGCTTGTCACATGTGCGACAACAGTTCCTGATCCTGAACAGGTTCTCAGGAGGTTCGAGCGTACACAGTACGTACAACCGAAGTGCTAAATCTTGGCAGAGGGAAAACCTGGTGGAGAGAATATTCCTATCCGAGATCCCGGGACTAGAATCTCTGGATTCCGGGAACCCAGAATCTCTCCATGCTTGATTGGTACCAACAGGTCGCGAATTCCACATTAGCCGCATGATGCTGAAGGGTTGCAAGCTGAGGGGAAACCGCTGACACGGGGCGGGGACACCGAGGGTCTACCCGAATCGCTGATGTGCGTTATCTGGAGGGTTATTATCTCTGGGCTCTCCCGTATCACCGGACTCTCCGCATCCCTTCTTCATCCCCTTGCTCGCGTGCTCCCATCTTCCGGCGCCGTGGAAACGAAGAGGGCCAATCCTGCGGGGGCGATGAGAATTGGGTCGAGATGGGGCTCTCTGCTTTTCTGCTTCCAGAACCGTTCAGGCACACTGTTTTCTAAAAGGTCCTCCGAGTTTTCCATGCTTCTCGCCACAGGCTATCAACGGGACCGTTCCCACATGTAGCCGGTGGCGCCGCGTCCATTATGATTGGCTGGTGGATTCGACATGTGCGTTGGAACGGTTGATAACAACGCGGTTCCTTGAAGGCCCTTTGCGAAATTCGCCTCGACTAACTCGACTAACACGGTCCTGCACTTGGGCGGAGATGACCGGACTGCCAATGGTAAGCTCCTGCTGCAATGTCATGAATACCGCCTGCCTATAAGGGCAGTTGCCAAGCGCGTATCGGCGCACTGGCCTCCCGGTCCCTGCCAGGATCTGGTGAGCCGGGCGACGATGGCCCACTGGTCCCCATTGCGTAGTCGTGCGCGCACATCACTTACTACGACCAGAGAAATAATATAATCACAGCCGGGGACGCACGCGACCGCTCCTCTGCCAGTTGCTCCACCCTCCTTCTTCGCAGGTTGGGAACTTGATCTCCACCATGGCCGACATCTCGCGCGACCACAACCTCTCGCCCATGCCCGGTGTCGTTCCCAATCCAGACCCTGCCTTGGATATCGACAAGGAGCATCATCATGAGCACCTGCACCACAGCTCGCTCGCTGAGAAGGGCCACACGGCCGCCGACCATCCTGCCTACACCATCGGCACCACCTTCAACGAGCCGCACGTAATCCCGGAACCGAGTCCTAACGATGATGCGCTGCATCGCCGCTCCTTGCGTGACCAACGCCTTGACCCTGACGTCGAGAAGAAGGGCGCTCTCGAGCTGGAAGAGAAGGGAAGCTTGGGCAACGGTCACGCGTCAACCGAGCAGGAAGGCATCGAGGAGCCTCAGCGACGTACGTTCCGAGCCTTTTACAGACGCTACCGCGTCTTCTTCCACATCTTCATCGGAGCTTTGTTCACCGGGTAAGTGCCATCGCCGCGCCCGATGATCCCTCAAGTCCAGGTTTGATGAGTCGTTAGATGGTGGATTGCGAGTCTTGTCCTGCACCACCATGACAAGAACTGGATCATCCCATTCCTGTTCTGGCTTTGCATCATGCTGAGGCTCGTCTTCTTCTACGTTCCAATCACCGTCGTCACGCGGCCGATGCATTTCGTATGGAGACACACGGGTGTGAGGTTCGCCAGCTTGATTCCGGAGAAACTGCGAGTTCCCCTTGGCGCCGCCTTGGTCATTGCAGTCATCATCGTTGGTTCTTTCGCGAGCAAGGAGAGCGCCGATAACACCCGTGCCAACCGCGCTGTCAGCTTGTTCGGTCTGGTGGTATTCTTGTTTTGTTTCTGGGCGACTTCCCGGAATAGGAGGAAGATCGTCTGGCACACCGTCATTGTCGGCATGCTCGTACAGTTCATCGTCGCTCTGTTCGTCTTGAGAACGAAAGCTGGATACGACATCTTCTCCTTCGTTTCCGAGCTTGCTCGCAGCCTTCTCGGCTACGCCAAAGAAGGCACCGCATTCTTGACCAACCCGGACACAGCCCAGCTCGGCATGTTCTTCTTCAGCGTGATTCCCGCCATCATCTTCTTCGTGGCCTTTGTCCAGTTGCTGTACTACTGGGGAATCCTCCAGTGGTTCATTGGCAAGTTCTCCGTCTTCTTCTTCTGGTCCATGCGCGTCTCCGGTGCCGAGGCCGTGGTCGCATCCGCGTCACCGTTCATCGGTCAGGGAGAGTCGGCCATGTTGATCAGGCCTTTCGTCGCCCATCTCACCAAGGCCGAGATCCACCAGGTTATGACGTCTGGATTCGCTACTATCGCGGGTAGCGTGCTGGTGGCTTACATGTGAGTGTCTCTGTCGACCTGGCTTCATGCCCCTATTCTGACAGCGAGTTAGCGGTATGGGCATCAATCCCCAAGCGTTGATTTCATCCTGTGTGATGAGCATTCCGGCTTCCCTGGCCATCAGCAAACTCCGGTACCCAGAGGAGGAGGAAACCCTTACTGCTGGCCGCGTCGTCATCCCCGACGATGAGGAGCACAGAGCTGCCAATGCCCTGCATGCATTTGCCGAAGGTGCATGGCTGGGTTTGAAGATCGCGGGCATGATTGTGTGCACGCTTCTTTGCATTATCGCTTTCCTGAATCTCATCGATGGCCTCCTCACCTGGTGGGGACGCTACATCAATCTGGACGGTGACTACGACCTTACTCTTGAACTTATCCTCGGATACGTCTGCTACCCGATTGCGTTCCTGCTTGGAGTATCCCGCCAGGGTAAGGACTTGCTCCTGGTCGGTAGGTTGATTGGAATCAAGGTCATCGCGAACGAGTTCGTGGCTTTCTCTAGGTTGCAAGGTCTGGATGTCCCCAAGGGCCAGGTCTCCGAGTACCTTTCCTTGTCGCCTCGTTCCCGTTTGATCGCCACGTACGCCATCTGCGGCTTCGGAAACATAGGATCTCTGGGGACCCAGATTGGTGTGCTGAGCCAGATCAGCCCAAGCAGAAGTGGCGATGTTTCCCGTCTGGCTCTTAGCGCTCTGATCTCTGGTGTCATCTCGACCTTGACCAGTGCCAGGTATGTCTTGCATTTGTTTGGGAACATGGAATGATGCTGACCATCACATAGTATCGCCGGACTTCTTGTTACCGACCAGGCGGCATTCACTTCTTAACGTCTTGATGCCTCGAAGAGCGCGCTGAGGACACTTGCTCCCGATATGTCAGCGACGCAAGTTCGACTGTATGATAGATTCAGGTGGAATGAATATACCCATTTCTCGACCAGTTCCAAACGACTGTGCGTCGAACCCATGTCTAGTTTTTGCATTCAAGGTTTGAATGCTCCGTAACCGTGATACCCGGAAAGCAGCCACAGTGCCGTACAGCGATCGTGAAGGCTAGACTGGCGCACCAGACCACATTGCTCGATGCAGGAGCGATTCGGCGTTCATGTGTATCCTGAGAGCTCTGCCCGGCGGCGCTCCAGAGTAAATAGGATATCTTCTGGGGAGTCAGGGGTGAACGCCCTTCCCTTGCGCATGGTGGCCTCCGCATGTCTTGGCTCCGCCCTTTTGCCTCTTGGCTTCGAGCACGCAACTGGACGAGAACATGAAACAACTCCCAGCATGAGTGGGATTGCCTCGCACTGCTCGGACTCGTTTGGTCCGGTCCCCGGTATGGAAGCAATAATGGGCATTGGGTAGCGTACATTACGAATGGAGGAGGACCAGCGCAGTCCAACTCTTTACTTGTTAGGTCTGGATGCTCGAATGTGTCAGGACATATAGCAAGGACAGACTGTACACTACTCCGTAAGTACTGTGTTAGGAAACGTCCTACTTACCTGCTAGTCATAGAGCTAGCGGCGTTGTCATCTTGGGAGTCCGCCTAACACCACCAGTCATTCGGAGGTGTTGACGTGCTCAGGGGTCGATAGAACGTTTGCATACATGTGGAACGGGCCAACGACATAAGATTGCCGTCACTATAGATGAATATGGGGAAGTACTGGGCTTCAGAAATGAGGTTTGAATCAAGTCTGGAGGATGGAAGAGCGAAGGAGGTCGAAATAAAGTCCTTGCCAAGATTCTGGAACCATTCGACCTGTGTGTGTGGAGGAAGGCGCGACCAACCCATCGGGAAGTCCCGAAGGTTCAACAATGGCAGGTTCAACAACTTGAATGTGTTCTACATAATCATAGATAAACTGGAAGAAAGATGAGACTTGGTGGACAGAATATTTTGCGCTGAGCTACAGTATTATTAACTGTTTGCGGCGCAACATATAGATGCACGTGTTGGCTGCTCGTTGCGCCCACGGCGTCCTAAGTTCGCGCAACTCGTAACTCGAGTTGTCTCCCCGAACCTCACCCACTCTCTTCCTCTTTTAGCCGTCACTGAGGGCTGATGGACTTTGATTCGAGTTCGGCGATATCGTGAGTTCCCCCTGCGGTGCCCTTTGAGGGTAGCCGTGGGTCGTCGTATTTGGGCTTCTCGTCAATTCCGTTATCTATCTCTTAAATCGCTGGCATTGTCCCTCTTCCGAGAAGAACGCGGGCCCTTCCGCGTCCGCAATCTTGGATCAAAAATATATTCAACGAAAACGAGAGCCGTTTGAGAGAGCTGAAGATGTGGCTGGGATTGTGGCTTGCTCGATGTCGGTTAAGAGGTTCCATCCCGCGCGCGAGGCCCCCACATGTTTCCGGGGAGAATTGTCAGCTCCATCACAAATCGCAGCGACCTATGCACAAACCAACGTCGTAGAGGAGACTACCCATAATACGGAGCCACGAGGGTTCGGAAGATAAGCAACCAAACGTTCCAATCAGCTTATAGAGATGTCGCGCAGGTCGATACTAACCTGCGGGCGTTGCCGCAGCTTAAGTGCAGCGTTTCAGTTATCTCAATCCGCATTGCTAAGGACGGTTTGTGAACACCTTCACGAGCGAAGCTGCAATGCTTTAAACGTCTCCGCATGCACCTGCATCTCCAGCACAAATGTACCGATCCACTGACTAGATCTAATGGCTTAATGCCCGGAGTAGCCAAGATTGGAACTTTAAAGCGATCCGATTTCAAATTCCTGACGCAACTTATGATGCGTATACAGCTGGCACGCCATAAAGACCCCAGAGTTTATCGCTTGATAGCATCCAGTGCTCCAGAAAGGGCTGCTTGCATGCGAACGCATTCCCAAAATTCCCCGACTGACTAAATCTCAACGTTCAGCACAAGCTCCCTTATCGGCGTGTGATCTCGCGTTATGAGCGGGAACGACTTCTTATCAGTGACCGGCATGCAGATGCAGGGTTCAGTTGCCGAAACCGTCCCATGAGACTCTACGTTGGATCATAATCTTGCCTTGTCAAAAAGCCATTGCAGCGCCATCAGGACTTATCAGCATGGCCACACGCGAGCTGGACGTTGATGTGGTGGGTCTGGAGCAGTGCGTCCGCGGTCCTCTCCGCTCAACCCTGTTGCGTATCAAATGATACCAGGGATAGGTGCCCGGTTGCGGTAGACGGATGATGGCTCTGGGGATAGGGACCTGCAGGAAGCTTCTATATCTACTCGCAATCCCCGTGGGATCTCGGAACTTACAAGTATCGAGGCTCCGGTGGCAGCTCTACCTTCCTCAGTTTCCCAAGTCGGTTGCTTCACTTGGCTGGACAAGATGGTCGCAACTCCTCTGGGACAAGATGTTGGCTATGGCATTGTTGTTGGATTGGGCTTCCTGTTTGCCCTGGGTATGATTCTCACAACATTCGTACTCAAACGGTGAGTATCTTCCGCCGTTTGGACCCGAAGGCGATATGTGCATCATCTCATCCTCCACAATCTTTCATTTGCAAACGCATTATCCGAACGATGGTATACCAGGGTGTGACGAGCAGATGCTGACATCACCCAGTTACAACTATGAACTCCAAACCTCCGAAATGTTCAGCACCGCCGGCCGCACTGTCAAATCCGGGCTCGTGGCATCCGCCGTCGTTTCTTCTTGGACGTGGGCGGCCACTCTGCTCCAATCGAGCGCGGTCGCATACTCGTATGGTGTATCCGGTCCTTTCTGGTACGCCTCTGGTGCCACAGTTCAGATCATTCTATTTGCCACTATCGCAATCGAATTGAAGCGTCGCGCTCCAAATGCCCACACTTTCTTGGAGGTCATCAAAGCTCGCTATGGGGCTGTCACCCATATTGTCTTCATGATCTTTGGTCTTTTCACGAGTGAGTCTGATTTCACCCCTTCGACTCAAGACTCCTAGAACAAGACCTTCGTCAGAGTCGGATTGGTGTGATATTTGTACTGATCTCGGCGCTGTCCAGATATTCTCGTCACTTCAATGCTGCTCACGGGCGGCTCTGCCGTCGTTACTAGCTTGACAGGTGTGCATACAGCTGCCGCCTGTTTCCTTCTGCCTATAGGCGTTGTTTTATATACGAGTGAGTGTCCAATACTGAGGAACAATGCAACAACGGCAACTGACAACGTTGAAGTGTTTGGCGGAATCAAGGCTACTTTCTTGACCGATTATGCCCATACCGTCGTCATACTCGTCATTCTCCTCATGTTTGCTTTTACGGCCTATGCCACGAATGACAACCTTGGTAGCCCCTCCAAAGTGTGGGATCTACTCCAAGAAGCATCGAAACGGCACCCGGTTGAGGGCAATGCTGGAGGATCCTACCTTACCATGAGAAGCAAAGAGGGAGCCATCTTCTTCGTCATCAAGTACGCCTGCTCTCGCTCCTGAATCAATCTGCATGCTGACATCCTCCCAGCATCGTTGGCAACTTTGGCACTGTCTTCTGCGACAATGGGTATTACAACAAAGCGATTGCTGCATCGCCCGTCGACGCACTCCCGGGATACATCATGGGCGGGCTCTCCTGGTTCGCTATCCCTTGGCTGGCTGCCACCACGATGGGTCTGGCATGCCTCGCCCTGGAGAATAACCCAGTCTTTCCCACGTATCCTAATCGTATGAACCCATCCGATGTATCGGCTGGTCTTGTTCTTCCTACTGCAGCCGTTGCCATGCTTGGCAAAGGAGGAGCAGTGGCGACTCTTTTGCTGGTCTTTATGGCAGTAACATCTGCCATGTCCGCGGAATTGATTGCAGTATCTTCGATTTTCACATACGACTTCTACCAGACGTATATCAATCCAAAAGCCACCGGAAAACAGCTGATTGGAATGTCGCATGTCATGGTCGTCGCCTTTGCCGTTGCCATGGCTGCGTGGTCTACGGGGCTATACTACATCGGCATTTCCATGGGCTATCTCTACCTCCTAATGGGCGTCATCATCTCATCCGCCGTACTCCCCGCCACCCTCACCCTCATGTGGAGCAAGCAGAACTGGTACGCCGCGACCTTTACTCCACCTCTCGGATTCGCCTGCTCCCTTATCGCATGGCTCGTCACAGCGAAGAAGCAGGGAGGAGAACTGACGGTCGCAACCACCGGCGCCAACAATCCCATGCTGGCAGGCAACGTCGTCGCTCTTCTTTCACCCTTGATCTTCGTCCCTCTCCTGACCTACGCTTTCGGTCCGCAAAACTACGACTGGGTCTCCATGAAACAGATCCGGAAGGGCGACGACCACGACCTCGCCGCCGCTGCCCATGTCGACCTCGAGCTCGTTCCAGGAGAGCGAACGCACAGCATCACCGAAGAGCAAGCCGAGCAAGACAAGCTTTATAAGGCATCTCGCATCGCGCGCTGGATGACCGTGTTCATGACACTCGCCTTCCTCGTCCTGTGGCCAATGCCTATGTATGGCTCCGGCTACATCTTCAGCAAGAAGTTCTTCACCGGGTGGGTCGTTGTTGGCATGCTATGGATGTTCTGCTCTGCATTTTGCGTGGGGTTGTATCCGCTTTGGGAGGGGCGGCACACAAGTGTCAAGATTTTCAAGAGTATTTATCTGGATATTACGGGCCGGAGGAAGCCGTCAAGGGCGCCGGTGATTACTGATGGGAAGGACGGCTCGGTTACGCTGACGGAGGGTGTCAGCGAGAAGGTAATGGAGAAACAGTAGGGCTTGCTCGCGGTTATTATGCTTATGTTTGTTACTGGTTGGAGGAATTTGCTCTTTGACACCCGCGTTGAGCTTATGATACCTCTTGCTTTTCGTCCTCGATATATGGACGTATGGCGCTATCTCTAAGTGTTAATCAGAACCCTTGTTCCATTTCCGTTCTTCTACCTAAGGTGCGGTGAATGAGCTCATTCTTGACATTGGAGCCCGATAGTTCAGGGAGTGTTCAAGGTTTCTCTGTGCGGTGATCATAAGAATCACGTGTAGATCACGAGCATTAGGGTTCATTGAGCTCGGGAAAGCCCAACTTGAAATGAGTTGATACAGCATTCTCAAGAATGCTCAGCGGTATCCACAGTTGCTTCTCCCTTCTTTCATCACCACCGATATGTTCGCCGGTCAATGTTTAATTTTGTCAACCGTAGAGTGCGCATGTGCGAGCGTATGCATGACATACCGTTTCAGGCAAAAAAGTCGGGATCTCCCTCGAATGTCGGCACTTATACTTCTGGAACGCCATCTGACTACCGTTTATGCGGTTTCAATCATCCAAACTCTTTTCCCCGGCCATGCGTCGCAACCGGTTTCCACCTATTTCAGCCTGCGTGGCGCGCCGATATTTACATATTAGGCTGGCTCACTGCTCATCTCCCTTCCGCGCCCTGATGGCGGTTCCTCATGGGTGATGTGGTTCCCGTAATCACGGTTATTGAACACCACGGTTCGTCCAAGCTGATAGCGAGATGCTTGTAAATGCGGCTGTGTGTTTTGAGACTGTCGCTGTCTAGGAAATAGGCCTGAATACCAAGCCAATCAATCTCACTAAGGGTAATGGATACGAGAATGAACTAACCGGACGGCCGTCGCCCTTTCTCCTCAGACGTGCGCATCTTCGCTTTGCTCTCTGTCACAGTCGTTCTTTTCTTTATTACGCTCTCTTCATGTTCTTCGTTCTTTCATGATGTTCATCAACGCACGTCGAGTAGCCTGGCTGTGCTGGCTGCTCTGTTCATTCCTTCCGTACGTTCATTGCCAGTTTGGCAGTAATCCGTTTGCAGGAAGCCCTTTTCCAGGTGGCTTCGGAAGAGACCCCATTGGAAACGGTTTTCCTAATAGGGAATTTGGAGGGAGGGTGCCTGGCAGGCTTTCTCAGGTCAGTTGCACACCTCTGGCAATTACGTGCATTGAAGTGGCATTGTGTGCGGGCATGCATGTATTCCCAGCTAACAGGTGTTTCTAGGGGTTTGACTCCCAGCGCAACCAGCGCATTGGTGGAAACAACTTCAGAGTGCCACAGGAGAATCGGCAAGAGGCGGAATCGGAGAGAGCTCAAGGGGAGCCCAATCAAGGCGAAACGCTCGAAGGTGGAGACACATCCACAGTGGCTCCGACGACTGCCATATCTACTCCATCTTCTCCTGCTCTTATTGCCTCAGAACCACCACTGTCGCCATCACCACCATCACCACCACCGCCCGCCCCAATTGCAGACGGAGGTGGAGTTGGACTTGCAACTGAGGCACCGCCTCCCTCAACCACGACGACACGGAGCCGGTTTACCCCCGCCATTGAACAGCCCACAACAGATCCGACAAGTGGCCAAACGATACAGTCTCTCCCTGTCTTACCCATCGATTCCACACTGACACCGCTCACCACATCATCCGCCGACACGCTCCCTTCGGAATGGACCTCAGCAATGCCATCCATGACAACCACAACAAGTACAAGCCCTGCTCTCAATACCTCAGCTTTTACCACTCCATCACAGACGTCAACAAATACTCTCTCGCCTGCATCACCTACCAACTCGACCGCCGCATCCGCTGCCCTTGACTTGGCGCCGCTGTCCACGTCCACTGGAAGCACAATGAGCGCCTCCGCTCGAGGTGGCGTAGGAGTAGGCGTCGCATTCGCCATCATTTCCATCGCAGGTCTCACAGGCTTCATCCTCTGGCGCCGCTATCGAAATCGTCACCACTGGCGCAAGAATAACCAGGCCACCGTTGGCGGCCTCGGACGTTTCTTCCCCTTCAACCGCACCAGAACCTCCAAAACGGACGCAGAATGGGAAATCGGTGACGCGGAGAAAGTCGAGATCCTGCGTGGTGCGTCTGCCAGGACGGTATCGCGGAGCGATAGCAGCAGGAGCATGCGGCCCAGCGGCGATATGGAGGGACGAAAGGCGGAGGACGGGTCGAGGTCGGGGCCGAAGCCAAAGTTGCAGATTGTGAAGGTCGGGATGTGGGTTCCGGATCGGCCTCATCCTGCGTTGACGTCGAATCCACCCTTGGTTAGTCCGAGTCAGTTTCCTAGGCCGCCGAGTGGGAGTAGTGGAAGTGGAGGGTCTGGGGGTGGAGGAGGGGGGAGGAAGACGAGTAGTTGGCCGCTTCCAGAGGGGGAGTAACTTGTGAGGATATATAGCTGCCTTTTGAGGTTAGTCACATTGCCTGATTGTGGTAGTCATGTAAGATCAATGGAGTATAGTTCGACATCACGATACACAGATCTGCAAAGTACATTGTTGACACAAAGCTTGGATGGTATGAACCAATTGTATTATTCAAGGTGAGCCGTATGTACTAGCTCACCCAGACATTGATACCAGAGTTCCAGATAGCATAACCCGAAACGCCCCTTTCCGTGTACCTTGTAGTTCCCCTTCTTGACTTCAGTGATATCCTTCTATTCCTGAGATCTTGTCCGAGTTGCCCTATTACCCAGAGCAGTCTCTCCCTGTACTTCCGTCTATTGTATGTTGACCCGTCACCTCTGTAGAACGCGATCGGATCCACGCCCTAGCCACGAGCCATACCCTTGGACTCGGCATTGAAGCCATCGCGGTACGGGTGAGACTTGCAACCCTCCTTCGTCTTGATGTTGAAACACTCGCCGCATTCCACGCAGTAAGCGACGTGGAATTTCTTGAAGCATCGGTCGGTGATGGGCTTCTGGCAGTAGTTGCAGTGGTGTCGGCGCTCAGGAACCGTGCCCGTCTTCTTGTTCGTTACCCGGACCGTCTTCCTACCCATGGCGATGTTCGAATTTGAGGATCTCGACGTGGGTTGGAGTTTTCGAACTTGGAGTTTGGTTTGAGGAGAGGGTTTGGTTGGAGGCTTTGGAGGTTGTGGTGGGGCGACTGGAGGGACGAGAGACTGGAAGCCGTGTGGATACGCAGAGAAGTGTTGGATTGAGGATGAGGGTTGTATGTAGATTGTGGTTGAGTAGAAGGAGAAGAGGAATATGGAAAGTGACAGTTATGGGAGGCGATTATCGCAGATCGCATGATGGGACGGCCACGCATTGTTTACACAGAAAGAGTGAAGGCTTTCACTGTGATGGTGACTCCAACGGTATAGTCTGTTTACTTTCACGGTTCTGGCTCCATCATGGTATATAGAGACATGGGCCTTCACCGCCACGGGAATTCCATTGTATACAGCTTCGTTTCCGTCAGAATCGAAAATACAGTGAGGACAACCGACATGTCTGCTCTCACCGTCTCCTCACATTTGATCACCTGGACCAGGGCGTGGACTTTAAGGGTGGTTTCAACATGAGTTTGTCCCTCACACCGCTCATTGGTCACTTTACTGGTGACATTGTGTAGCAAGCGGTGACAAACGAGGACGGCCGGGGACCCCGTGCGAACAAAGAACGCAGCGAATTCAGCATTGTCGAAGAAAAATAACTGCTGTATTGGAGAACTCTCCTTTGTGCGCGTACCATTCCAAATAAGAGCTTTGCACAACCGTTCGCTGCGTGCTTGTCGAGGATAAAGGCGGTCGCGCCTGCCAAACTTACCGAAGTTGACAAACCCAAGCCCCGACCGCAACCTTCAACCTCTCTTCTACAACCGCACTCACACATTCACAAGCCCACACTGTCAACATGGCTTTTGGCAATTTCATTTCGCTCTTCTTCACAGGCAAGCATGCGGAGACGGTCAACGCGATACAGGACTCTCAAGGAAGCGCTGCGCCTCGTCAGCTTCGACGCCGTTGCCGGATCCTGTCTTGGGACGTGGTCCGTTCGGACTACCTCGATGGCCTCCTCGGTGAACTTTCGGGAGGGCTCAAGTCTGGTGGGTTACACCTGCCTGAGCAAACTCATACCGTGATCCGCGAAGCCTTTGATGAGGAGACTGAGAAGGTGAATAAATTGACGACAACAGTGGAGCAGGACGATGACGACACGGACCATTCTGAACCATCCGATGACGCCGAAGAGACAGAAACGGATTACGATGAAGATGAGGAGAGCCGGCAGATGGCGGAATTCGTTTGGGGTCCTTTCCGGTCGATTCCCGATGAGCGCTTCGTCGACCTCCTCCATCGCCTTTTCCGCATCGGTCTCACCAAAGACGGCTCGGGCTACAAGGTCGAAAAACGTACAGAAGGCTCCTTTCACCACGTCGTCATTCTCAGCAACGGCTCAGAAAAGATGGTGATCAAGGTTCCAATGGTTGGCACCGCGGAGCGTTGGCAGCGTGGCCATGCAGCAATCATCCAATCTGAGGCAGATACCATGATCCACATCAAGCATAAGCTTCCCAACTTCCCAATTCCAGACGTCTACGCATATGACGTCGGCTTTGAGAACGAGATTGGCGCGCCCTTTATGTTGCTCTCCTACTCCTCCGGATCGCCTGCCAACCACATTTGGTTCGATGCTCGTGGAGATGAAGAGGATGACGAGACAATGAACAACACCCCGACTGAAGAGCGCGAAAAGTTGCGGATTAACTTCCTCAAATCATTGGCCAAAGCCATGGCTGAGCTTCGCCACCTGGAGTTCAATGCCTGTGGTATGGTCTACCTTCAAGACAACGATCCAGACAAGCCAGTTATTGGACCATACCATGGGTGGATGACATTGAGCTTTGATCGCACGCGTCGCAAATACTGGGAGCGTCCGGTCTTTGAGACGGCAGCCGAGTACTACATGACACGCTTACACGAGAAGTTCGGAAGCAAGTACGCTGTCGGTATCAGCAAGATTCTCAGCATGGTATACAGTTCTCCACCCCTCTCGGCCTCCAAGAAGCACGACGCCGACCCACATGAGACTTTTGTCCTACAACACAATGATTTTGACTACCAAAACATCCTCGTCTCTGAGACTGGTGAAATCACCGCGATCTTGGACTGGGATGGTTGCGGTACCGTGCCTCGGTGCGCGGGCTACTCCAACGTCCCTTTGTTCCTTCAGTCCGACTGGCAAGCGCACTACGATATGTCGGATCCAAAAACTCTGACTACTTGGAATCTGAACAAGTATCGACGGGTCTATTCTGAAGCCATGATTGAGGCATGTGGCGGCATTGACAGCGACGCTAAGTACACCGAACAGTCCGCTCTTTACGCCGTCATCCACGACATCCTCTTTGGGGAAAATTCCGGGACCCGGTACCGGGCGGAGGAGTTCATCGCGAAGCTGATGCATGAGATTCCGCTGTTTCGGCTAACTGAGAAGCCAGAGGAGTTCACGAAGAAGTTGGGAGATGGCTGGCCGGAGGTGGAGGAAGCACTCAAAGAGTGGATTCCCAGGATCCTGGCTCGCAAATAGCTGTCTATTTCGTGAGTGCGTGGGATCCTTTCCCAATGTATATCCGCAATCGGCAATATACCCAGGTAGAAACTAGTAGATATGCAATACTTCCATATTCATCTTGCAAGTGCCATGAATATACTTGCTTTATTATTGGCGTGAGAGATCAAAATATATGTGCTGATTTGCAACTATATCTAACGATTGATTCTTTCAGACGCGGCTTGCAGGCGGGAGCGGTCCTCTATTGTTGGACTGGCAACTGCAATCCGTCAAGAACTTGTTTTCACAACAACCAGTCTTCTTGGAGTATTTACCCAGGTGGATGGTTGAGCACATGTTGCGTTCACTGGCAAAGGGCCTCATATCGGAAGCGTACGCTTGATGTCCCAAGGGCTTCAGACTCTGCGACATCCCTTGCAATCTCACCTGAGTACCTTTACCATTACGTGAACCGTGTTTTATTTGCTCGAATCTAGGCCACCAAATCACGTCAGGTAGAAACGCTTCAATACCAGCTCAATGATTCTCCACAACTTTGCCCATAAATTATCCACCTCCGACAAGCCCACTTCGACGTGCCCACAGCAATACATTTTTAATCGAACTGGATGTACACATGTGGTACTTTGTATTTGCACTAGTCCTGCCAATAGCTCTGTCACAAGCTCTGCGAAAAGGTCGCCTTCAACCTTCAAACTCCTCGCTGAGGAGAAGAACGTTGGAGCTCCAGGATTTGCTTCTGGCATCTCGACATTACAGTCCGTCTCACTTCACGCTACACCTACGGTTAAGTATGTTAGTATCTGTATCATCGCTGCCAAATAATGACTCCCGAGTCTCTTTACTAAGGCAGCACATTGGCTGCAGGTCTCACCAATATCACGAGGGAGCCTTCCCGCTTTTAGATTCTCGCATCCCAGACAATGCAGCGACACCAGTCGGTTCCTAGCGGCCTGACGGCAGACCAGCAAGCTCTCAAAATGACTTGAAACGCCAGCGATAGCATCAACTTAGGGCTCTGTGAATGCCAACGTTGCAACAACACCCGCATCTTCCACGGGCTCAAGGTTGAGCCATTTGCTTCCTCGCTCCACAAATACACCTTTTATAACTATCCACAAAACCCGTTCTTGCAAAACTACCCGTCGAGATTAGGGACAGTAACTACCTCTCCGCTCTCACGGACGAAGACCTTAACTCCCATCCCAAAAAAAAAACTCGTATAGACGTTTCATTCCCTCTGACGACCCGGGGACGCCTTCCACGATCAGTCTCCCTTTAACCCTCCTAAAAAGATGCAAGGCCATGTACCTTGGGCATACAAGCTCCCATTCCGGCTCAATCCATATACAACTTGTCACCTGGGCGAGCTACTCACTTTCGCCAACCCAAGTCTGCGGCCCCCATCTCCCGCGTCACGCTCTATGGCAATTCGCTCTTATCAGCAACGTGGGCACATCGTTCTTCAAGGTGGGACTGGGGTTGCACAAGGACGACGGCACACTGGAGAGCATATCCACGGCGCCGCGATTGCTCTGCGCTATTACCATACTTATATCTCTAGGATGACTTTCAATCGAATTATAGGTACTTATCCTCGACATCGTCCCGGTTGGAACCACAGTGACGAGCGGGTACCACCCCCAGTAATGTCAGGAAATGCTTCAGGCTTTTGCACAAAGACGACAACAGAGATGGCGACTTGATGCTGCTGGCTAAGGACTCCCTTTACTCTGTCCACAGCTTGAAGGACGTGGAAACTAGGGAAAGAAGATGCCATGGACCTGTAAGACAGGTGACATAGGTGACTATGAGACTAGTACAATTCCGCTGCCAGTTGATCGCCTATCCTGGATGAACGGTCAGATGTGGAAGGGGTAGAGTTGGTAGTACTTAGTGTTTCAAATATAGATGTAGAATCTTTGCTTAAGTTAACAACTTTAGCATAGCTTGGAGAACAAAGGTGCATCTCGCCTAGTATCTTCTCGACCCTTAGTTCTATACAACAATTTCCCGTTTCTCCTAGTAACGGTGAGCTCTGCTGTAAATAGTAGGCTAGGTAGTAGATAAGTACTGTGTAGCGGATTGACGATACTTGTAGAAGTCTCGACTATCCTAACCTTATAACGCCGCTAGAAATATCCTACTACGTATAACTATATCACACTCTGGTACCCTAACTTCCACGGTACTCTATTACCTCTTTCCGGCATCCTTCAAAACATCGACCCACCGAGCAGGCATTCTCCGCCCCTCCTTGTACCCTTTATGCAACCACGTCTCCCCATCAAAGCCAAAAGCAATCAGCTCTTCCTCACTTCCCCATTCACCATGCCCCATCATACCTAGCGGTACTTTGCCCTCCCCATGCTTGGGCTCAGCGTACCCCACGGGAAACTGGATACACGGCAAGCCCGTGAAGTTGGCCAGCCACACATACTCCATCGTTCGCATCTGGGTGTTCCCATCGGTAAACCCATGGCTAATCTCCGCCTCATTGATGGGCCATCCGGCATTGGGAGTCGTGGGAGTGACGATTATCAGACCGGGATACTGCTTGAAAAGATAGGCCAAATGCTGCATGATCAGGTTACGGACTCGTTGGGCGAGAAGAAGATCGGTAGCGGGGGTTTGCTGCGCAACCTTGAGCAGGATCTTATTTGCCGGGGTGAGGAAGCTGATATCTGGATACGCTGTGGCTGCTTCGCAAAGGATCGTCATGGCATGTGCTAATTGGCCTTCGTGTAGCATTGGCAGCGTTATGTCGATCAACTCGTAGCCGAGCTCGGTGGTCATATAGCGAAGGGATGAGTGACAATGTTCTTGGACGATAGGGTCCGCTCGGTCGAACCACGACTTGCAAATGCCGAGTTTCTTTATCCGGGAGCTGGAGGGTTCCTTTAACACCGCAAACTGGCTTGAGACTGGATTCGCGGGGTCTGGCTGGGCAAGCACGCGGAAAGAGACGGCGAGACTGGCCATGTTGGCGGCCAGTGGGCCCTGAACAGTCGTGGTGTTGGTCATGCAAGCAGTAGGCGCAATAGACACTCGTCCATGTGAAGGTTTAAGACCATAAAGTCCGCAAAAACTGTGAATGTCAGTTTTCATCCAGGCATGGCGACGAGACAAACTGACTTAGACGGGATGCGGATGGAACCACCTCCATCTGCCCCGATCGCAAAGGGAACAATACCGGAAGCAACAGCATATGCCGACCCTCCAGAAGACCCTCCAGTATAGTACCGTTCGTTGTACGGATTTCTCGGTGTACCCCAGATGGGGTTGTTATTGGTGACATCTGAGGTTCGTCAAACGTCTCCATTCCTCCTGGGGACAGTCTTAAGGTTACCTACCCAGACCAACCTCATGCATATTGCATTTGCCAACGATTATAGCTCCTTGTTCCTCCAACTTCTTCACGCACCAACTGGTCTCCACCTCTTCCCCATCTGTGAAGTCTTTCTTTGTTCCCACATATCGCCTGTAACCCTTCACATCCATCTCGTCCTTGACCGCAAAAGGCACACCATCCAGCAACCCCAGCGGCCTGTTCTCTTTCCATCTCCTTGTGCTTTCTTCCGCAGCGCGCCGCACAAGATCCGCTTTTGAGTCCACAAAAGCTGTAGAGTGTGGAGTCCGATTCTGTACATCCCTTCGTATCAATGGGAGTAGTGTCTCAATGACATCCGTTGGTGTGAGCGTTCCGTGCTTGTATTGATCGTAGAAATCGCCTATGGTGTGAAAGCCATCGCCTTCTGCTCGTTGGTAGGCATCCTCGATTCCCAACGTAGAGTAAGGCTCCCCTCCTGGTCCTGAAGCTGGAATGACAGCTGGATCATAGCGTGGTTCAATATCGTCGAGCTCCTTGACTTTTCGCAAAGAGGAGAAGCCGGCATTGGCATACAGGAGAGATGACACGAAGGGGATCGAGGTGACACTGACAATGTAAGCTGGGTACGACGTATATGATCGGGAACTTAAGCTACACAGAACTCAAAAGAGGAAGTGCCACCCCCTTAACGACTGGGTTTTGGGCTGGTACAGGAACCTTATGAGGGATGTCATATGTTTTGGGAGCAGGATATTGGATGAAGCATGGAGACATGTGACCTTCGTCAGCCATCTTGACGACGGTATAGCAGGCGTCGACTTTACGCGGCTACGTCTTCAATCCAAGTCTTGAAATCCCCGTTCAAAAGCTGTGAAGGTAACAGGAGAGTACCAAAGCGGTCGTTCAATGTTGAGGGTTGGTGTTGGTGGTCCGAGCTCAAGCTCAAGTTACCTAGGCAAATGACTTCAATGTGACATCTGAACAGACAGCTTCCGAACCTAACCGGGAGAAGTTCGTATTAACCGGAGCAGGCAACAAACGCAGCAAGAGATATACCGCGTATATTAGAATGCATTCTCATACACCAGGAAAATAGATATGTCCAAGAATTCATCATTACGCTTCGCATGTGAATTTTCGCCATAGTTCCTATGCCGTTCGAAGCAAGATATACGCTATGAAGTGCTCCACATCTTCCCACATCACTACTTCGAGCTTCCGATCTCGCGTTCCTCACCCCTTATAGTGCGCCGAATCTCAATTGCCTGGCCAACTTCACCGTGTCAGCAACGCAATTGCCGAACCATTTGTTTCATTGGATACCAGCCGGAGGCTCGAGGATTAGAGACTCTTCTTCGGAGCTGCGGTAGTGCCAGAAACCTGATCTCCCATGCGGTTGTACTCCTTCTGCATGCTCTCCACCTGCTTCTTCAAGTTCTCCATATCGCGGTCCTTGCGCGCAAGCTCCTCCTTGAGGGCCCCAACCTCGCCAGCACCGCCAGCATTGGTCAACGAGGATCCCTTCTTCGAGGTTTCGCCCTTGTAGGTCTTGAGCTCCTCCTCCAGGCGGAGAACGTCGAGGATCATGACGTAGGTACGGTTGAGGATCAGGGAAAGGAAGAGGGTGAAACCGCAAAGGTACATGTTACGCTGGGAGTAGAACTTGCGGGCCTGGACCTCCATGCGCTCGGAGCCCATTACGGCAGCACTGTGAATCTATTAGCCCCTTCAGTAGCTCTATATTGTGCCGTCTCGCATACCCTCGCTGGCTGTCGGTTTTACTGAAAGCGGAGAGCTCAACCTGGACACGGTAGACGCGGTTCACGCTGTCAATAAACAGGATGAGAATGAAGATAAATGTAATCTGTCCGGCGGTAAGCAGGTGGTACTTGTTTCGGCAAGAGATGCCATACCTTCATTCCATATTGGATCTTTGCAATTAAAGGGCTTTCCGAGATGAAGGTAAACAGCTTGCGGCGCCATGTGAACGGTAGAGGAATGATCAAGGCGCAGAAGATGGCCATCTCTGTCACCAGGAGGAGGAACACCTGGAAGAAGAAAAGAAGTAAGTAAGTCGGTGTCCACATGATCAACGGCGCAACCGTAACAGGAGAACTGGGAAGCCTAATTGAGGGAACATCTAGTAGGAAGCCATGACGGGGTCTCCACAGGTGATACTTCTAAAAAAGGAGGGATTGCTTACCAAACTGTAGTATAGAGTCATCTTTGCGAAGTTGCGGCTTCCGTGAAAAGCGCTGTGGTTGCCAAAGGTGGGGTTGGTCGCGTGCTGGCAAAAAGACCAGTTGTACAGAGGATGCTTCGAAATTCTGGACAGCCAAAGGTACGGTCACAAGTTGCAATGCGGTGGAGAGTTGAGAGAAGATTGTGCGCTTCTATGTGTTGTGATGAAGTGGAGGGAGAGGGACTGAGGACGCGTTGCAGGTTTGAAAGCTGCAGCTGCCTGTGCTTGGCCCAGCTTGTGAAGAAATACGTCACCGTGCCAGAGCAGCCCAGACCATTTTGGGCAGCCGAGCAGCTAGCCTCTTTCGGTATGGTTTGCTTTCCCTTTTCGCCTCTAAAACTTCGTCCTCATTCATCGATTGTCAGATACTCGTGAACTCGGACGCAGGAATTGCTAAGTGTTCTGCAAACTCTCACAGCCATGGACGGCGCAGTTACTGAGGGCGCCGCCGCGGAAGCGCCGGGAATGCCGAAGGGCACGCCCTCCATGTCCAAGGTTGAGTCAAATGGAGGCCATGAAGGCGAAGGTGAACAAAATAGTGATCCATTGAACTCAAGAAAGCGTGCTCAACCTCAGACTGAAGGAAGTGGAACAGGCGGTGCTGTCAAACGGCAAAAGGGCGTTGCGCCCATCAAAGCAGAGTGAGCCAGCTCATCAACGCTACTGTATGAACACTATGATTGATTTCAACAGATTTCTGCTTCATTTAAGTGGCAACCAGACGCAGAAGGCAGAAACAAATCGCTCTGCTGCTGCAGATGATGATGATGCCGAAGCCGCAGATGACCGCTATAGCAAGACGACTGTAGGGGACTCACGTAGCAAAGGCCAGAGCTGGAAAGACAAGAAGAAAGACAAGAAACAGAAGCAAAAGGGCCAAAATACGAGCCGATCTTTCGGTAGCTCGTTCGATAAGATCCAGCTATGCAGCTCACGTGCGTTCAGCAACGAGTTTTCCCCAAAGCCTTGTTCGTTTGGAGATAAGTGCAGACTCTGCCACGACCTTCGAAAGTACTTGAAAGAAGGTAGACGGGAAGACCTAACCACGCTTGGCGGCCAATGCCCCGTCTATGAAGTCCAGGGCTTCTGCAACATGGGCTGGAAGTGCAGGTTCCACTCCAGTCACTCCGAGGAGCGGGAGACAGAAGACGGGAAAAAAGAGCTCGTGCTCCTCGAGGACGCGGAACGTAGGGCCAGGTTTGAGGCCGCTTTTGGAGCGGAAGGCGAAGCCGGAGTCGTCAACATTGTCTCGAAGGAGGCAAAGATCAACTTGTCCAGGCGCAAGATGAAAACTCCTAGGTCTGACGCCTACCTTCAATGGGTCAACGCCAGCGCCGAGGCAGATAGGAGCAATTTCGACGGACCGAAGAGATGGACCGCGGAGCGAGGGGAAGGAGCGCACATCAAAGTTGACGGTGAAGAGAAGGAGGATGAAGCGGATCCAGGCATAAAGCTTGAGGGAGACACCGACGCGAGAGAGGAAAACCGCGCCCAGTATATTGAGCCACCGTTCAAACCCTCAGAGAAGCGTCGGATCTACTACGGCCCTGAAACACCGGTTCTCGCGCCTCTAACGACGCAGGGCAACATGCCCTTCCGGCGGCTCTGCGTCGACTTGGGGGCGCAAGTCACCTGGTCGGAGATGGCTATGGGTCTCCCCCTTATTCAAGGCGATAAGGGCGAATGGGCACTGATGAAAGCCCACGAGTCAGAGATCCGTCCTCCGAAATTCCTCCACAAGAACACCATCGTCCAAGGCTACGACAACGCCAGGGATCTCAAGTTCGGGGCTCAGATCGCCGCAAACAAGCCCTGGCTCGCTACAAAGGCTGTCGAAGTCCTCACAGCACTGTGCCCACACCTGAGAGCCATTGATCTCAACTGTGGCTGCCCCATCAATCTCGTGTGTGAACAAGGTTCGGGATCCGCCCTCCTTGACACCCCCAGCAAACTCGAAAATACCCTCCGCGGCATGAACTACGTCTCCAACGAAACTCCCATCACCGTGAAGATCCGCATGGGAACCAAAGACCTCCAACCCACTGCCGACAAGCTCATCAAGCGCCTCGTGCTGGGCGGCTACGAAGCCGTCGAGTCCGGCAAGGGCACCGCAGGCATAGCCGCCATTACGCTGCATGGGCGCAGCAAGCAGCAACGCTACACCCGTAGCGCAGACTGGTCGTATATCGCCGAGTGCTCTGCGCTGATCAACCGTCTCAGGCGCGAGCAGAGTGACCGGACCGACACGGTTCGGGAAGCCGATGCGCGCGATGTGGCAAACGAGGGCCACGTCTACTTCATTGGAAACGGCGACTGTTACTCCCATGAGGATTACTATGCGCATCTCAGAGATGCGCGCGTCGACTCCGTCATGGTTGCCCGCGGCGCGCTCATCAAACCCTGGATCTTTGAGGAGATAGAAAAAGGCCAATATCTCGACAAGTCGGCGACCGAACGCCTCGCCTACGTGGAGAAGTTTGTCAAGTATGGCCTCCAGACCTGGGGCAGCGATGAGATGGGTATTGGCACCACGCGTCGCTTCCTGCTCGAGTGGCTTAGCTTCGCATACCGCTATGTTCCAGTCGGGCTGCTGGAGTATCTTCCGCCGAACATTCAGGACAGGCCGCCTGCGTTTAGGGGCAGGAACGACTTGGAGACGCTGATGTGTAGTGCCAACTACAAGGACTGGATTAAGATAAGGTATGTTCCTTTTGAAAATTAAAGAGACGTGGCCTAACAACCCGTACAGCGAAATGTTCCTTGGTCCCGCGCATCCAGACTTCAAGTTTGAGCCCAAGCACAAGTCCAATAGCTACGAAATCGAGGCGGAAGGTTAGGCGAACACGGGTTATCTTCTGGATATTTGGGGGAATGCATTGGGAATGGAAGGCATGGCATTGTGGCGGAGATATATGACTCTCAGCAAGCCTTAGATGGCTTATTGTGATATGAAAAGCTGGTCCTCGTGATATACTGCACGGCATCTAGTGAACAGCTATCATCTTCCAGAACCCCAGTCTCTCCCTCGCAAACCTCAACTACTGTCTCTTTTCACGTCCGACTGAACACGACCGTGCGCATACGGGCTATGTATTGACTTTCTAATCGGCCCTTTCTGCGCCTCCCTCTACGTATAACCAGGCTTAAAACACCGTGCCCTACTGCCTCTTTTCACGTCCGACTAAACATCTGGCTGCAATTCCTCTGTAGGTAGAATTGCCTAACTAGCACAAGTCAGCTAGCTACGACTTAATAATGCGACGGGTAGAATTTTCCGTTTAAACATACTATACGTAGAGGCGCTATAAGGCTAATTGCAGGACCTCCTACAGTATATTCTGCGCCTGCTAGCTGCTTAGATTAGATGTGGAAAACAGCAGTACAGAGGAAGTGCAGGGGAGTGTTCAGTTGGATGTGAACAGAGGCAGTATGCCACCGCGTCCCTCCACCTCCCCAAAGAAGAGACGCTACCTCCGAGCTCCCGGGGCCAAAATCAAAACTCTGTATATGTTCTGGGGAAAATAGTGTGGAGAATCTATATCACTCTAATGGCTACTTGGCCTCTCTGTGAAGCGTCCCAATGATGCGTCCCGAGATAGATTCGTCAGGCTTGCCGGACTTTGGCGCTGGTTTGGCCCTGCCACCTCCCGCGAGCGAAGCACGTCGTTTTCTGCAAGCACACCGGACTACATAGCTCACAGCCATTCAGTACCAACCCATGGGAGAACATCTTGTCTTCATAGGGGTTTCAATGCAAATATTTTTATCAAAATAGTGGGGCAATTGGTCTAGTGGTATGATTTTCGCTTCGCAGGCCCGTGTATGTGAATGTGAAAGGTCGTGGGTTCAATTCCCACATTGTCCAATTTTTTTGCCGGTTGCCTGCTTTTTGGTTATAGGACAGTGCTTCTTTGACGCGAGACATTTCTTTTGGATGTGGTGTTCCGTTGTAGTTGGGGTGTGCAAGAGCGTGTCATTGGTCAGATGGACCGTCAATGACGAAGCAGCGTAGAATTTGGTATGGGCGTACTTGTTAGAACAGGTCATTACGTAAGCGCGCACTGAGAGAGCAAAACCCCTCCCTTACGCGTACACCAAACATGAAGAGTCAATCACTTCTCTCCGAGATTTGTCCTCTGACCTTTGTGTCATCTCGTCTCCACGATACCGAAAGCAGCACGGCATCTACCACTATGCTTGTAGATGCGAGAACCGTTACGAGCTAATCTACAACCGAACGTGTTGACCCATATGGTCGAAGACCACAGTAAATGGAGCTATGATAGGAACTATTCAGACTCTGCCTAGGCACCCGGAACTTTCAGGACCCTGGAACCAAGTCTGCAGGATACCAAGTCCTTAGTATCGAGTCATCCTTGCCGAATTGCGATGAAATCCCAAAACGACGCAGGACATGAGACGTGAGTTGGAGTATTTCGATTTTTGGACATGGCTTTTGGGATTTCCTTCGGGGACTCTTGTTGGCTGGACTTTTGCAAGAGCAGGAGCAGAAGAAGGAGAGCGTTCTAACGTCCAGGACCCAGTATGTGCAACGTCACATGGAAAGATTTCACCCGAAGATATTTCAAAAGAATGTGAGCCTCCCGAGCAAGAGCAAGAGCAAAACGAGTAACGTGGAACAAGATGTCTAGAAAGTGGTGTTTGGCCCAAACGGGCCCGTGGTAGCCCAAGCCGGGTACTTCTTCGTCACGAGTGCCATGGTCAACTCCATGATCAAATTCGGTGTCCAGGGGCCAAGGTAGGCGAGCCTCCCTTTCAAGTCTTCCGGAATGACGCCGCCGTTCAGCAGCGCCAGGTACACGACGGTGGAGCAGTTCATGCTCGCCGCGTTCCACGTCGCCCCAGGGACATTAAACCCCTTCCACCAATTCTTCACCGCACTTCCGTCGAGCCCGAACACGGGAAGCACAAATTCCGGATCGGACCTCTCCCACGTGCTATCGTTCTCCCACGTTTGGTTGTTGTTCGCCGGAGCCGTGTACGTCAGCCGCACAAAGGGGAGGTACTTGCGGTCCGCGTTCGACGGCCACCAGCTGATGTAGAGATCGGGACCGCCATCCGGGTCTGGAAGCGTAATAGACGCATGGCCCACGGCGCTCTTCAGGCCCAAGAACTTCCAGATCAGCACCCGCCCATAAGTCGGCGGCCTGGGCACCGTTGTGGTCAGGCTCGGCGCCACAACGAGAGGACGGGTATCGCGCCCGGCATTCAGTTCCAGGGCAGGCACGTCGCCTCGGATGGGGAACTCGTACATGGTGTTGGACTCGAGGTCCCACGCCTCCATGGTTTCCACGGTCCAGTGGTCCGTGTACCAGGGGTTGAAGGAATTGATGCCGATGAGTGAAAGCGTGCTGAGGGGCGCGACGTCGCCGGGGGGCAGGCCCGTGATCACGAGTCCAACTACCGTCGTCTCATTGCGCACGTAGTGTTGGGCGGGAAGTGCCGTGGACACAGACTTGTCTCCCGCCCGCAGGGTTACATTAATGGTCCCGTCGTAACCCGCGAATATCAGGTCGGCCGTGTGGTACCGGAAAATCCAATTCAAACCAAGCTGCGGCGGCTGGGCGCTCGGCGGTGCTGGTGCTGGTGCTGGTGCTGCGGACACGGACAGCGCGGTCATAGTCGGGCGTGCTCCACCTCCACTCTCCTGCTGCTGCGGCCGGAAGTAGAGGAACACACCCCCATCCCGCACCCCTGCCACCCAGAGCCGGTTGGCGCATAATGTCGTCATGTTCTGGCCCATAAAGTCCCACCGCAGCAGCGGCCCGCCCCCACTCCCGCTCCCGCTCCCGCTCCCGTCACCCACGAGCTGCAGGACAGCAAGGCCATCGGCCGTGATGCCCAGCAGTCCCACGCTGTCGCCGTCGAGCGCGAGCCGCTGGAAGGGCCCCTGGTCAATCAGCGTCCAGGCCGTGCCCTGTCCCGACCAGCGGAAGACGGCTCCCTTGCCGTCGAGGGCGTAGAGCGCGTTACCCGCGGCGAGGAGCGACGACATGCCAGAGGGGCCGCCGATGGTGGTCCACTGCGTTGAGCCTTGGACTGGAAGCATCTGGACCAATTGCTGGTCGTCGTCGGACGCCATGGCGAAGCAATACTGGTCAGTCGCAACGACCTTGCTGAAGGGGCCGCCTAGGCGGACCCAGGCCGTGGGGCCGACGCAGATCCAGAGGCCGTTGGTGCCGTCTACACCGAAGAGGGTGTTGAATCCCGTCAACAGGTAGTTCAACTTCCATTCAGGCGTGGTGGGCCCGATGTCATCCCACTGGCCGTTGAGCTGGTTCCATTGCTTGATTGCCGAACTGGCTCCGGCTGCTTCCGAGTTGCTGAGGGAGTACAAGCCCCCGTCGCAGCCCACAAACTGATCCGCGGCATCACCGATTCGGGTCCAGCTATCGGGCTGCCCCGAATACTGCCAGATGGTGCCGTCCGCGTCGCTCACCGAAAACAACATGTTCGAGTACGTCAGCACGCCGCGCACAGGTCCGGCCCCGACCTGCTGCCAGGCATCTTGCACAGGTGCGCAGTTGATGGAAATGCTCGTGAAGGCAATGTGATCCGTCGCATTTCCTGTCGGCGTCGGCGTCATGGCGCGAAGGCGAATGAACGAAGAACCCCTAGGGAGAAGGGCCGTCGTCTCGACAACAGTGCTGGTCGGGCCGCTTCCAAATGACGTTGACACAGAACCCAGGGTGACGGGGTTTTGGAAGTCTGCCGTCACAGATGCCTCGACGGCCAGGGCCAGCGTGTTTGGAGAGATGATGGTGACGCCCGACTCGGGCCCGTCCATGGTCGCCGCCGCCAACGAGATGGCGGAAGATCCGGCTACGCTGGGAGTGAACGAGAGGGCGATACCCTGGATAATCAGGGGAAGTTTGTTGGACACCAGTGCCCACAAGTAATTCTGACTCGCGCCTCGTTGAGTCCCGAAGTTGAACAGACGGAATGCCTTTTGTCCGTCGTCGCTTACGCCCACTAAAATGGCCGATATCAGCTTTGCCCATTTGCCATGACGCATAGGGTACTAGATTGTCAAAAGGCCCCATATCAAGAGCCTTTCACGAACTTACCCGACGAAAATGGAGCGTGCTGCTCCACCTCTGCATCCGTCGGCGTAGGGGCATTGGTGCCTAGGATACTAGCGACTCCATGCGTTGCAACCCCGATCACACCGACGCGCTGCGCGAAGTCCGCGGTATGCGCGAGATCGTAACCAATGATGAAGGAGCCAGTCGTGGACGGCGCTTGAGTGGTTTGCGGATCGATGGGAGCCGGAGAAGTGAGCCCACTACCAAGTGCCGACACGAGAGATCCCGAAAGCACGAGATTGGAGTACGCGAGTCCGCTGGTATTGTCGCCTCCAACGGTGGACGTTGCCCTAAGTCGGAGATACGTGAGGCCCACGGGGACGTATAGCGCCAAGGGGACCGTCGTCGAGCTCAAAACGGGTGTGAGCGGCGAGGGGGAGAGGGTGCCGACCGTCTGATACGAGGTGAAGTCGTCCCGAATCGAGCTCTCCACGGCCACGACGACGCCGCCGGCATTTGCCGTCTTGTTCAACTCGAGGCGAACCTGGAGCTGGGTGAGATTGAAAGGGACCTGGGAGGAAATGGCGAAGTATGCGTAGTTCTGGTTGCTCCCCTGTTCGGTACCCGCTTGGTAGACCATGAAGACGCCGTGTTTGGGATGCCCAAAGTAGCCATTCACGGATCCGGTCTGTGCCGGGTCCGACGAGGGACTGGTCGAGCCGTTTTTGACGCTCAGGTTGGCGGATATGCCTGGAACGGTGGATGACGCAGGGACATTCTGCGCCATCGTCAGGACTTGGCCGAGGTCGAAGGAGAGCTGGACGTCCATAGCGGGCCCCGAGTATTGACTGGGTCTGTGTAGAGGAGACGGGGTTTAGTGTGAGTCTGATGCTGGCCTGAGGATGGCTGGTAGAAAAGCAAGACTTGTATCCATTACCCCAGACCTAAAGGGATGACGGAACCCCTCGCTTTTCAATGAAGCCAAACAGGGTATGTGAGCATGTGGAAGGAAGAGGAGGTGGCTGGATCCTTGGGATAACTCCGCTATCAAAAAAAGCGTAAAGCGCGCGCGCCTATGAGAAGTGCTCCAGCAGCATGGAGACCTTAGCTATGTATCCATGTTCAAGATCTCGCTGGCTCTAGAGCTTCCTATGTGCTCCAATTCGTTGTTCGAAGGAAACCGGTATGAAAATACTAGGATAGGAGAAGGAATCTAGTGACGGTTACCATGTTTCATCCTGACGTAAGGCTGATAATCCATCTGGGTAGGACTCAACCTTCGTATTGTGCGATTCAGCTATTATTAGAGAGGGAGAGGATCATACGAGATACGATCTATGTACCGCTAGGCGGAGGGCGGGGACTGAACGTAATGAGCATGTGAACGTAAGTAGGCTCGTGCATGTGAAGTAAGTAAAGTGGCATATAAAATGGATAGACAGATGCACTAGAATAGGTGAGGGAGCTTACTTTTAGTTCTATCAGGTCGTACTAGTCCCTTAGGCGTAAGAACGTTGAAAAGGTCGTCACGCATTTTTACGGTGCTGCCTGTTACGAGCAACGACCAGCCAAGGTCAACCTAGGAACGTTCTTCGTGGTCGGAGTGTTGGAGTTTTCGCCTTTCCTCCTTTACCTTGACTTGTTAGTATCGAAGCACTTATGCTCATGCTACGGACTGTGTTTGAGAGCTCGGTCGTAGACTCGGGATCGGTCGGCAGTGCAGGTTCCAAAGAAACACGCTGGTTCACGTTATTCACACCACCAATTCCCCCCGGGGCCCAGACTGTATACAGAGTGACCAACGCTGATCAATGATCCGTCCACCACCTACACCAAAAACTCCACCAACGTCTCCAGCATCTCCCTCTCCGCCGGCTCGACGGCCAAAACTCCATCCAGCTGCGCCTGCAACGTCCTCCTCACATCCGCCAACCCCTCATCCCTCTCACCCAATACCTTGACGATAGCCTTCTTCGCGCCATCATCTTCCGCTACTAACCATGCTAAAATGACGTCCATGCGCTGCAGGCAGAAGAGCCCCTCGCTGAGCCTGTCAGAGATGTTCCGAAGGTCAAACTCTTCCGCCTCCTCTTTCGAGAGACCCTTTTTCTGCTCTTGCATTCTTGCGTCGAAGGCGGATACGCGGGAGACGTAGTCCCTCCGCAATGTGACCAGTTTGTTAATTTTCTCGTAATCCTTCTCTAGAAACTTGGCTAGTACGCGGAATCGCGCATCGGTTTCTCCAGGCAATGACCGCAGGAGGGAGGCAAAGATGCCTAAAATGTGCTCCGTGGTTTCCGGATCGGGTTTCTTCGTCTTCATAAAAGTGCTGAAGAGCGGTTTGAGCCCTCGCGCCTCGACCATTCTCTCACACACGGCGGCTGCTTGGTTTATGGATTCAGCGCAACTCGCCTCTCCATTCTCAGCCGCAGATGGTTCTGCATATCCACAAGCATGGTCCAGCACTTTCAATGCCCGACTCTTGCTGATCTTGCCGTCCCGCACCATGAGCAGACAGAGCTCGACGCCCTCCGCTTCGAGGAATTTTGCCTTTCCTTCTGACTCCTCTACGATCGACGTCAAGCAATCGAACAGATTCTCCATGCATTCTTCCTCCTCGCTTCCCTTCTCGGGATCAGCCCTTCGGTATGGAGCAAGCTGCGTAAGCAGGAGCTCGACGCCATCGGCAGCGGCGAGTCGCCGTCGATTCGAGCTCGAGGATTGCGTGAGGATGGAGAGAATTTCCGAGGAGTAAAGTTTGTTCTGCGTAGTCGGCTTCTCGTCCCTTTGTATACGTTTGAGCAGCCAATTCAGCAGATTCGCATCCTTCCCTATTAGCTCCACGTTTTCCGGCTGTGACAAAAGGTTCTCCAGCACGCTGAGAGAATGATATACGCCCGACCGATCCGCCTCCTCAGACTCGTCGAACCGAGAGAAGTTCGATATCAGTAGACTCAGTAGATCCGCTTCCAGCATGGCCTTGACGAGCACATTCCACTGCTCAGGCTCCGCCTCGACATCGTCATCCGTAAGCTCTGATATGATCTCAATCGCATCAATCGCAATATCCGTGTTCTCATGCGCCAGCAGCTCCACCAGCCGCGCGGCGCTCTCGCCCTTCACAAACTCCTCGTACAGCTCCGGATGCTCCGACAGTATGCTTAACCCCTTTATGCATTCGTCCAGGTCGCCTTCGGATGCCATGAACTTGGTCGGGTCGTCCTCGTATTTAGCCCGCAGCTCGGCATTCTTGTTGATCTTCTTCTCAAAGTTGAGCGCCGTCCTCCGCAACCAGGCGGAATCGATCTTCTCCTCCGCAACCGCCGCGTCCGCATCGTGCGCATCCAGGTAATCAATCGCATCTATGGCTCTCTCGTCCAGCCCTCCTCCGAAGAATCGGCCTTCTTCATCATCGCCCTCCTCCGTCACGAACCCGGGGGGAAGCGATGGGCCAGCCTCGTCGTCGTCGCCATCGCCATCGGCGTCTTCGGCTGCTAAGGAGGCGCGAGGGGAGCGCTTGACGTCGCTGTTTGCGCTGAGCTTTGCGGATTTGTAGGCTTGGGTGGGGTCGAGGTCGGACGGGTGCTCGAATTTCCGCTTCGAGGCGCTGGTGCCTTTGAAGAGGTCGTCTATGCTTGTCATGGTTGTAGTACTATGTAGTTGGTCAGTGGATGGCTGCATGTTTTGCACTGAGATCATCGATGGATGTTAGGTCAGCCAATTCGCGCCTGCCCGTTTTTGGTTAGCGTGATTTTACGATGACCCCGATCTTCATACTCGTCGTCTGTATCCACCTGCATGATCACAGTATTAATGCACATGGAGGCGTGAACCTATATGAAATTAAGGCTAGTGTCCCGCAACCATTGCTGTGACATTGTCTGGTGAGTGAATATAAACTTTCCTTTCGCGCTGTCAACGCGCGTGGACCCTCGCTTTATTGTAGGCAGGGAACGCTGTCATTCTACCAAAACCGCTTCCATGATGTTGACCTATGTATGTACCTCCTCGCTAAGTTTCTTTGCACCGCCGCCTCATTATCTCGTGTATATCTAGACATGGACTGAAGAAAATGAGGCGTGGGAGAGCAGTACCTAACCGACTCTAAAACCTAACACCAAAACCTTCTCCAACAAGCGGACCAGGCCAGCTTCGTGGAAGGGATGTAGTTGGATGTAGAAGGGACAATTGAAAGGTCGGGATGTTGACCATACCCTTCGATCTGTAGGGAGCTGGAGAGCCCATTCAAAAGGTAACTATATCGACCATTATGCTCGACCAAAGCAGCATCTGCGCGAAGCCGAACCGTGGAATGAAATGCCTGAGAAACGTGATAGCGGGCATATACACGGCCGAAGATGGAGTGTTCCCAATAACGTGGGACGCTCGTAATGTTTCACAAGTTGTGACTACTGTGTAGACTACCCCTCCAGCTTAGCACCGACGTTACCATGTACTCGCACCACATGCCAACCTCCGGTTGGCACTCCGGTTGGCATGTGGTGCGAGTAGTCATGTCTACGAAAAGATGAATGAACGACACCATCCGAGACTTCTGATTGGCTGAAAGGAAGGACACATGCTCGTATTCCGGTCGTGGACGGTGCGTTTGGCTTTTACCCACACATGCAATGATGCGTTAGATACGCACATATAACTTCCCAAAAGCCGACTACGCGGCCTGCTGTGCCGCATCCTCTTGCTATACTGTGTAGTATATACGGAGTACATTCTATATAACAACTCCCAACCCCTGCACCATCTCCCTCGGCCGAACCTCCCTCGTTCCAACTTCCCAATCTATCAATACGAAGCCACACGCTCCCGAGGTTCGCGTCCTCAAGCACGCAAAAAGCGCCCTGATTACTGATCGCCCCTTCGGAAACCAGACATGGGTACAGTATATTAAATCCTACAGAGTATATACGAACCCATTTCCCTTCCTCCACCGCGCCCCTTCATCCACGCGAAAATCTACGTTGAATTCCTCCTTCCTCCCCCTTCTCCTTCCTTGCTCTGCTTCCCCCTCTGTTTCCCGCCGTCGTCCGAATGGGAACGATTTCATCGGCGATTTCCAAATCGAGATGCAAGCGCGAGAGTTGCAGAAGCGCACTCGCACATATTCCCGGCGCCTGGGCAGAACTCACCACTTAAACAACGGTACGGGGACGGAAACAAATTGAGTCATCATTCAGAAGGAGAGCCCTCCCTCTTGGTACTTTCGGGGCCAAGGGGTATAACGCTACGAAGACAGCTTGGGTCAACAACAAAAAAGCAGTCGACCATGTCAACGACGATCGCAAACCTGTACAAAGCATCGGCACGCGCAACAGGGACTCGTCCTTCATGTCGAAGTCATCATACAGCATTAAGCGTCTAAACCATCAGGATATCTAAGAGGGTGCTCCTCTCTATCATCAAAACGTGGCCGCGAAATCGTTAAGCAGATATCGAAGCTCCATAACCGAGGTGCGAGCACCATGTCCTCGGAGCCACCCACGTCCTAGCATGCATGTAAATGAAGACATGGAACCTAATAGGTGTACCTGAAGCCCTTCTGGTAATCCTCCTGCACAACTTTGTTAGCATGCCGTCGTCGCAAGCCGCGATTGGAAGGAGAATGACTTACATCGCTGTCCTCGAGCTCAACCTCGCCGCGGTCCGCCCTCCGGTTCTGGTGCCTGAACAACACAGTGTTGCACAGAATGATGACAATGTTCAGGAGACAGCAGGCAATGCAAGCGTACAGGCCCGGGCGGTAGCCGGGGGCGTCCTGAGTCCTGAAGATGAGACCACCGGCGATGCCGCCAATACCTCCGAATCCGACAAGGGTAGCACTGCAGAAGGCGCGCTTCCACTGGCCGCGGATGTTGTTGGCCTGGTACGACATGACGCCGGGCACGTTGCTGTTGGCTCCGGCGGTGACGAGGAAGACACCAAAGTACCGGACACCGGGAGACGAATGCCAGCCCATGATGGGAAGGCCGATCAAGCAGAGGATCATGTTGAAGATGATAATGGGGCCACGAATCTTGTACTTGTCGCCCACATAGCCGGTGCTGAACATGACGATGGCGGCAAGGGCATAGGGCGGCGCAACCAAGCACTGCGAAGCACCGACGCTGAACTTCATGTTTTGCGTCAGAATGATGGGCAGGAAGTAAGCCAGGGCGTAGGTGACGGTGGTGGTGTTGAAGAACAACATGGCATAGCCCCAGATCTTGATATCCAGACCGGCGCGGAGGAACTTGCCGAGGTTCCAGGGTTGAGGCTTCGCGTCGCCGCGATCGTGATTGACACGGTCGATAATGTACTGGGCCTCGCGCTCGTTCAGGAACCTCCAGGACTTGTGAGCCTTGTCGGGGAAGTCGACCAGCATCCAGTAACTGACGATACCCAGGAATATGGTCAGTGCGCCTTCAATGATGAAGATCCATCTCCAGCCGGTAAGGCCTTGTCTTCCGTGCAGTTGCATCAGCTAATGGCAAGTCAGCGCATTCGCTCACGGGCACTCTGGTTCATCGACGTGGGTGACTTACACCGTAAGCGAGGATACCAGCGCATGCGGAAGCCAGACTGCCCAGGACGTAGAAGACGGAGTAGCGCTTGCCGACATCGTAGCGCGTGTACCAGGTGGAGAGGAGATAGACGCAGCTGGGGAAGAAGCCGGCCTCGAAGATACCCAGCACGACACGGAGGGCAGCGAGAGCCTCGAAATTCTTGACGAAACCCATGCCAAGCATAACGGCGCCCCACATGACGACAATGGCAGAGAGGAAATTGCGGGGACCGAGTTTCCGGACGACGGCGGTGGCAGGCGGCTGGAAGACGACATAGGTGGTGAAGAAGACCAATGTGACGACGGAGTATCTTGAAACGGTCCCCACGGGCTTGCTCAGGGCCAATTCCTTGGTCATTCTGAAGAGGAAGGTTAGCGGGCGGTTGGGGCGTGCCACGGGTGAAGGGGGGCATACCCAGCAATGGCGGCAGCGGACAGGTTGGTGCGGTCCATCAAGCTGATGCAGTACAGCACGCCGACGGTGACGACGAGACGACGGTCGATGCGGTGGATGATCTTCCGCTGCTCTTCGGGGGTGAATTCGGTCTCGAAGGCTCCGCCGACGGAGTCCTTTGAGGGAGTGCCGATGTCCTCTTGCATGAGGTCGGCAGGATGCTTCTCGACATCCTGGACCTGGGTTGTGGCGGCCATGGTGAGGGAGGACGACGAGAACCTCGGGGCTCTGGTCAAGGAGAGGTGTTGTTGGATGACGAGTGCTGGAGGGTCAGCACGGCGAAGATCTCAGCGATGGAGCTGGGGGAGGTGCAGTTAATATAGTGTTTGTCGACTCTCCACTCCCCCAAACCTCGGAGGGCCCGCCTCGCAGACCGGGGAGGCGTTGCCTCTTGCTGGCGGTCTGGCTCGAATAGGGATTTCCATGGCCACTCCAGGGCTGCTGGTACCACGGGCGTTGGGAATTGCCTGGGGGATGTGCCGTCTGGGGTCACAAAACAGAGTCAGCAAGGACGAGGAAGTGGAGATTGGGGTAGCGGCTTGGCGCCCCGTTTGGTCAGTGGAGCCGGGCAGGGGTAAGATGGCAATCACTCCTAATCCGGCCTAAGCAGCATCGACGGCGAACCAACCACCATGGCCAAGAAACTGCCGGCGTCGACTGGACGAGACCGGACTCAACTCAGGGCAACCACGACTGGCACTCCAAGCCACCGGCGCATCTCTGCCGCTAGGCCCGAATTGGTGGTCTTCGCCGTTGCCATGCCCCGTTGGGAGGCTCCGGACGCCACGACTCCATTCTCCCCCGCATCATGGCGTTCCCCAGATTTACCCTTCATTGTGGAGGATACAAGAGGAACAAGAGAGGATCCAAAACGCCAGCCTCGGTTTCTTCCCTCCTCTCAGCCTGGGCATTCTTAGCCCTCCCGCGAGTCCCGCTCTCTCCCGATTCACGGAAACAATGATGATGGACTGCTTCGTCGTACCTGCTATGCCTGGCGGTGAATGAACTGCTGGTTGACTATGCACTACAAAGCGTCAGAAAGAATCAACAACCTCTTTCGAAGGTACGGAGCTGCTTCTACTGGCTCGGCCGTTCCGGCGGCATCAGCAACGGCGGCCCGGTTACACAGCATGCTGCCATCAGCATCTCGTACTATGAGCAGTACCGTGCTATCTGCTCCCATGCCCCTGGTTTGCCCTCCCCCGCACTCTGCATCATCATAGCGCGAGCACGGATTCCCGGATCCAATCTCCCCCGCGTTTCCGTCGCCCTTCCCCAGACTTGTTCAACGCCCCAAGTCTTCCTTGGATCCCTCAACACCTCGTCATTCAACCAGAATCGGCGTGGACCCTCTCCATCACGATGGGCCTGTTGAACCCAGAGCGCTGGTTACCGTGTCATGGCGGCCTTGCTGCTTGAGCCTCCTGGCTCCCCTGGTCAGGCTACTCTTCAATAGTCCCGACGTTTTGCTCATTTCAATATGGGAGTGGGGAACAGTTCGCTTCTGCTCGAGCCCAGTACCGGTATCCCTACCGAGTAGTCTACTACACTGTGTCCAATTTTGGAGTCACTGTCCATCGCGCCAAGCCCCTGCAATAGCCGGCCGGGAATAAGTCATTGTGCATCGCACCACTACCTCGACGAAACCGCGCGGGACATGCGCCAGAGGAATGGATCCTACACTTCATTCGCAATCCTCGCCTTCCTCCTGCCTGGCAGTGAGATTCAGGATGCGGGGTTGCACTGAGGGAAAACTGCCAATCAGCAACGGAATTCACTTTGTGGAGCCGAGGCAGGCCTTTGCTGCCTCAACCTCAATCCCATCGCCCGGTTTCGTGGAGACACCAATCAGGAACAAGAGTGTGACCGAGGCAGATTCCAAAAACCTTAATCCGACCTCGCCCGTCGCCGCGTGTCCAACTGGGCGTTCCCCACCGAAGCCGTGGCCCCTGCGAGAGCTCACAACACCATCGTCTGGACACGGCGGAATTATCCCACGGTGGACTAATTGCGCTCCATCCAGCGAAGCGAGATCGTATCCTGACAACGACGGCTTCCCTTTGTGTGCTGCATATATCATACCTGCTGATGTTGGTGTTCAGGCGCAGAGTTCTGCCCGTTCACTCCCTCGCCTTGATGCAGGAGATCGAACCACCACTTCGATGGTACATGGTGGGGAAGTAATTCCCCTCGTACAACAATGAAGCAAAACATATCAATTGCTAACTCTTGCCAACTAGTCCTTTTTATCTCAGGATCCATCTTCACAGCACCCGGGGAAGTGGCAAGTGGGACGACCCACAGCGAACCTTAGCTTGAATACACAGTACATCGAGCAGTGGAGCAAACCTGCGTCATGCATGCAAACATTCTTATTACCCCACAGGGCTTTGGACTGTTGGCGTCACAGTCATGGGCTGGCAAACAATGCTCGTCAAGTTCTCCAGTGGCCACCTAACAGGTGTGTTTGCCGCTGAACCACTGTGTTCAAGACGTGTCAGTTGATGGACAGCTGCAGCGCACAAGAGGTGCGTAGGTATATCAGGAACGCTTCTCGAGCCGCCTCAACATCACCCAGCCACGCCACATGTCCGGCTGGTTCTAGACCACCTCCTGCACATCCTTTCAAAGCTACACCGTACATTTTGACTCTGGAGACGCTGCTGACCAGTGTTGCACATTGTCCTTCGAGGGGCAGCACCTAAAGAACGCTGAAATTTAAATTAATGCAGGATCGAAAGTAGTGTGTATCATCTATGCCCAGAAGCCTAGGGTAGAGCACAAGGTTTCGTCTCTTAGCACAATGAGGAGACCTTCCCAAACTCGTCCTTGATCAATGACGAGCGCGTTCTAGGCACACCATCACAGCGTGTGCACATTCAGTAGGGGGAATACATATTGCCCACTCTCTGCCATTTCCACGCTTTTCGCGATCCTATGCCAGGTGCTCTCTCGATATGCAGTACAGCAGAATTCTTGAGCTATGGGCATATTATTGCTTTCATGATATGCACAAGTAGGTCGGTCAAGTCTATGCAACACACCTGGAAATCGACAATTTATTATCAACCTCCCTCGCATGATGTCAAGTGTTCGATTATCTGCGGCTCAACTCCGCCTCCCTGTTTCCGAGGGACCGGTCCAGGGTCTCTGTTGAGGTCTGGGCCATAGCCCGTAGCCGGCAGGGAAGATGTGAACCGACGCTCGGACCTGACACGAATTCGCGTGCGCAGGTGAGTTTGTCGCGCCTGCCAGATTGTCCGTGCCCAAGGCGCCCAGGATCTGCAGAGGCAACCAGACAGGCATCAATGTGTGTTCGTTTTTCACACAGCCGTAGCATCTCCTCCGTCCTTTCCATTCCTTCACTCTCTTCTTGTTGGAAAGGCATGGCTCCACGAACGCGCTCCGCAAAAGCATCTTTGGCGACCAGAAACTTGACAAATGCCGATGTCGATTCCGATGGCACCTCCACCCCTCCAACACCGACTTTTAACGGAACACTTAGCAGATTCCAATATGCTTCTACCTCAACATCCACCGAGGTCGTTACAAGCACACCAGGAGGCTCACCCGCATTATCCGCAAAACGAACCCGAACGGTGACCGTGACTGCTATTTCCGAAACATCACCCCGTCCGAAGAAGCGGCAGAAGCCCAGCAGATATGCCCATCCATCCAAATACGCCCATCTGTCACCTCTCGTCGACATCCTCGAGCCGAACCTCATCTGCGTCTTCGTCGGCACCAATCCCGGAGTGCAGACGGCCACCGCTGGCCATGCCTACGCCCATCCCTCGAACCTCTTTTGGAAGCTCCTGCACTCTTCCGGTCTGACGGATCGCCGCTTGAAACCAGAGGAGGATCGGAGCCTACCGGCCCTGTATTGTATGGGCAACACAAACATAGTGGACAGACCGTCAAAGGATGCTGCCGAGCTGTCGAAGGAGGAGACGGCGGCTGGTACCGCCAACTTGGATGCGAAATTCCTAAAATACAAGCCCGAAGCCGTATGCATAGTCGGCAAGGGCATATGGGAGGCCATATGGCGATACCGATATGGCCGGAACATGAAGGCTTCCGAGTTCAAATATGGTTGGCAGGATGCGGAGCACAACATGGGCAAGAGCGAGGGAGAGGAGGTGCTGGATCACAATGCCAACGTCTGGCAAGGCGCAAGGGTCTTCGTCACGACTTCAACGAGTGGACTGGCGGCGAATCTGAAGCCGGCGGAGAAGGAGGCGATATGGAGACCGTTTGGGGAGTGGGTGCAGAGGAGGAGGGCCGAACGGGGTTTTGAACCAAGACTGGTGGGAGACGCTTCTCCACCGCGCATCCACGGCTAGTAGACCATCCTCCCCCATCCATCTCCCATCTTTCCGGAGCAACGGCAGGACACAATCTCCTCAGTGGTGACGAAGGACGTGGCTGAGCTGGTGTGGCTGTGCTCGTTCCCCTCGCTGACATAATGCTACCTCCGCGGCGTTGGCCAACCAGCCAGCGTTGCCCGTCCCTCGTTGACGTTTGGACCTTGGAAGAGATCACCATGACCAAACTCCGCTCTCATCCGTTCCGGAGACAGGGCCAGGGCCATGTGCCCGCCGAGGTGAAAGGGCATTGCGGGCACTTTTGCCCCCCTTAAGATAGTAGACAACGGAATCTGAACCAAAAACAGCTCAAACTCTTCACAAGTGCTTGATCTATTGCGTCTTGACCCTGCAATGTGTCGAGAAATAGAGTAGTACCCTCTCTCATGCCACTTCGACTTCGCCCTCAGACGCTTAGCGAGATCGGTTACTCGATTAGCGCGGCGGGTCCTTCTCCTGCTCCTGCACACCCAGCCCTGACACTCTCTCCCCGTCCCTTGCCACGACGTCGTGCTCGCGACGACCACGGCCTCTTGTTGGACTCCCTCTGCCCCGCGACTCGCGCCTACGGGGAGGTGAGCCATCTGCCGTGCTTCGCGCCGCAGCAGCCAGTCCATCGCTCTCCTCTCTATGCGCCCGCCCGTCTCCATCTTCACAGGAATCGCCGAAGCACCAAGTTCAAGTCTTGAGTCAAGACGCCTGAGCGACCCCGACTACTACTACTACGAGTCCCTGCGGCAACACGGCAACGAGACGCAGAAGCCCACCGTCCCGAGAGAGAAGCAAGCACAACCTCCATCAACCTCCCTGCAGGCCCTATGGCCCTCGCCGCATGCCGCTGATCCGCACAGCCCTCTCGGACCGGGTGCAATAGGAGGAGGAGCTACCCACAAGCAGCAGACTGTTAGAACACCGCCCGCCGTCGCCGGACTGAAGCGCGCTGCCAGACCGAGTCCTATCGATCCCGCTGATTGCGGGGTTTCGGGAGAGCCTTTGAGCGAGCCACTGCACAAGAGGCGTCGCCTCGCCCTTCGTTCAAGACATTCTCTAGATCAATTCCGCTTTTCCAAAGGGGTTACTCTCAGGGCGGCCGGCCAACCCCCTTCGCCCCTCTTCTTCTCCAATTCTCCCCGGAAGCGACCGAGTCTACCCGCCCGCTTCTCGAGCTCCGAGGCCGCAGCGAGGATGCTCAGCAAAACGCAACGGGAGGAGAGCGCCATCAAGACCGTCACCCTAGCAAGAGGCACATTCAGTGGTATCAGCCCTCCAGGCGTTACCAGTGGCAAGAGCTCAGACAGGTCCAGTGTGCCGCCAACATCGTCGCCAGACCAGCGCGACAGGACCGATCCACTGCGACTCCTTGCGTCGGTCGGCATTGTCGAACTGCTTGAGAACGATACGCGACCGACATTCATCATCGATATCGCCGAAGCGTCCAATTATACCGCAGGTTCCACGAATGTCCATATCCTGTTCGCGAATAATGCGCTGCGGTCAAACCCGCCGATATGGGAGCTAGTGACTGGGAGGCTTCCGGGGCATACGCCGAATGAGACTCAGACGCATGCTCTGAATCAGTTCAAGGGCTGGTTGCTAAGTCCAGTAGTACAAGGCGATGGACAGGAAGCGAACCCCTCACCTGTTGAACATGGCGGCACGGTGTGGTCATGCTATACACTAAGAAGACGCCTACGTGTGGTGTCAGGCTCTGTACCCTCTAATACGCAATCTCCCATTCCCTCCACAAGAGAAACCAGCCAATTCTCTATATCAACGCCATCTTCACGTGGACACAACAAGAATCGTTCAGAGAGAGCATCAGTATCTCAGCCTGAAGCACAGGATTACTTTGGTGATTCCGTTGCGCCGCCTACAGAAGCACCGGCTCCCGATAAACCGCCACCCCCGGAAGAATTGACTGATGGCGAGACTGGACCTGTCCCAGAACCTGCTGAGCAGCAGATGGGGATTACTCCAAGGCCCAGCAAGCTGGATTTGACAGTGGTAGGCGGAATCCCAGGGAGCGCTCAGGACCATGATGTTGGGTTCTTCGACTGGACCCGACTGAGCTTGTCCCCTTCGCTTCCCAGTCACATTCAGTTTGCGCGTTCCATTGATTGGAGCTCGACCTCGCTTGGGCCTATCGAGTACTGGACTAGTGATTTGCGGGCCATGTGTAATCTAATCATGGCGAGCCCTCATCCTGCGGCAATGTACTGGGGAGAGGATCTCGTTGCCATCTACAACGAAGCATATATCGGTCTCGCCGGCCAGAAGCACCCCCGGCTCATGGGTCAGAGTTACAAGGAGGCGTGGGCCGAGATTTGGGACGATGTCAAAGATGTCTTCACAAATGCGCGTCTGACTGGTCAGGCGACGATGAAGGATGACGATTGCCTATTCATACAAAGGAATGGATTCCTAGAAGAGACATACTTCTCGTGGTCCATTATCCCTATGGTCGGTGAAGATGGCACTGTCATGGGCCTCTACAACCCTGCGTTCGAGAAGACCCGACGGAAGATTGCCGAACGCCGAATGCTTACTCTGCGCGAGGTGGGAGAACGTACAGCCACTGCCCGCGATGTTAAGAGCTTCTGGGGCCAGGTCTTGGACGCGCTGACGGAGAACGAGTACGACACCCCATTCGCGCTATTATATTCGGTTCAAGATGAGACGGATAGTGATTGTTCGTCTCTGCATTCGAGCAGCCTTTTAGGGAACAAGACGTGTTACCTCGAAGGGTCATTGGGGGTCCCGCAAGGCCACCCGGCCGCGCCCGAAGCTATGGATCTCAAGGAAGGGAATGAGGGCTTCGGTCCCGTGTTCCGCGAGGTCATGAAGACGGACAGACCTGCCGTTCTAAGCATCGGTTCTGGGGATCTACCCCTGGAGATGATGGAGGGTATTCAATGGCGCGGCTTCGGAGATGCTTGTCGCGATGTTGTCGTCTGCCCTATACATCCCACAACGGGAGACGTCATTCTGGGCTTCCTGGTCGTCGGTGTCAACCCTCGCAGACCGTTTGACGACGATTACAATCTCTTCATTCAGCTCCTGGGTCGACAGCTCGGCACGTCTCTAGCGTCCGTCGTGTTATTCGAGGACGAAATCCGCAGAGGCCAGAAGGCGGCGAAACTCGCCGCTGAAGACCGGTATAACCTCTCGGAACAACTTGCCGCACGGACCCAGGAAGCACGGGATAGCGAGACCAAGTTCACGAGGATGGCGGAATACTCGCCAGCTGGACTCTTCATTGCGGACCACGAAGGACGCATCACGTTCTCTAATGACGCTTGGTATGAAATCACCAGGGTCCCGAAAGAGCCGGATAAGACGGATCGATGGATCGATTATGTCAAAGAGGAAGATCAGTGGATTATACAGGAGCACTGGAGAGGCTTGGTGGAGAATGCGGATGCGATCAACATCGAAATCAGATTCAAGGCAGCTTGGGAAGATAGAAACGGAAACAAGGGCGACACCTGGGTTCTCTTCTCAGCGTTCCCGGAGACGTACGAAGGAGGGAACCTCAAGAGCATCTTCGGCAGCTTGACCAACATCAGCTCGCAGAAGTGGGCCGAGGACTTCCAGAAGCGCAAGATGGAGGAGGCCGTCGAGATGAAGCGGCAGCAGGAAAACTTCATTGACATCACCAGCCACGAGATGCGGAATCCCCTCAGTGCGATCCTGCAATGTGCGGACGAAATCTCCGCCAACCTGGGCGACTTTCGAAACGCGGATCCGAGTGCTCTTCCGAGGACGGTGATTGGTGACTGTGTTGACGCGGCGCAGACGATATCGTTGTGCGCGCAGCACCAGAAGCGAATTGTCGATGACGTTCTGACGCTGTCGAAACTTGACAGCGCCATGCTCATGGTGAGTTGTGCCACCAGTTCATCCCTTCCCCTACTAACTGGTTCCCACAGGTCACCCCAGTTGATGCTCAACCGATACAAGTGGTACAGCGCGCCCTGAAGATGTTCGAAGGCGAAGTCCAGACGGCGGGTATCGAGATGAATTTCGTGGTCGACGAATCCATCCAAGACCTTGGCATCGACTGGGTCAGGATGGACCCTTCGCGTGTCCTGCAGGTCCTCATCAATCTCACCACCAATGCCATCAAGTTCACCGCCACGGGGTCGAACCGCACCATCAAAGTGATTCTGTCCGCATCAAGGACACGCCCGTCAGCCAGCCCAAGCCCGACTGTAAGCTTCTTTCCTTCAAGGACGAAGCATATGGAGGCCGAGTTTGGCCCCGACTGGGGCGACGGCGAAGAGATCTTCCTGGAGTTCGCGGTAGAGGACACCGGCCGTGGTTTGAATGATGAAGAGAAGAAACTGCTCTTCCAACGATTCTCTCAAGCGAGCCCGCGGACACACGTGCAATACGGAGGCTCGGGCCTCGGCCTGTTCATTTCGCGCCAGTTGACGGAGCTTCAGGGCGGGGAGATTGGCGTTGCGTCACAAGCGGGGAGGGGGAGCACATTCGCCTTCTACATCAAATGCAGGAAGAGTAATAAGCCGACGGAGCGCGTGGAAAGTCTCCCGTATCCCATGAGGCGTCCTTCAGCGAATCGGACGCGCCACAGCTTACCTGTGGTGAGAGGGGGTGATATAACTCCTAAAGACGAAGGAAGAGAGGGTAGTAAGACGCCAAAAGCACGCCTAAAAGTCTTGATCGTGGAGGATAACCTAGGTTTGTGATGGCCGACTAGATGACGAGCTGTGAGCAGAGCTGACTTTCTCAGTTAATCAGAAGGTGCTGCAACGCCAGCTCCAGAACCAGGGTATAACCACGCATGTGGCAAACCACGGCGGAGAGGCGCTCGATTTGGTCAAGGCATCCTGGTACTGGAAGGAGAATCGGCCAGATGCAGAGGAGCTAGGGGTGTTGCTCATGGATAAGGAGATGCCGTAAGTCCCGCAAATGTGTTGTGCGCTGAGATCCTCCCTCGTCTTACCAATTCTTTAGAATCATGGACGGACTCCAGTGTACCAGCCAAATCCGAGAGTGGGAGAAGCAAGGGCTGCTGAGGTGCCACGTGCCCATCATCGCGGTCACGGCGAACGCGCGGAGCGAGCAGGTGGCGACGCTGCGGGCGGCCGGCATGGACGACGTCGTTTCGAAACCGTTCCGCATTTCGGAGCTGGTGCCTAAGATTGAGGATCTCTCGGCGAAATATCCCGATGGACTTGGTGATGGGTCGCGTACACCTCAGCCTCGTTCGAGCGAGTCGGGGGCGAGGACTTCGTAATATATTCAGGAGAGGAGGGGCAGGAGATGGAGTGGAGGAGAATGAGGAGGAGGAATGTTGAGGAAGAGATGGAAGAACAGTTTTATTAACATATACAGCGCTCTTTTGCCTTTGATTCCCACGCTGGCCAAAAGCTATGGTTTGGGTGTTTGATTTGCGTTGGGGGCGGGGGGCCTTAATGGGCGAATGGGATACGTACACATGAGCATTTTCAGGGGATCTTGGCGCATTTTTTTGCTGGGTTGGCCGGTTGAGCCTGCAACGTACATCTCTTGGAGCAAGGCGTTGGCGTTGGCGCTTTTTGTTGTTCTTTGGGGCGCTGCTACGCGCGTCGTGGGACTGTTTTGTGTTTCTTACGGAGGTGATTGCTGATAGAGAGAGGGTTTGTGGCGGGTGGATGCATCACTGTTCACTGTACAGCTTCGCTTTGTTGGCGGAGCAGGACGAAGCGCAGTCAAGTGGCTATGGTATTTATGGTTGTTGGGAAACGCCATGTGTAGGGAGCTTTTCCTCTCCGAATCTGGCATGAGGAGGGTAGTGGGTGAGGTAGCTATAGATGAAGTGGAAAAGTCCATGGAGAGGACGAGATTTGAGGGGAAGGGAAGGGGATGGAACGAGATACCATATACGCAATAGATACATGCAGGAGGGGCGGAAGACTTTTGAGGCTGCTGGCTGCTGATTAAGAGGTGTGTTGATGCCCTAATGACACGTCTGGTTGAACGACCACTGCACTTTCTGGGTGGATTGGATTTACCTGCAGCGGGTCCGCAGAAGGGAGGTATTGGAGATTGGCTACAAGCTCTTGTATTAAAACCATAAAATTGGGATCCGGACCTGGAGAGATAGACGCGCTGCAAATATCATGGCAAGGGCAGCCGTATCCATGCAATCCCAGGAACCCCCCCTATTGGCTGTTTTCCTCGGACGTGAAAAGAGCATGGCGGAGAGTAATGTGTGTATACTGTGCGTACTTGTATAGTGAAGAGGTGAGGTTGAACCACAAGGCACCTCTACCCGAATCCCTCGGCTCCGCCTGCCCCTAACCTCTCCCGCGTTCTTGGCAGGGCCCCACTACCCCAGTCCCGTCCACTTCGGTGCGGCGTTCACACCTCAGCCGCAACATCTACAACATCCACACCACCGTTCGTCTCAACAACGACAACAAGCGCATCCGGCATTCTACGTAGTGTACTTCCCTGCCTCGTCGATACTCCTCTCGCACTCTCGGAGCATATCCCGATTCCCCGGGCGGAGGAGGCGCGAGGAACAAAAGGAGGAAGTATGTACGACTGGTCAGACAAGAAGGACGAGTGCTACCGGCTGTATGTGGAGGAGGGCAAGGCGCTGGAGGAAGTAGCTGCGTATTTCAGGGAGAAGGGGTTTGAGCCTAGGTGAGTGGTCCTACTTTGTCGGTTCTTGTTGTTGTGGGAGGGGGACGCTTGTTACGCGAGGGTGGTATTTGGGACGCCGTAGTGGTGGTCTCCCTACCTATAGCGTTCAGCACTCGAAAGCGCTAATTAGTTCTAAAGAGGAGATTGGGCTTTGGGTATGGAGGTGTATGGTGGGCAAGCAGGGATAGTCGTCGTTATTTGAGTCGTCCCTCTTTTTCATGACTTTTTGCCTCCTTCACTCATTTAGCTTCACTTATTTAGCTGATTCTTTTTTCTTTACCCATATCACTATAGTCTGGGCTGTGCTAACAGATTCCAGCACGAGAGCCTTTCAGGCGCACTTCAAGGTAGATACCACAATCTTCGACCCCACGCACTAAGTAACCCCAAAGACCCACTAACACTCCACAGCAATGGGGATTCCAAAAGTATCAACCGGCCCACAAGAACGAGGCCCTCGTGGCCCGCTGCAGGCAGCTCTGGGAGAAGAATTTTACCCAAAAGGAGATCCTGGAGACATTGCAAGGCGAGGGATTCCGCATCACCGACAAGGAATTACTGCGGTTGAGGAGAAGACTCAACATGTACCTACGTCAGAGGAAGAGGAAGCGGAAGGCTGCCTCCACACAGGACGACAGCGAAGGTGACGAGGACGAGGAAGAGGACGGGGAGGGGGAAGAAGAGGCAGCGGTGTCAGGTGCAGCACCGGCCCTCAGTTACGAAGCAGATGGTGCAGAAGAAGTGTTTCGTGGAACCATGATGCACAGGCAGGTGACCGTCGCAGTCGAATCATCCTTTGTATCCGCGCGACGCCGACGCAGAACGAACCATGGAGCGGACCCTCCCGCCAACGTACCTGGAGAGCCTATACGGTATCCCTCGGAGACCACGCTTGACGAAAGCAAAGCCTACCTCCATCTCGACAATGACCTATATGCCGAAGTCCGGGGACAATTCAAAACGATATGCGAAGAGGAAGGCGTAAGCAGGAAGAGTACTGCCGGCCCCGAGAAATGGGGCCAGGTCAAGGGCCGTCTCGTGCGCGAGCATCCGCATCTACGCTACGTCTTCCAGCAAGATCCGGATGCGATTGCGCAAATCGGCGCGAGCCCTACGCCAACAAACGCCAGAGCGCTGGCATTAGACATCATCTGCATGGACGTGGTGAAGTTGCTGCGCATCCAAAGCACCCGCTTGACCATCGCGGATGCGAGAAACGCGCTGGGGCTGAACCCGGAGGAAGCACGCAAAGTCAGGAGCGCGTTCCTCGCCATCCTGAAAGCCAACAATTTTACCAACCAGTACGAGACTGGCCTCGACTTCTTCAATTCCCTCAAACAGTCTTGGATTCGGGGCTCGGCTCTCTCGCGGGCTCTTTCCGATGGCGACGATGAGGCGACACAGAAGCGGAAGATGAAGGCGATTGATGCTCTCACACGAGATGCTCTGAAGCGTTACCGCGCCGACCGAGGTCAGAAAGACCCCAGCTTGAAGAGCCCAGCGCATACGGGAATTGGACCCGGACCCGCACCCAAGCGGCCGAAGAAGGCTGGATCCGCACCTCGCGCCCAAGGGCAGACTGTCCCTAATGGGGATACTGCATCCCACGGCGCCGAGCACGCAGGGGGACCGTCAAATAACGGCCCTTCGGAGTTCCAGATCGACCCCTCTCTCATCCTAGCAGCTAGCGACCCGTCGATGTTACCGGAAACCGGGCACTTCGACCTGCCACCCATCGACAGTCATTTCGACGACGCCACATATTCCCACCCCCAGCAACAGCCGTATTCGCTCCCGCTGCCCATCTATCTCCGCCTCCATCTCCATTCCCAGCGAACGGCCGTTGGGAAGTCGATATGGCTCAGCATCTTCCAGTCTGGCATCATCAATGAGCTACGCGCAATCGCCACCAGGGAGCATCCGGGAACCGTTCTGCGTAGACTGGAAGGCGTGATTGCGCATAAGGTTCCGGGGAGTCGGGACTTGGAGGTCACGGTGCCTATTGATGAGCAGGAGGAGCTGGAGGCGTACTTGAGACATGTGGTGGGTGGGGCTGGCAGTGGGAAAGCAACGTTTGTCGTTTGGCTTGGGGGTCTCTAGTAGGACGAGACAAGATGGTGCGGGCAGGAAATGAGGTAGACCAAAGCAAAGCATTGGGATCAGGCAACTCCTAGTATTGCCCAATCCCTCGTAATCACACAAGTACAAACCCTGGCACGATCGTCATCGGTATCATTAGGGGGCACGACACCCACATCCGCCTCGGTGTCCTGCCGACGCGGTGCATGGGATTCCTCATCCCCATTATTGCGTCTCTGGTCATCATCGTCTTTACTATTTTCGCGCCCCGTGCTTGGGCGGCAGGGCCACGGTCTTGTCGGATCTAGGATCAAAGCCAGCAATTCCTTCTGTCCCTCTTCGGACGTGGGCATTTGACCTCGCAGCTGGAGCTGTCGATTGACTAGCCTCCGCAACAGGGCTATCTCCCAAAGATCATCTATTGTGTAAATCGCGAACCAGCAGATGCTGAGGACCAGTGCCACCCACGACCGTAAAGGCGAGTAGATGACTGTATAAGCCAGCGAGACGTACAACTGGGTGCCCGAGTCCAGAAGGGTCATGGAGAGTGCCTTGAGTGCGAAGAGCCAGCGCGTGCGTAGAATTCCTTTGCGCGGGCGCCTTCGGGGCATACAGTCGTGGTTGCCAAAGTCTGGCGAGAGATGGGGAGGTAGGAGAGAGAGTGACATGAACGTGACTCTCTCCTTGGTAAGGCAGTGATCGGGAAAGGCGCTGTCGATGTAGTCATAAACAGCGCGTAGCGTTTCCCTAGCTGTCAATGTGTCCAAACTTGGCCCACGAGATGTCGTCTGCTTCTCTGTGGATTCAAGTTGAGCCTGCGCATTCGACTCCTCAGTTGCAGGTGGTGCAGGCCGTCGGTGATAACGGTCCACGGCAGTAGGATGCTTTGTATCTACAAGGGAAGGGGTGAGTATTGCTCCCGATAAATATTCGAAGGTGCTGCTCACCGTTGTAAATCTCGGTAGCGCTGAGAAGCGGAATGGCGATCATCATGAGTGCCACAACCTGGCCGAATCCCATCCGTCGCACCCCTTTCTTGACAGTGGGACTGTCCCTCCAAACCAGGTTCACCGCGTTGAGCAGCCCGTACGCCATACCAAAGGCAACATCGCAGAGGAATTCTGCGAAGGAAAGCTTGTAAATCCGCAAAGTTCTGGGCTGGCGTGCGATGGTTTTGAATATCCCTAGACTCAGGAGCGCCTGTTGCTGGATGATAGCGTTCTGTGCCAACTCGGTACGCTCCTCTCTGGGCAAAGACTTGGGCAGAGACCAGCGTAGCACGGGAAAGGTGTAAAAGCTATGGCGCCTATATATCTTCCGTGGGTCGCTAAACAAGGCCTGTGTACACACGACATAGCTAGGGAGTAACCAGATGAATATGTAGAATACGGCGGAGAGAATTTCGGTCGGGTCGTAGCTAGTCCTGCGCATCGTACCGTTCATAATGCATTGAATTGGCGTGATCGGGTAGGCGTCGGCGAGGATATAAATGACCTGCAGAAAACACAGAAGGACAATAAACGTTGCGATACCAAGTAATCTCCAGTTGCGCACTACAGGGTTATCGTAGAAGTTTTGGCGTAACGCTCTAAGAGTGGCGAGATGGGTCATTGCAGCGAACCACGCGAGACAGAGTACGATCTCGAGCTTGTAGAATGTAAGTTTACAACGATTTGCAAGGGCGGCAGTCATGATGGCCAGGCCGCTAACCATCTGTTGGTCGCTGAAGGCTAGGAGAAATCGGCTCACACCCGCGACACGCTGGTCCCTAGGAATGGGCGTTCGCTGCTCGGGGAGTTTTCTGCCAAAGGCGCGGTAGATGATCGACTTGATTCTGAGCCATCGACGGCCTATCCACGGGAGGATGCGTTTGGCGACTGGACTTCGTTGGAAGAATGCGATGTATTCCCCATCCAGGTCGGCCAGCAGAGTCTCTGGTAGGGAGTCCATGAAATAGCCAATCAGAACAGCCGAGCATGCTAGAGAAGCGCCTATAAGAAAGGCGACGATTACCTTGATGGTGCTTGTCAGTGGGAGTATTTTGAACGAACACATGCGCTGCGAACTTGATACGCACACCTGTTCCCGCAACGTCGGAGTCTACCTCAATCTCTTTGACACACCCGTCCGCTTCCCCATAACACTCATAACAATTGGTGGAGCTCTCGCAGTTGCCCATGGATAAAACGTAGCTTTGGCCAGCCAGATAGATGAGGTTTATGGAGGGAAGGCGAGTGGTTAGTCTGTGCCTTCAGGCTCTGAGCTCATGAACTCCTCAGATTGATATGCATCGGCAATGGGCCATATGCAGGCGTACCCGTTGACGTGGGCTGATGTTATTGGCTTGTAGCTGAGCGGTCCGCAAGGCTGAAACGAGTTGATCGAAGGCTTGCATGGTATTCATGACTTGAAATCAAACCTCTATCGTTGACCTTGTTGGAATGAGAGAGTTGACAGCAAACAGAGCTACCAGCACCGATATAGTCGTATTCAAGCGGCAGTGGATTACGTCCTGGAATGGAAACGACGACAAGCATCGCAGATTGGTATAAAGTAAAGTGTTCGCGCAGCGCCTTCGGAGCGATAAAAATGATGCGAGGTTGATTGCTAGGCGTAGGAGAGAGCGGGGCGAGGGCAGTCAAGGAAAGAAGCCTCCGGGTCTTATAGGCCAGGGCCTACGCGATCATACTTCCTTCCCTTTTGAGCTTATCTCAGCTGTCCTTCCGTCTCCATGGACAACATTGAAATATCGCATGAAGGGGGATGATGGAATATTTCTGAAATGGCATCAATTCATTACAATCATGGCTATTTCATACCTAGGTACGTGGCTCTCTCGGTTCATGAATTCCACTCACCGAACACCAGCACTAAATCTTCTCATCTTAAAACGCTCTACTAATCCTTCTCCAAATCCGCAATCTGCAGCACCGCCTTGCCAAAGTTATGTCCCTTGAGCATGCCCAGGAACCCGTAAATGGCATTGTCGATGCCCTTGGTGACGTCCATCTGGGCCTTGAAGGAGCCCTCGGCGAGCCACTTCTGCAGCTTCTCCTGGTGCTCCTTTGCGTGCTTGGGCCCCATGTTCTTGTCCGAGACGATGAAACCGCGCATGGTGAGGCGCTTGCTGACGAACTGCATGAGGTTGCGGATCGGGTACTGCTCTCCCGGCTTGAGGTTGTACTGCGAGATCATGCCGCAGGCGACTGAGTCAGTTAGCCCTCTGCAGGAGAAAGGGTAGACTTTCTTTTTCCTCCTTTTTTTCATGAAGGGAGAAAATTTCGTTTATGGGTGAACATACCAATCCGGCCGAAGTCGTTCATGTGGTTGATGGCAGCCTCGAGCTGCTCCCCACCAACATTCTCATAGTAAATATCGATCCCCTCGGGAGCCAACCTCTTCAGCGCGTCCGCCGGCTTCTCCTTCTTATAATTGAACCCGCCATCGAACCCAAGCTCCTTGATGATGAACTCGAGCTTCTTGTCGTCGCCGACACTGCCAATCACCTTGAGCCCCTCATGCTTCGCCAACTGACCCACCAATTGACCCACGGCGCCCGACGCCGCAGAAATGAAAATCGTCTCCCCCTTCTGCGGCTGCCCGATCTCGTAGAAGGAGGACCAGGCCGTGAGCCCCGGCATGCCCAGCGCACCGAGGAAGATCTTGGGATCGAGGTGGTACGGGTTCTCCAGCTTGTGAGCGCTGGCCACGAAATCCTTGTCCAGCACAGAGTACTCCTCAATGGGGCTCACGCTCGAGGACACGATGACGTCACCGGGCTTGAACTTGTCCGTGTTGCTCTTCAGGACCTTCATGATGCAGCGGTTCGTGATGGGCTTGCCCAGCTCATAGGCAGGCGAGTAGCTCTTGATGTGTGCGGGCCGCATGCGGCCGCGCTGGTAGGGGTCGAGCGAGGCGTAGTAGTTGCGGACCGTGACGCCGCCCTCAGGGGGAGTTTGGTCGAGGTCAAACTCGCGGGCTTCGACGGCGAGGTCCTGGCCGGGGACGGGCCAACCTTCGGGGATCTTTTTGAAAATGACACCTTTGTTCTGGACCATTGTGATATATGCGAATGTAGAATGTAAGGGAATTGAGGACGAGGATCTAGGATAAGAGGGAAATAGTGAAAGCCAATTGATGGGAGAGCTGTGTACTGTGTACTTTAAGCTTTTGTAGTTTGGGTGGAACGTGGATAAAGCCGAGGCAATCCTCGAAGATTTCTGTACAGTAAACCCTCGCTCGACTCTGCTAGGAAACGCCTAGCAGTTTCCATGGTTGCATCATACCTACCTATTATTCATCTTCGTCCGTATCAATAACGGGGACGTGCTCCGGCGCCGTTGGGGAGTTGTCTCTGCGGGGGATTGTTTGAGCCAATCTCGACGCTGTTGGGATTGAAACCTGGCGCCAAGACCCCGAAGCGTAACCTCTGCCTACCCCACCAACCCTGGTTAGAGACATGCCATTTGTGATTCTGAAAAGTGGTAGGTAGAAGGGTCTTGTGAATAGGAAATATCCGTCGTACAGCCGGAGTATCTCTCATCCGAATCAACCTAGGGACCTACCGAACTTCATCGCGTCCGTGTCGTTTCTGCTGCGCGAAGCGCTTCACAATGTCCAACACCAACACACCCTCGGATCCGCCGCCCTCGTACGAAGATGCGCAACGCCCTGCACAGACATCCAGAGGCCCACCCGGTCAGATACCGCGATCAGGAGGCATCCCGCCACCGATGAAGCCGCCCCTGCCTCTCAACCTACCTGCGCTGGTCGCGCTGCGTGGTAAGCGCGTCGTGTTGGCTTCACAATCACCACGGCGGAGACAACTGCTGGCGCAGGTACGTACATGGCCGCACGATGAGATCTCCATGAGACCGTCCTGACTGCTTCCAAAGATTGGCCTCACAAACCTCGACATCGTCCCTAGCAACTTCGCCGAAGACCTCCCGCACACGCTCTCCCCCCTCGAATACGTCCTGCAAACCGCCTCGGCCAAAGCCCTCGACGTCTACCGGCGCGAAATCGACAACTCGGCACGAGGCGAACCGGCCCTGATCATCGCCGCAGATACCATCATCGTTACCCACGGCGGGCGCATACTGGAGAAACCGCGGAATGAGAAGCACCACTTGGAGATGTTGCGGATGCTGCGGGATGAAGGGAGCCATAAGGTGACGACTGCCGTGGCGGTCATGGCGCCGTTGGAGAGCGCCGTGGATCCTGGGTATCGGATGGAGACGGTGGTCGAGGAGACGGTGGTGCGGTTCGATGCCAGTGTGACGGATGAGCTTATCCACGCCTATGTGCGGACGAGGGATGGGGCGGATAAGGCCGGGGGGTACGGGATCCAGACGGCTGGCAGTATACTTATTGAGAGGATCGAGGGGACGTATGATAACGTAGTGGGGTTGCCTTTGAGGGCGACGTTGAAGTTGATTGAGAAGGTGATGAGGCCTGAGGATGACGACGAAGACGAAGAAGGGGAAGAGGGTTATGCTGAGAGTGGGGACGAGGATTTTATCTGAGGGGATTGAATCGATGGTGTCTATGAACGAAGATCTGATTTTGCCTGGTATGACTGCCGCAGGAACCAGTGGAAAAGAGGAGGAGGAGAAGGAAAATATGGGTCTTCCTGCTGCATGAGAAATTCATGCCGGATCCAGCTTGCAGGCTAGGGATCGCCGACGGCTCGAGACGATTTGTAAGGCGTGGCTGCAGTGTTGGGACCTGTTGCGGGTACACATGCAGGGCCTGAAGTGAACGAAGGCCGTCGTTGGGCGGTGCTGAACCTTGTGGTGGGACGCTCGCTCCCATCATGTCCGTCGACATTTGGGATTGAATACCAAATCCATACGGTTGGGCCTGCGACGACTATGAAGTGGTGAGATGAACCGAATCCATGATGCCAGGATAGGGTAGCGTTGCAGGTATGCAGCCGCAGATAGGCAGTAGCTAGCAATAATGTTGAACTGCCTACCTGCCTGACGTGATTACGAACTGTAGATGTTTCTAGAGCTGCTGTTACTTCCCATCATCGACACTATTATGTCTGCAGTCACAGCTACTTTCTGGGGTATCCGGTGAACCCCATCTTGGAAATTGACATGCGTATTTCTGAGACTGTGGTGTCAAACACAGAATGGCGATCGCTCTGTGGTATGCAGTCTTGGAACCATGCCCAGACGAAAAGTGAAGGAATAGTGTAATAATTGAGACATAGCTGGCTCCGTACAGTTTCGGAGATCTGCCCCTTGAACCTCGCTCGACGCCCAGAGCCAGAGGAGAGTCACAACAAGTGAAACGATGGAAGAAGAACCTCTGGTGAGGACTGCCAACTGAAGGTGAAACGTCAAAACGCCACAAAACGAAACAAAGGAAAGTCTGGAAAAGCTTGTGTTTTGGGAATATTCACAAAAGAGGCAAGGCGGAGCGCGCCCTGCAGATTGAGCAGGGAATGAAGGACCCTGGTCCTCGCTTGCTCCCGATTGGGACGTTTTGAGGAACCACGCCAACAAACCTCCGTTCCCAACCCAACGACGATGTCAAAGTACGCCGAGATGAGAGGGCAAGGTTTGGAAGTTGGTAAATGAAGAAGATGGCATGGATCAGTTGTGAAGTGGTTTCGAACATGTTCACTCTCGACACTTCGGCTTGCTGATGACATGGCTACTTTCGGCCAATGGTTTTGCTGAAACGTGAACCGGAGTTGGAGATGGTTCTCTGGCGCTGGGAACGAAACAGTGCGCATTCTCGCTCACCTACCTGATCGTCTACAGCAGCGACTCCCAGCTGAGGGATTCGTAACCCGCCGTCCGCGCAGCTGCACAACGCGAGCGAAGGTCCGTGCATAGATCCCCACTCTTTGCTGATTCACCCAGACGACAACCATCTCGGCTTCTCATCTACGGTTCGTGTTGAGAGCTGCTGAGATTGACGTTTCCCCTGCACCTGCAGGCATCATGTGGCGCTCGTTCTGGAAGCAACCTCTACTGCTGCTGCTGTAACGAGGAGAGCCGGGAAGCTGGTGGGGAGCCGATGGTTCCTACCGAAGAGAGGGAATACGGTAGGAGGGACAGAGAAGGAGGATACTTAAGCTGCCCTGTTGCTCACCAGAGCCCGCACTCTCATCACCGTCCTCATTCCATCATCCCTCGAAAAGAGAAAGCAGCCACAAGCTCCGAATTCAGAGGATCGCAATCATGGCCGATCAGAAGTTGACGCCCACGTTGGAGGGTCAGTGCTTGATACACATGCCAACTCCTCATGGCAGCTACTGACGATGACGATGGTTGCAGACGTTCTAGGCTGCCAGGCCGCTTGCTTCGAATGGGCCGACAGCTACGACAGCAAGGTATCCACCCCTCCTCCTCCCCATCACCAGCCTCGTCACCACCATCGTCACCCTCATCGCCTAGCCCCCTCTTAGTGCTCACACCCTTCTGTCACAGGACTGGGCGCGCCTCCGCAAATGCATTGCGCCGACGCTCCGCATCGACTACCGGTCCTTCCTCAACAAGCTCTGGGAAGCGATGCCGGCCGACGAATTCGTCACCATGGTGTCGGACAAGGCCGTGCTCGGCGATCCGCTCTTGATGACGCAGCACTTCATCGGCGGCACCAGGTGGGAGAAGGTGTCGGACGACGAAATGGTCGGGTACCATCAGCTGCGGGTGCCGCACCAGCGCTACACGGACGCGTCGAGGACGCACGTGGCTCTCAAGGGGCATGCCCACAGCTCCAACACGCATTGGTACAAGAAGGTCGAGGGCGTGTGGAAGTTTGCCGGGCTGAATCCCGAGATCCGCTGGGGCGAGTATGACTTTGACAAGGTGTTTTCCGAGGGGAGGGACTCGTTTGGCGAGGCGGAGCAGGAGAAGAACTAGAGGCTGCGGTACTGGTCTCCTGTGCATTCTGTCGTTGGGGTTAGTCTTGAGTTCTGTCTCTGTTGCTGAAATTGTGCATCGAATGACAAGGCGCAAACAGGCGGGATCGAAGAAGTAGCAGCTGGAGTATCAGGCAAAATCACATGCATAGTTTTTACGAATATAACTCTTAAAATTCGGAAGCAATGCGCTGAAGATGTAAACGGTAGCATGATTGGTTGGCATGGGATAGACCCAACTAACCCTGTTCCTTCTATTGCTGTACTGTGTTTCTCATGGATAACAAAGCGCAAACATGTTAGAGCGAAGACTCGCAGTACGGACAAGCAAAATCACATGGATAGTTTGGACGACTATATCTCTAAAGATTCGGAAGCAATATAATGAGGTAAACTGCAGCATAACATTTGCGCATGTTCTCTCGCGAACCGAAGCCTCTCAGGCTACTACAAAACCGTGCTGGTTTTCGCGATTGGCTGCGCGTAGCCTCGCGCGCAAGCACATGGGTGCCTCAACGCATCAGGTCTGCATCCCGAGATTGTCTGCCTATGGCATGCTTCCATCCCTCGTCATGCCACCGCGGCTTTTTTACAAGATGGAAAGTTCCGCTTTCAGGAGGGTTGTGCTCGATCCCGCCAAGCTCCGATGTCAGATGTTAGCGCTTGAACCTCTGAAAGTTGTAACAAGCATGATGGGAGACTGGGGGCAGATATGACGTACGTGTATTTACTCTCAAGAGAGACGGTTGTGAGAAGCAGGAGACGGGGGAAAGTGGGAACATCAACGCCTTTAAGAATACCTCAGGGGAAAGCACATGCAGATGATGACATTGAAGGCAAAAAGCAAGCGCTTGGGAAGCATGTCCAGGTTGGAGAGAGCCCATCCGCACCTCAAAAGCTGTCCAGGCAGAGACGGTGCGAGGAGGGGGGCGGCTGAGAAGGCGGCAAGGCGGGTAGAGCGGCTATCTGGCCATTCACAGGGCTTCGACCGGCGGCGAGGCGGCAGTTTCTTGAGCGGGAGGGCACCAGTAGGAATGGATGCGCCTCCAGAGTTGCAGACGCTCAGACGCGAAGTGTGACACACCGGCCAGCTTGCTCGGAGCTGCATCGAAATGCTACCTAGCAGAAGCCATGGAAGCTACGGAGTACTACTCTATGGAGCCATGGACGTGGGGTGGAGAATGGGCAGGGCTACCACAATCCCCCTGCCAGAGAGAGATCAAGAGATCGGCCCAGAAAGCTTGTCTGCGCCTTGGCACATGCCACCCTGGTCGCTGCGGCGCCTCGGTGCGCGTCCTGCAGCTTCCAACCTGGAGGGTTCCTCCTCTCAAGCTCGTGAAATAATGGCCGCAATGCAATCGACGTTGAAACGCCCGAGGAGCTGCCTGATGATGACAAGATGGGGGTCATCAGGCAGCCAAATCTCTTCTTCGAGGGCCGATTTCGAAGTAACTTCCCCTCTCCTAGAATCCAAAACTTGAAGGTGGTGGTGATGCTGCTCGCTTCCGGCGCAAACCCTTGACCCCCCGCCCCCAAGTCACTGGTATATCTAGCCCTTCAACCTCGCTCACTCCTACTGCTGCTCCTCCTCCACCACCACACCACCCCCCATTTCCGCCCCGCGCCTCCCAGCAACCTGCTGCTTCCTTCGGTCGGTTTCCTGGGCAGGCCATTGTTCCATTCGCCTTCTTTCCTCCCCTTCTAATCCTTCAGAGACTTGCCATCTCTTGGCCTTGCCTGGTACGTTGCTCCATGTTCCTTCCCCTCACAAAATTCTTCACAACCTTGGCGCACCCCGTCCAACGCCCTCACCACCCGCCGCCCAACGTCCCGCTCCTCCCGCCTGCGCCAAAACCACCTCCAAATAGTGGTCGAGGGTGCGCGACGACGGCGAGGCCGACTTCGACGTGTTGCGCGTCGGCCCAGTCGCGCGACCAGACCCAAGCTCGTTTGTCACCCTTGCAGCTCCCGACGCGCTGCTGCTACTGCTGCTACTGCTACTCCTGCTGTCGCCGCCGGAGCAAGACAAAGCATATTGCACGTCGTCGCGCTGCTTGGATACGATAGGAACAAGCCAAAGTCGAGACAGCGCAGGCCGGAGCAGAGCTCGCCTTCGTCGCCTTCACCCCCCACCTCCATCTCTCTGTGCAACCTGCAACTGCATCACCGTCCTTCGTTTCTCGCAAACCCCCTCACTAACTCTGCTGTCCAAGTCTGCGACTCGACCTTTGACCTTCTACTCGTCTCGACGCACGGCTGGCGTCTGCGTCATACTGCCTTCCACTTCTTCTCCGCTGCTTCGGTCGCGCCTTCCCCCGCTGCTAGACCGACCCATCCGGCTTCTCTTGGTAAGTGCCCTCCAGCTTCTTCACCCCACCGCACCTTCCCTCTCCTCTCCTCCTCCTCCTCCTCCTCTTCCTCCTCACCAACAGATCTCTCGTCCCCGCCCTGCCCCCACCCCTTCACCTCCGCTGGCCCAGTCTTCCATCTTCCCTCCTTACCCGGTCTTCTTGCTATCATCCTTCTATCTCGTACTATTTAGTCTGCTATTCTTATCCGTCTCTGACACCATTGTGCCATCAGTTATTCTCCGAATCAGTCCTTTCTGTCCCCCGACAATCTCCGTCAACATGAGCTTCGCTCCCGGCTACCCCGCCTATAACCCCGCTCCCATGGGCGAGCAGGCCGATGTCCAAGGCGGCAATGGCGTTCCTGCCCAGCCCGGCGATATGGGCAGCCAGATGACCCAGCAGATGGCACAGCAGATGGGCCAGCCTATGGACAACGGCCCTGGCGCCTACCCCGTCGGACCCATGGGCGTCGGTCACCCCGTGCCTCCGCAGTCCGGCGACGAAAAGAAGACGCTTTGGTATGTACTCTTCCTCTACCCCGGGACCCACTGGGCCCACGGGGGGCTATTGACTGACATGTCTGCAGGATGGGTGAGCTCGAGCCCTGGGTCGACGAAAACTTTGTGCGCCAGATCTGGGCCAATATGGGCGAACATGTTGAGATCAAGATGATCAAGGACAAGTTCTCTGGGTAAGAAGACTCTTGCGTCGCAGACGGGGTTCGTCAATCGCTGACCGTGACCCTAGCAACAATGCCGGCTACTGCTTCATCGATTTCGCCACCCCTGCCGCCGCTCAGAAGGCACTTACTCTCAACGGATCCAACATTCCCGGCACGAACCGTCCCTTCAAGCTCAACTGGGCTACTGGCGGTGGCCTCGCCGATCGCAGCCGTGAGGACCGCTCCCCCGAGTACAGCGTCTTCGTTGGCGATCTGGGACCCGAGATCACAGAGGACACGCTCACCCAGGTCTTTGCGCAGCGCTTCCAATCGATCAAGGCCACCAAGATCATGACGGACCCCAACACGGGCCTCTCGCGCGGCTACGGCTTTGTTCGTTTCAGCGACGAGGCCGAGCAGAAGCGAGCTCTGAGCGAGATGCAGGGTGTCTATTGCGGCAACCGTCCCATGCGCATCTCCCCGGCCACGCCTAAGAACAAGTCCGCCAGTGCTGGTGGTCCCGCTGGCCTGGCCATGTCCCCCGGCCCTATGGGCATGTATCCGATGGGTGTTCCCCCGATGACTCCTTACGGTGGTTTCGGCGCCCCCCAGCCCATGAACCAGTTCACTGACCCCAACAACACCACCGTCTTCGTCGGAGGCCTCTCTGGCTACGTCACCGAGGATGAGCTGCGTTCCTTCTTCCAGGGCTTTGGCGAGATCACCTATGTCAAGATCCCCCCGGGCAAGGGATGCGGCTTCGTCCAGTTCGTCCAGCGTCATGCCGCCGAGATGGCCATCAACCAGATGCAGGGATATCCTATTGGGAACTCCCGCGTCCGCCTGTCGTGGGGACGCTCTCAGAACAATTCCGGTCCCGCTGGCACCCCTTACAGACCGGCACCGCCGCCTCCGGGTCCCTATGGGATGGGCATGGGAATGCCTCCCATGGGTGGACATCCCTATGGCGCCTATCCCCCCATGAAGGTAAGAGAATCTGCCTCGTAGACGGGTCGCCGTTCAGTACTGACCGCGTTACAGTAAGGAACCATTCCCTTCGTTGCCGTGAGGCCTGCCTGTTGATTCCATCGATCCCTCACGTTTTGGTCACGGTCCGCTCTGGTTTTGCAGCCTCATGAAACTGCTTTGGCTTTGTTCTTTCCTGCACTGTCGCGGTACCTTCAAAAGTCGCCCTATTTCGTCTTCTTCCATCTGGCCAGTGGGATATCTTGATAAGATTTTGTATAACAGCATCTTGTGGAGTCTTGCCTGGCTTTGGGACGGAATCCCAGGGGTGTAAAGCCAGACCTGCAGTTTTCTGGTGTCGGGGTTACTTACACTGTCCTTCTTTCCTTTTCGTTTCATCATGACGACTCTGAGGCTGCAATGATGTTTTCGATCCTTCCAAATTGAATCCGGCTTTTTTTAGACGTCATGTTTCGTGCTGCTGCCGCTTGCTTGCTCGCTTGCTTGAGTCGCGTATTTGCCTTGTCGTCGTCCTTGGTCGTTGTCGATAAGCGAGTGATCGTGTCAAGTGTGCTGCTTCTGTTTGTTTCGCCTCTCCCGTCCGGTAGCAGCTGGCTGACGAAAGCTACAGCGACCGACCCTTCGGCACCAAGAGAGACCCTCCCGGCTTGTCCCAGGCCGTGGCGAAGCATGCGGATGACGAGCACGCCGGCGACACGGTCGATGGCTACGAGATTTATAATGGGACGGATGTTGCCAACGGGACGGCGACGATCAACAGCAACCTCGACGGATACGTCCACGGGGGAGCCAACGGACACGGAGGCGAGCAGGCCACCCCCAGCAGGCATCAAGAAAGAGGGCCATTCAAGCCTGGCTCGCTCTTCGATAAGGATGTGCTGGATGCCTATGCCGCGAGGAACCGTGCGGAGACGGAACTTCATAAGCGGCTTGCTGCTGCTGGTGATGCTGCTGCTACTGCTAGCTATAGGAGCAGCACGGGAAGCGTGAATGGTGAAGGCTGGTCGTATGCGGAGCGGAATCCCGCTGCCAGCCGCGTCACGCAGCTCATCGACAACGACACCATCGGCACCAACGGCACAGCCGGTACGGCCGACAAGAAACGGATGGATGGTGCTGCAGCGCCCTGGGCGCCGCCCCCGAGGGCGAGGCATGACAGTCTCATTTTTTCTCCTGCGTCCTCCTCTGCTTGGAGACCGCCGATGACGAGGCTTGATACTGGATTCTCTTCGCTTGCGAGCCTGCAAACCGCCGCCAGCCCAGAAGCCAGCAGCGTAAATCCTACCAACGACGGTATCGGTAGCCCGGCGGCTCTTGTTACCCCCGTTACGCCCGTCTCAGCGACGCGTTCGTGGAACGCTAGTCCGAGTCGAGACAACGGCTTTGCTGCTCCTGCGGTTTCTCGTGGCCCTGCTCGAGCTCGTTCGCCAGTTACTTCTGGCCCATCTGCCGTTGGTACTGGTACTGCTTTTGGTGGGCTTCGAGCAAGGTGGGCCAACCCCGGAATCCACACAGCAGCAAATGGATTGGCTACTACGACCACTATGTCCTCCCGCTCCGGCCAGCCAAGAGAAACGACTGACCATAGTTACATGTGGAACAATACTGCCAACTACGTCCCCCGTTCCGGCCAGCCAACGGATACCACTGACCGTGATTACATCTGGAACAAGACCGCCTACTACGTCCCCCTTTACAACCGCACCGCACAATCCCAGAACCCGCGACTCTCCTCTTTAGTCGCCGGAGCCCTCGACCGCATCACGGATCCGATACCCGAAGGTAGCGCGACGACCGACCGTCCAGGTAGGCCTAGGCCAAGGCCGCGCGTGGATAGTTTCGTTGATCCCGACAGTGAGTCGGGTGGGCGTGGGCGTGTCGCCTTGGGCGATGACGAGGACGAGACCGAGGAGTTGGAGGCTCGGTTGAAGAGTATCTTTTTTTGGCAGGGGCGGGATTGAAGGGAAACTGAGAGAATTGAGATAGTTGGCTGGCGGACTGTGGGCCTGCTGCCAGTACTACATACAGGGTTTTCGTTTCGTTTCGTTTCGTTTCGTTTCGTTTTGTTTCGTTTTGTTTTTTTGTGTTCGCGATGCGATTCGATGCGATGCAAGCGTCAGTTAGCATGGCGTCCGGTGCTTTTTCCATTTTCACTATTTTCTCGCTCTTCTTTTCCCCTTTCCGAGGTTTACCTGGACCTAGAAACTGTTTAGCTTTGTTGGACGTGGATGCGGAGCGCAGCTTTTATCTTTTTTTATCACCTTTCTTGCTTCCCTTTCACATTTCTTCTTTTTCGACCTCTTTTGTATACCCACCCAATGGGTTCCGAACCATTGCGGATTTTTTTTGTTTGGTCCGGATATTGCAACAACCACGGCTACGGAAATTGCGACTACGGCGTTATTGTAGACTATTGACGGACGGGCCGCGACTTGGACTGAGAAGACTTCAAGACTACGAACGTAGAATTTGCCCCTTTTTTGCCGGGGGCACGATAGATTTGGATAACTGGATAATTGGAGTCGAGAAGTATGGTCTAATTGGAACTTTTCAACTTTGGAGGAATTGGTTGAGTCGGAGAGGGTGGACTTGGGGGCTGCGGGGACGAGGATTAAGAAGGATGGCGGGGAGTAAGGAGGATTGGGCGGTTGGGGAGGGAGGTGAAGGGCGAGTCGAAGGCATGGGAGTCGAATTACGAAATCGAACTTGTTGGTGAACTCGGCGTCGACATCCTTAGCGACATCCTCATCGAACTCGGCATCGACCTCCTCATCAACCTCCTCATCGACCTCCTCATCAACCTCATCCACTCATCGAACTGCGAAATAGATCACCACGAAAACCTCTCCACAATATTGGGTTCTCACATTTCTTGTCTGCGTTCTTAGCGAAGAACCACGACCTCTCTACTACGAATAGATATACCCATAGCCTGGATACCCACGATACCCCCCTGGACTTTTTAAGACCTGGTCCCGCCCGTCTCACCAACTACCGTTCATCTTTATACGCATCTAGGCAAGAGGAGAGGGACCGGCTGTTTTTTGGGTGTCAAGACGGGCGCACGTAGTTTCGGGCACCGCTGGCATTTGCGGATTCCTACGATACCCGCTGGACGTTTTAGACCTGGTCCCGTTTCACCAACTACCGTTCGTCTTTATTGATGCGCATGTCGGTGAGACAGATATGGCTGTTTTTTGGTGCCAAGACGGAGGCACGTAGTGTACGGGGTCAAAAAGAGAAAAGCAAAAACGTTTGTTGAAAGATTTTCCTCGTTGGGGAGAGACATGGGAAGGGAGTCTCGGAACTGAGAGTGTAGATCTCATGGCTTTGTGCTTTTGGCTGCTTCACTGGTTTGATTTGTTGCGATGTGGCTTCTCTTCCCTTGTAAGATTGGTTTCTCTACTATATTTGCGGACTTCTTGGGCATGTTGTTGTACATTTAGGTTAGGGATTCGGTGCTCCGCCTGGAACGGGGAGACCTGAATCTAGACGGCTGGTGTGATTGCTGATTATCTGGGTACTTGTACGTCTGAAATGGCGGCTGGGGTCCGCATTACCCTGTCAATCGTCCGACGATGACTTCGCCAACTTTGCCTGCTACATTTCTTCACTGTAAAGTTAACTCTGTGGATGATGCTGTATTCTCGGCTGGTTGGAATGTATTGAGGCATGGCCTGCTCTTAAATTCGCAGCAGTGATCGGATTCGTCGGCTTTGTCCATCGTCAGTGCTTGCGCAGCGCCTTCCCCTCGTGAACCTGTATGCGTAACGGTGCTTTCCGCCAAGCCAGCAGCAGCGCATACATCATGTTTACAGCCTTCTTCACATCCTCCCATGTCTCTACTTTTCCACAGGTTCACCATTCTTCACCCGGCAACGCGGTTGTGGCTTCTCATGCGGTACGACAACTGGGATGCCATCCTCTTCCCTCGGGACTCGCACATCCCCATACAAGAGTTCCGTACGGCTTGCTATGTGACCTACGACGAGTGTAAGACTACTGTCCTGCTCATCTCCAGCACCCTGCTAATGATACTCTGTTATAGATGGCCGCCAGCTACCAACTCTCACCTGCTACATTGCCTCTCTTCCTCCGGCCGCGCCCTTCCGCATCTCCATCCACTCCTGGGCTGTGAAGACGATGCCCACTGCCGTTATTGAGTCCAGACGTAAGCCTAATCAGCGTGTCGTCTACACCGTTTCAGTGATTGTGGATGGCACCAGGGTCTTGTGAGCGGTCCCGTCATTCTTCGGAGAAGTGGTCCATACTTACTTTTACATAGCCATGACATCTACAGCCTCTCGTGCAAGTGGCCACAGGAGATTGGTATGTCGAATGCCCATATATCCTAACCCGGCAACTCCCACTCACCTGGCTCCCTAGTGAACGAGAAACGATCCATCGCTGGGCCATCCCAGCAATCGAGCCAACGCCGACCTCCCCTCGAGTTTCCGCCTTTCCGCCACAACGTGCTGATGCAGAACTGCTGGGATCCGCGCGAGAACAGTGGACGGATTAGAGTTCTGCTCTCAGAGCAGCTGGTCGGCCAATCGGAGGGTTCCACGGACCTTGAGTATGGTGCGACGAATGATATTGTATGCTTTCTGTTTCAGCATGCTCCCAGAGGTACGTTAACCCCTATTTGACTCTCCATCCTGCTATCTATGACGGGTTGACCTTGGTGATGCCCCTTACCGTCAAAATAGGCTGCATTACGTTTGCGACATCGGCATACACCATTTCACTATTGGGTGCCTGAAAGTAATGCTAATAACATCGAAGATATACTAGAGCAAGCTGGCATTGCCTGGCCAATCCGGAACCCGCTCTATTTACCGTCTGTCATGAGCGATGCACATGCACCTCTCGCGCAACCGCCACCATCATGCCGCATGTCGTACGGCTCGGTTCCCGAGGGCTCGACTAAAGCCACCGCCTCGAAGAAATTCTCATCCCCTTTTCAGCGACCTCCGAATCCGGAACCCGGATCTCGACCGAATACAGCGCCTGTCCCAGACATCTCCCAGTTCCCTAAACCGCCGGGACATGACCGGGGACGAACACGAGATCAGGGGTGGGAAGAGTTCATAGCCGACTCAGTCGAAGGCTCGAGCGTGGAGGAGTCTACAAACTGGTCTACCCTACGTGCTATCTCTAAGCCAGCAACAGATTCAATGCCCGAATGCAACAATGCATCGCCACATCTATCCGCACAAAAGGGTACTCGGCAAAGTCAGCGTAAAATCGAACAAGCGAAAAGAAAAAGAGGAAGAAACGAGCCTCAAGGCAAGACAGATGATGAGAGGAGACATGTGTATGTGACCTTCAGAGAGGACCAGCTTGGAAGGCTTGTGGAAGCTTTCAGCCCTCCAAAACCAATTCACAATCCACATGTCCAGCATGGACATAGCCAATGCCCACATCGAGGAGTCCCTCATCCCTCTCCTGTATTCCCGCCTCACAAGGAAAAAGTGCAAGTGCCAGCGAACTTGCGCCCTTCACCATCAGCACTGGAGCGTAGGGCCACTCGGAACGACTTCATCAACACTGCATATACCTCGCACGTAAAGGGGCATGCCAGAGGGAAAGGGTCAATGACAGGGCTTATATGTGCCGATGATGAGAGTGACACCAGAAATGTGAGCGAGATTCGGGGTCACGGGTCATATCCAGCGGGTAGCCACGTCTCAACCACACATCCCTTCGTGCAGAGACATTTATGGGAATCCTCGAACTTGACGGATGACGCATGGGCAACTGACGTCGACATGCGCGATGCCCCTACCATGTTCACCAATACGGCTCGCCTTCAAAACTCACTCCAGCAGCCCACTTCTGCTGGTATCCACAGCCCTGTTCCGCCACCCAGTGCTCATGGAAGTATCAAATCCAGAAAAGAGGGCATGCGCATGGAATCCCCAGCTGCAGTACCTGAGACTGCTCCACATGATCAGGGTCTGGTTCCTACTCTGGATGAGACCACCAACTCGCCATCGGGAGAGGAAGCCGTTATGCCCAGGGCTCCCGCCCCGACCCCAGCATCATTCGCGCAGACTGATAGTACTAGTGCCATGGCTGAATTAGAGAGAGTGGAATCGGAGTTGTTCACTGCCTTGGGAGAGGAATTGAACAGCTTTAACAAGGAGAACGCGAGCCCATTGGCAACGGCGGCCACCGATGTTGACATTCTTCCTGGACTTGAAGACTTCAACAGCCCCCCGGCGAAGAGAAGGAGGCCGGATGTATTCGGCGGGGAGAGTGAGAGCGGCCGATGCAGGGAGCCGTTGGCAGAAACGAGGATGGACAGAGGGAATCTGCAGGCTCCGCAGATGCGCGGTGGTTGAAGAGCATGAATGGCAGAGATAAATTGCTTCAGAAGGGGACGACGACATTGGAATAACGAGTTTATCTTGGCTCTACTTGGCGAGGTTATAGGGCATCCTTTGCGTTGGGCTAGTTGCTGCATAGCGAGCATGTGTCTTGTTTAACCCTATGTTTTCTCTTTCAAGATGAAGGAAGGGAAATGGCTAAGAGGTTGCAGTGTTGGGTAGCTTTAGCGTTTGAGGTTGTAAGCAGAGTTATTCGGGAGAATTGATTTCAAGCACGGGGTTGAAGAAAGGAATGCAGTCTGAATCGAGAATAACAACGACTCTAGGTTCAGTTAGCTGGATAAATACAAACGTACAAGACCGTCGACTTATGGTAGGCTAGTTGGAGTATGAACGCATCCTGTACGCAGCCTGTTCTTAAGACTCGCAGAATGGGGCGTCACTGTCGATTGTCATATATATACATATATATAAATAAGATGTCAACATAGCACCAGGTTAGATACTTAGGGGAGGCTAATCAGCATACCGCGTGAATGCATCGCTTTCCAAAACGAAAAGAGTACATGAGCAAATATTAGGTGTAGCTAAATATGATAGCGGTAGTGGTATCTAAAGTGCTTCCAGTCCCAAACTCCATCCGTGGCCCCAAAGCCAAATAGCCAAAAATTTCAATTATCAATCAATCTCCAGCTGGAAAACAGAAAAACTCGTGGTGGTGGGGACCAATTCAACGCCGTGTGTTTTCAGTGCATGAGACTGCTAAACAGAAAAGAACAAGGAAGGGAAAGGCTGCGACAAAAGAAATAGCGTGGAGCATATAGAGAGGGCTGGTCGATGGAGATAAGATCGACGGGGTGAGTGATGCAAAATGGGGCATTTGGAGCATATTGGCGTGCGCGGTATGGTTTCTCTCCCTTTCCTTTCTTTCCTATTCCCGCCTTTTTATGAAGTCAATCCGCAGGGCACGGCGTCCCTACTTATACTGTGGCGGTCCTTGCATCGCATATCCCTGATGCGCTTGCTCTTGCACATGGCCCTGCCCGTGCCCGTACCCCAGCCCACCTCCTCCTCCCCCCATGCCGAGCTGATTGAGCACGTCGGGCCGGTACTTGATGTCCTGGTAGAAGTTGCAGATGTGGCAGCCGACCTCCTTGTAGGGCTTGAGGCTGAAGGGGATGATGGGGATGAAGCAGAAGGTGAACCATTCCCTTTTGAGAGAGAGATTAGTGTTTGAGTAAGTTTGGAGTGAGGGAGGGGAGGGTTACAGGAGGGAAAGAGAGGGGGGACAGGGGAGGGGCCGGGCAGGGAAACGGAAACGGAGAGGGAGAGGGAGGATGGACGTACCACCGCTTATACACGTGGCCGGACATGTTGCCGCAGTTTTGGCATTGCACGGTGAGGTTGCCGGCTTCGGCGAGGCGGTTGGTGAATGCTGGAAGAGATACGTCAGTGATTCGTTTTTCAGAGGGTGCGCGTAGTGCGGGTTATGGTGTCAAGCAGTGGGGAAGGGATCCAGAGGGGGGGAAGGGACGTTTTCGGTGGGCTTTTCTCGGGCTGTGAACGGAGTTCGACGCGCATTGGAAGACGTACTGTGCGTCCCGCAGGTAAAGATGAAGAACATGATGAGGGTGTTTAGCGCCTCCGGAGGCGGCGGCGGTTACGACAAGATCGAGGGTATTATCCAAGCTCCCAGAGCTATTCCAAGTGATGATACGGAAGGTTCGGTGGAGGGTTTTGACGTGGCTTCGGCGGCGGCGGCGGCGGCGATACAGAAATCCTTTCCAGGAAAGAGATGTTGAGTGGAACGCGGATCGTGAATTGGCGACAGTGGTGATATGTTCGGTATTGATCGAGGACTTGAACAAACGTTGCGGCGAGAGTTGTCGTTACATTCATGCGCTTGTACCGGTGTACGTAATGTGGCGGCAGCTAAGCCATTTGTGGCGCGAGCTCAGCCACACGAATCACATGTTGTGCAGGACTCAGGGAGCGGATGAGGTACTAGGGATTCTTTGCAACTGGCATCTGGGCTTTTGGAAGTAGGGGGCAGTAGTCTTAGGCGGTGACCACAGACAGCTACTTCAACACCCAGGAGCAAGAAACGCAATATGTCGTTTTCCTTAATGCAGATAGCAGACGAAGGTACCTTGAAAGTGGAAAACTGATGTTTCCATGCTAATTCATCAAACCAAATGTACAGAAGGCCATTTCAAACCGAGATCCTTGCCATCTGTGATGAATGGAAGACCCCTTGTCTCAGCACACCAACAAGCCTCGACTTCCGTGCAAGCTCCGTCGCATCGCTAATCCACCTATCCATATGAACACTGCATGGTATTGTCGCAGGAGTAAGCCATAGCAGTCGACGACGGCCATTGTATCGCTTCCCGAAGCACCCATATGCCAGGCTAGAATGCGAGACCACACCACCATGTTATCACGGCCCGAGTCGAGGAGGTGCGGCGTAAACGGTACACCATCGGAACCAGTGAATGGAGAAGGTGACGTGGCAGGGACGGGTGGATAGGTCCGCAACTATGTGCTCCAGCGCAAACATTCCAGGCCTACTGAGTCTTGAAGAGAAGAATGGCGCAGTGGCCGAGGTAGAAGTAAATAAAGTTCTTGGATTCTTGAAACCACACCGTCAGTAACCGTGCCAACTGGCCGTGAGCAGGGAACCTACCATGGGTGACGAAGCTGCCAAAATTCCTACCCACGATGCAGTGCCATGTGGCGCCTTTGCGGGCGTCGAACTGCGCCGGCTTAGTCCGTCTTTCTGCGTGCGATCAATGTCGAGAAGCCTACCTCCTTCTTCAGGTATCGCGCAATGTCCTTCTCGATCGTAAACTTCTCCATTGCCTCTTGTGCTGTATTGCGTTAGTGCCTCGCGCCTCGCACAATGGCCCTTCGAGAACCGTACCAACTTCAATGGCCTCCTGCTGCATCTCCGGCGACTGTCGCAAAGGCGTTAGCGGACGTTCGTAACCGGCAACCGGAACCGTACCATGTCTGCAGACTTGACCTGGGCTGTTATTCGAGTTAGCTCATGGCCATAAGCAGTGCGCGGCTCAAATGCGGTGCTCCTTTGTACCTTCTTGCCGGTCAATGAGTCCCTCGGGCTTCTCTGCTTTCTCGCTTGTCGCCATTTCGGAGGTGGGGTCGAATGTGACTTGGGTCTGTGGGTTTTGTAGTGGGTCCTATAGAGTATATGGTAGATTGGCAGCGGGTTGTCAGCGCGGTTGTTGGCCGTTATAGAGTGATGTTTGGGAGTTGTGTGACGATCTCTTGAAGTTGTCCTAACAAGAAGCAGGGGCCATCCGGAGGTCCACAACTAGCCCGAACAAGCTTTACCCAGCCGGGAGTAGCGTAAAACTGCCGAAATGGCACGTGCCCAGCCAGGTAGAAATTTTGGACGACCCGTGTTGTTCCATCAACACTCGCCCTTTCTGACGCGCCTTTTGCACCGCCAATATGGAGTCGTCGCGTATCTTCGTGCGTGGCTTGCCACCTAAATTCACAGAGGACGATGTGCGGAAGCATTTCTCCAAGTATACCGTCACCGACGTCAAGTTCTTCCCGCACCGGCGCATAGGCTATGTGGGATACAAGACTCCGGAGGATGCGGCAAAGGCGGTGAAGTACTTCAACAAGTCCTTCATCCGTATGAGCAAGATCTTTGTCGAGATTGCTAAACCGGTATGTAGGCCCACAAGATTTCATTGCTGAGCGGATGCTAATGTCGATTCAGATCTCCGACCATAGTCTTCCCAAATCACATAGACAGCGGAAGGAGGAGAAGTCTGGCCCCGCTCATGTCGACTATGTGCCACCGCAGCAGGATAATAAGCTGAAACGGAAGAGGGTAGACGAAGAGGCGGAAAAGGATCCCAAGTTGAAGGAATTCCTCGAAGTCATGCAAGCCCCTTCAAAGACGAAGACATGGACGAATGACGACGCACAGATGGGGTCTGGAGTCGGTCAGACTGATACTGTGGTCGAAGCAGTTGTGGTCCCGGAAGGTGAAAGCGATGACGAGTACCAGGCGATAGGGAAGAAGGCAAAAACATCACATGAGGTGAAGCAGCCTTCTGTTGAAGCCCAGCCTCAGAAACAACCACGACCACCTCCGGAACCAACGGTCGATAAGTCCAGTGGATCGGAGGCCTTGTCCAATTCCAATATCACAGCAGCAGCTGAGACTGGACCTGTGTCTGATGCGGACTGGCTGCGATCCCGCACAAACCGTGTACTGGATCTGGTCGATGATGACGAGGAGCCATCTAGACAGGTTCATGACAGTGCCCCGGCTCCGGGACGAGGCTCCTCCGTGGAGGAGAAAACCGAACTGGCGGAAATGGAAATGGTTGAGCAAGAAAAGGATACGCCCAACGACGTGGAAGAGGCTGTTTCACAACCCTCTGAAGTGGATAAGATACGGCAAACTGCGAGACTATACCTTAGGAATCTTCACTACGATATCACGAGCGACGACCTACAGGAGCATTTTTCCAAATACGGACCGCTCGAAGAGGTAAGAGTAGTTCCTTTTCTCCATGCACTGTCTCGTCATGATGAATATCCACAGATAGGGACAACTGATGCTCTGCATATGAGGTCCACTGGGAAAGTATTTTAGTAGATGACTTTCTTATCTGAAAAAGCGAAAAACGAGCTTTATCGATACCGCACTTTAGTTGCAATGTTCAACTGACATATATTTAGGTGCACGTTCCAATGAATAAGAGCGACGGCAAAGCGAAAGGTTTCGCCTTCGTTCAGTTCCAGGATCCTGAGCATGCCGTTGAAGCTTATTCCCAGAATGACGGCACTATCTTCCAGGGTCGATTGCTCCACATCATACACGCCGAATCTAAGCGAAACGACAAGCTTGACGAGTTCGCTATCTCGAAGCTACCGCTCAAAAAGCAGAAAGAAATCAAGCGGAAAGCGACCGCTGGCGGTTCAACCTTCAACTGGAACTCTCTGTACATGAATGTACGTTGACATGACACATGAATTGAACTACACCTAATGCTCTACAGGCTGATGCGGTCATGTCCGTTGTTGCGGAACGGTTGGGCGTCAGCAAAGCGGATGTGTTGGACCCAACCTCGTCCGACGCAGCTGTCAAGCTGGCCCACGCCGAGACGCACATTATCCAGGAGATCAAATCTTACTTTGCCCAGCACGGCGTCAATCTGGAAGCGTTCAAAAAGAGTGCCAAGGGCGACGTCGCTATCTTGGTGAAGAACATTCCGCATGGTGCCAAGTCGGCCGAGATTCGTGAGCTGTTCGAGAACTACGGTACGGTCTCAAAGTTTCTCATGCCTCCTGCTGGCATCACTGCTATTGTGGAGTTCTCGAACTCCGCGCAAGCCCAGTCAGCCTTCCGGTCGTTGGCATACAGAAAGATCAAAGACTCGATATTGTATCTTGAAAAGGCTCCTAAGGACCTGTTCAAGGACGGTGTGACAGTGCCGGCCACGTCACAATTGGAACCGCTTGCGGCACCAAATGCCAAGCTTGCCGCCACTGATCTTCTGCAGGACGCACCAGTGTCACCGGACACGGCGACGCTGTACGTGCGTAACCTGAACTTCTCGACGACCACGGAGCGGCTCTCAGACGCATTTTCCCATTTCCCAGGGTTCAGGAGTGCTAGAGTTAAGACCAAGACCGACCCGAAGCGCGGTGTGCTTTCAATGGGCTTGTAAGCTTCTCGATTATGTGCCATATCGCTCTTACTGACTTGCGCAGTGGGTTTGTCGAATTCAATAATGCCGAGTCTGCCGCGGCTGCCCTGCGTGCAATGGATGGCTACAGCCTTCACGGCCACGCGTTGCAGATCAAAGTGTCGCACAAGGGTGGTGACGCTGCAGAAGCGCGTCGCAAAGAGGATCAATCAAAGAAGGCCGCCAGCACCAAAATCATCATCAAGAACCTGCCGTTCGAAGCTACTGTACGTCTGCCGTTGCTGATTTTGGACAAGACATGCTGACCCACATGCAGAAAAAGGACGTCCAAGCTCTTTTCGCTCCCTACGGACAGCTGCGGTCTGTCAGAGTGCCGAAGAAGTCGGGCCCCTCCTATTCCTCGCGTGGTTTCGGCTTCGCTGAGTTCATCACGCAGCGAGACGCAGCGAATGCCATGGACTCTCTGCGCAACACGCATTTACTCGGCCGCCGTCTCGTTCTAGCGTTCGCAGAGGTTGAGAGTGAGGACCCAGAGAAGGAGCTCGAGAAGATGCAGCAGAAGGTTGAAGCGCAGACCAACAAGGTTGCACTTCAACGGCTCACTGGTGGTGGGCGCAAGAAATTTAACGTCGCAGGGAACGACGATCTAGATGAAGCGTGAAAAACGTGCGCTGCACCTCTGGTAAAGTTTGCGGCGCGACACCGTGATTCGCCACTTCGCCTACCCCTTGCGTTCTGACTAAGAACAAGAGTTTCGATAGGGATTCCCTTTCGCCTCTAAGACAACCCCCCTGGGGCACGCTCTACCTGGCAAATTATGAAAAGGCGCGTCCTCTGCCTTGTGCAACTGGTCATAAACACGAAAGACATCTGTCGACCCATCCCAGAGACAGGGTGTTCGTAACATGAATACTTGTTTATGCCTGCTGACATTCTTCGACCACAGAGCATTCCGGCCCTCACCTCCCTGGAGCAAGTTACGTGAGCGCGCCTCTCTCCAATCATATGGCATCTTGATCGTCGCCAGTCGACCGTGCCCTTGCTCATCGTGCTAACCATGACCGCTAAAGCAGGACATTCCACTACAAAGTTGAGCGTAATCTTATGGACGAGGAAGCGAAATAGAGTGGGCAAGCAGATAGAATTGAGTCTGTGTTTACCCAACCATTATGTCACCCTTGTGACTGCTCCAAGGCACCGGTAACCTCCGTTCGCAAGAAGGCAACCTAGCCCTCCTTCAGTGGGCATCAAGTGATGCCGCTATATCATACTTGACTCTCCACATTTCTTTGCTTGCCACCCACATTCTCTTCAACAACAGTCATTCTTTTGCTCAACTCTCTACGTTCCTTCACTCAGACATTCCTAAAGCTTTCATTCTTTTTCCCCATCTACTTTCCCTATGAAGATGCACCGCTCATGCATGCTGCCATCGAACGCTCCAGCCTTGTCAACACCAGAGCCCGCATCGAACCGGGTCCTACAGGAGCGCTCAGGCAACAGAACGAGCATCGAGAGCTCGCAGTCGCCACCCTACCGCCCCAAAGTCTATCGACAACGGCTCGGGGAGTTTGGCTCCACCATCCTCGCGCCGCCTCTTGGCTGCAGGACGGAAGAGGAGGTAGACTACGAGTTTCGCAAGGTATGGGCCATTCTGCAGAACCATCCGAAGTACCAAAAGTACCGTGAGAAGAAACCGAAGGAAGGGGACAAAAAGGACGAGGACGAAGATTTGGAAAAGTGGCCCGAATTCCTCGACCGGGCCTTCTTTAGAGGTACTTACTCCTCCTTTTGGCTCCGTTGAAGAGGGCCGTGAACTCATGCTCTTTAGCCTTGATTCGATGGCCGCCGTCCGGGCGTGTCCAGTACGTGGTCGACGGCGAGAAACAGGGGCGAAACCAGCTAATATCGAGGTCCATCTTCCTGAAGACGGGGGTGATGCGATGGAAGAAGCAGATATCGAGCCATATCCAGGTTCTAAGGCCCAAACTATTGGATGCGCCGCAGGGTAAGAGACGTGACTGCCCAGTGATCCTCGCCCGCTGACTCTCCTAGTCGTCAGGCACTTTAGCAAGCCTGGAAAGACCAAGAAGGGTAGCGCTAGGGAGCGGGCAAACCAGGTCCGGAATCGCCAGCTGTCGTACTCGGTGAAACGGGATGAAGATCGGATGGACGACACCACTGCCACCTTGTATGGAGGATACCGTCTTGAGCTTCCCGCCAGTTCCCCATATGCCGTCAGGACAGAGGCCAAAGCCCCTTTTACCATGATGCATTTCGAGATGCTCGTACAGGAACACAATGAGCAGGCAGTGCACTACGTAACGCAACTAGGTGACGATCCCCGTCTAGGCGATGTCCACTTCCCCGACCTCAACACATGGAACATGCAATATCCGGAGCTGAATTTCCACCGTGTCAGCGAATGGAGGGATAGGCAGGTCCTCATCTGCCACGCCTCCATTGATTTAATGATGGACAAGCAGCCCGGCGGTGCCGAGCTCGCCGTCAAGTACGTCATCGATTCGGCGCACGACATCTCACACTTGGAACCCATGCATTGCCGCACGCGATTCTACGATAGCGGCACCTTGGCCTATGAGGAAGAGAGGCGGTGCGAATACGCAACCAACACGCGCAGCAACCTGCACTTTGGGAGCCAATTCTGGGTGCGGCGGATGAGCGACCTACGCATGAAGCTGCTAAAGGGCCAACGGCACGACGATCCGGGTGTGGCGCGGAAGATGGAGAAGGAGGTCCAGCGCAGCTTGCAGTACATGACTGCCGTGCAGGACGTGTATGGGACGAGGGGCGATTTGGGCATGCAGCAGTGTCTGCTTACGATTCTTTGGCGGTTCCGGCAGACGAGGACGAGGCATGAGATGGGGAGGGTGTCGTGGCGGGTTGCGTATCTTCCGCAGGAAGAAGGAGGGGGAACGGTTGGGCAAGAGGGGGAGCAACTCGAGCCGGATCATCAGCAACCGATGTGGGATAAGGCGGCCGGACTTGGAGGGCCGGACTTTGAGGTGCCACACGATCTGAAGTTGATTCTGAATAGTACCGCGACCCCTGGTTCGACGATATACAACGCTTCGTCGCTTTCTCTGGACCTATCTCAAGCTCAACAACACCACCATGTCACTCACCACCTTCAACAACACGATTTCACCGCCCTCGCACCTCTCGATCTCGACACCCTCTCCCACCTCGCTACCCTCTCGACGCATCCCAACCCGAACGACCCCCTCGCCGGCTTTCCCTCCCACCCCGATTCGGCAGCCACAGTCCACAGCCTGGCCAGCACCGAGTTCTCCCAAGCCCTCAGCCACGTCCCCAGCCTCACACACAGCAGCCACACGCAGATGTCTCAAGACTCAGCAGTGGCAGCAGCAGGAGGAGGGGAATCAGGCGATATTGATTTCCATGACCCGGGAGCCGTACGTCTCGATGTTCGATTACACGAGGGGCATATCCAGCTTGGTCCGGCCATCAGTTTCGACGACGGTATAGCGGTTGGCGGGACGTACGATGAAGTCACTGACGCGGCAGGCATGCAATTGGAACCGGGGATTTTGCATGCTCATGATGGTTCTGTCTCCGCCGCGGCGGCGGAGGCCGTATTTGGGGATTTGCAACTTGATGGGATTGGCGCGTTGGTAGCGGCAGGAAGAGGAGGAGGACTGCACGTCGGTGATGTCACTGCTACTGCTGCTGGGTATCGAGACCAGGAGTTCTCGATGGGCGAGTGCTATCCCTCGGCCCCGAGCGTGAGTAAGCCGTGGTGTTATGCGGACCTGATCGCGAGGATGGAGGAGAGCGCGGCGGCGGCGGACGGGCAAGGGCAGGGGCAGAATTTGTATGCTCAAATGAAGTATCCAGATCTTGAGCATGCACATGGGCATGGGCATGGTCAGGGACATGGACATGGACATGGGGAAGAGATGGATATCAATGTCGTAGGACCCGCGATTGGGCTGCATCACTCGCCTCATGAGCATAGGCATTCGCATCCTCATTCTCTTTTACCGTCGCAAAGCCAGCACCATGGTCCATACCAGCACCAGCATCAACATCAACATCAGCCTCAACATCAGCCTCAGCATCCTGAGCACTCGCTGTGGAAACTTCAAACAGGCTTCTCCGTGGCGGGCGCCGAGCAGGACGACATCCAGCATTATCAGCGGCGGCGACAAGAAGAAGTGGCAGAACGGGAAGAAGAAGAAGAAGAAGAAACGAGGAGGGAGCAGCAGGCGCGTGGGATATTGGAGATGATTGAGAGGAGTCAGAGGGGTGAGGGTGGGTTGTTTCGGTAGGAGGACGCTGTGTGCGAGTTTTGCGGGACGAAATCGAGGATGGAGAAGATAGGGGAGGATAGGGGAGGGTAGGGGAGGAGGGGTTGTAGGAAAAGGGTAATGCCTGATGCGTAATGCGTAATGTGTATTGTTGATGCTACTACGGCTTTTGTTGTGGTGTCCTACTGTGTTGAATAATGAGGTTATCGTTGTTGTTCTACTATGTACTGCTGTTATTGAACTACTTCTTTCTCTTCCTCTTCGCTCCCTTTTTCTACGTGCAATGGCTTTCGGCTTTTCTTGATGATGCCACTCCTTCATGTCCGGGTTGTTCGTTTGTAGCCTTTCACCGCAGTAGACAATGCGTGATCTCATTGAGTAGCCGGTAAATTGATATTTCCAGATATTCCCCTCCCCGTCCGCTAAATAGAATGGGGCATCTGAAATATTTGTGCTGCATTTATCTACAGAAAAGGCCTTTATCCAATCGAATCGGGAGTAGTAGGTGGTTGAAATGCATGCAATCATCCATCTCTCCATCCATCTGTATGCAAGTCTTCTTGTTTTTCTTGTTGCCAATGCCCATGCCAATGCCCTCCCCCAGCTCGTGGGCAACGACGACTCATGCGCAGGCATACATATATGTGCGCCGACGCTGTGAGAAGGCGCGGGTATAGAACGCGTTCCATAATCGCTCAAAAAGGACCAAGAGAGAGAAAGCCGAAGAGAGGATCCAAGAACGACCAAATGAAGCATAAGATATGCCGCCAACCCTCTTTCGCACCGGCCCTTCCTCTCCAGGTACATATCCATCGTCTTCCCATCCAGATACAGAAAGACTCGCCATCCAAGCGGCAAATCGCGGGCAAGGACTCGGGGAACTCGTGCTCGAAAAGAAAAAAAGAATCATCAACCATCCAAGCTCATAACCTCGACAGCATCTTCAAACACGTCCTCCCTTTCCCAATCCCTCGGCTCGCGGAAACCACGCGTGCACTTCTCCCAATCCACATCCCCATCCATCCCCCCTCCCCTCTCCAACAATTCCCTCCTCTCCCTCCTCAGCCCCTCCAACACCCCGACCACGACCCTCGCGCACTCCTCCCTCGCCCTCTTCTTCCCATGCACATGCCGCACCAGCGCCACCGGCTCGTCGCGGAACCGGCGCTCCGCCGCCTGCGGGAACGTGCACGAGACGGTGTGGAAGTCTGTCGTCGTCGTCGTCGTCGTCATCTCCAGGTTGCTAGTGGCGGCGCCGGTGGTGGTGGAGCGGTGGAAGTGGTACTGCGGGGTGCCGAGGTGGAGGGCGTGGGCTAGGGAGGCGGCGAGGGAGGCGTAGGAGGGGGAGTTGTTTGTTGTTGTTGTCGTCGGTGGCAGCGGTGATGTGGAATGTGCTTTTGGTTTGATTGCCGAAGCGGTCTGGCCTTCGGGATTGGATGATGATGGGGAACGGGCGGCGTTCTCGTTGATAGTCGTATCATCAGATGAACCACCTCTCTCCGACGAAGACGAACTATCCATCGCCCCCTCCTTGACCACACCCCCCTTGTTCCCCTTCTGCTTCTTCTTCTTGATACCCACCTGCAATCCGTCCAATCCCACGCCCTCGGGCCATTCGCCCACCTCTTGGAAGTACTCCACCGCCAGCCTTGACGCATTCTGCCTCGCCGCCTTCTTATTGGCAAACAGGTCCGTCGGCGAGCCGAATGTTCTTCCTGGTACATTGTCGAGCGTGCACGTGCAGGAGAAGCGGGTGTCCAGGACGAAGTCGGTATACGTCGGTTGCGGGGCGGAGTTGCTGCGCTGGAATTCTGCAGGGTGAGAAAGGGGGAGGGTAAGTACCACTACTACTAGATTTGGCGGTAGGAAAGGGATGGCAGAATGAAAAGGAACGGAGAAAAGAGATCAAAATAGAGAGAAAAAGACCTACCGAGCAACAACCCCGTCCAATTGACAAACACCTCCTTCTCCTTGCCCTTGCCCTTGCCCTTATCCTCACTCTCCACTTCCTCCAACGCAGCCGCTCCGCCCTTCCTCTTCTTCCCCTTCTCCCCTCTCCCCACCCTCCCCTCCTCCTCCCACGTCTTCAACACCTCCAACGCCCTCGCGCAAACCGCCTCCTTCGCCTCCTGCTTACTGGCGAACGGCCCTCGCTCTTCCAATTCCACCTCTAGATCTCCAGTCCCCGCTTCACTCCCCCAAACCCCGCTAGCATCAGCACCAACACCAGCTAAAAGCCTCATCCTCACACCCCACCCCTCATCCACCGTCGCAGAGGGAGCAACATGGCTGAACTCAAACTGCGGCCTCGCAAGCGCGTACAGCTGCACTTTTGTATTGAGCAAGCTGACGTACTCGCCGGAGCGCAAGCTCAGCGCCTTGGGGACCGGATGTCCTTCTTCTTCTTCTTCTCCTCCTGCTGACGCGGTTTTCTTCTTCGCTTGCGCTTTCTTGCTATTGCTACTACTACCTGCGTTGTTTTTCTCGGGCGGAGCAGGTAAAGGGTGGGCGGCGAGGAACTCGTCGATGTTCAGGACGGCGTCGAGGACGCTGCGGGCGGAGCTGTGGCCCGAGGAGCCCGAGGTGGAGGAGCTGGATTTGGTGGAGTTGCTGTGCGAGGCGGGTAGGGGGGTGAGGAGGGGGAGGGTGTCGGTCGTTGGGAGGGCCATTGTGTTTGTCGTTACTGTTTGGACTGTCAAGCGTAGAGAGGGAAGAGGTGAGTGCGGAAAATACTAGAATTGCTCAAGTCCTTCGTTATGCGAGGAGCTTCAGGTTGACGGTTGTTGTTCTTGCTGCAGTGAGGCTGGCTTAATGAGTTATCGCTGAAAAAGGTAAGTTCGGAGCTAGCAATGGGCGGAGAGACGTCCGATTCTTGGGGGAAAAGTGAGGGTGAAGTAAAGAGAGAGAGAGAGAGAGAGAATATGTGTGTGTGGAGTTTGATCAATCCCACAGGTCCCGGGACGATTGCGCGGGATCAGATTGGATTGCTGGCGGTAAACAAGTTGCTCCTCGCGGAGTGGTGAGGTGGTTTGATGGCGGGGCACGAAACCCCGACCGCTAAGTGACAGGGGTAGCTTTACATTATTTATAGTGATTGGCGTAGGCAGAGTGGGGTGTTTGCCAATTGCGCCCAAGCTTCTGCGCGAGCGACACCGTATTTGCTTGCTTGAGACGCGTCTGTCTTGAATAACCTGAGATGGAGAGGTTTAGAAAGAGAAATAGAGAGAGAGTAGGCCTTGAGCAAGAGGGATTGATGGTCAGGTGGATGGAGTGGTATCCAAGAGATTGCAAATTTCATCCTGTGTAGAACTCTAAGAAGAAAGGGCTGTGCTTGGATCTGCATACGGCTCCAGAGACGCATACACCAGAGAGAAAAAAAAAAAAAAAAAAAAAAAAAAAAAAAAAAAAAAAAACCCCCGGAGGACCGTGGAGTCATGTCGGAGATATAGGCAGTCGTGAAATGTAACCCCATCCTATTTCGAACTACGACAATGCCTGCCCGAGATGGATAAACGTCGAATGGCACCCGCAGCTAGAGGCCAGGCCCAGCTCGAAGCCATGGAACTAAACCGGCCTAGACGCAACTTGCATACACTACAGGACACAGATGAGAAGACTGCCAATTATACCCACTCAATGTACATGTAAAAGAAGAAAGATCAGAAGCTAGCTCGTTGAACGCCAACACCCCGGAAAACAGCTCACTCCTCGTCCCCCTCCTTGCCCACTTCCGACACCTCCGCGTCCTTGGGGAAATGGAAAACACGAGCGCCCCGCCAAGAGAAAGCAACGGCCTCGCTTTACTGTACCGAATTGACAAGGAAAGAAAAACCGAGGGAAGCTGTACCGCTGCACTTTTTTCATCGTGGCTCTTCGCCGGGCAAATCAAGAGCCCATAAAGAAAGGAAGGAGGACAGAGAAAAGCAGCTTTCAACACCAGTAGAACCGTCTCAGGTAACGACCAGTCAGTGCCTATGTCTTGACCACCGCCCCTTGGTCGGCATCGTACATGGAGTCGAGTCGACAGACAGACTCGCCGCGAGGACATGTTCCACGTACCTCACACCAACCCAACACCAGGCGCGAACAGAGGGCAACCACCGACTAGGCCGTGACGCCCTCACTCTTCCTCTTAGACCGGTCGCGCTTCTTTTTGGGTTCCTTCTCCTTCTCCTTGTCCTTCTCCGCCGTCTCGTTCTCTGCTTCGGCACCGCGCGTGGTCCTACCACTCTTGGACTTCTTCTTCGTCTCCTCTCCATTGGCATCCTCAGCAGCAGGGGTGGCGCCAGACTTGTCCTTCTTCTTCTTATCCTTTTTCTCCTTGAGAGGGGTTACGAGGGGGGCATCAACGCCAAAGCTCGGAGGCGGAACGTGGGTCTGCGCAGGCTTGGCCGAGCCAGGGACCGGGATAGGAGTCGGGGCAGCAGCAGCGACAGCTGGAGCGATGGGGACAGGGACAGTCGCGCCGTTGATCTGGGGCGGAGCCGTCTTCTGACGCTTGCTGGGGCGAGGGGTCTTGGATGACGCCGCCGGTGGGGAGGCCGCCTTAGCCCCGCCGCTCTCACCATTGTCTTCGGCGTCGCTGGAGGCATCCGAGTCGAGAGCGCCGACCTCGGCCTCGTCGGTGGGTTCTTCATCGTCGTGCATATCGACGTCTGCGGAGACGGGTTCGCCCTTGCTGGCCATGTAGGCGTCGTACTCCTCGCGCCACCTCTGGAAGGACTCGCGGTAGGAGGCTTTCCATTTCTACCATGTGTCAGCAAATGGCATCATCGAGGGCTGGTTTCTGGCTCATAGTTACTCACCTCCTTGTCCTCCTCCCTCATCTCATTCCAGCGCTTATCAATCTCCAGCTTCACGGCATTGGGCTCAAGCTTCTGATCCGGGCCCAGGGCCTCCTCGAGATCCTTCTTCACAATCGGCCTCGCCTCGCGCGCAAACAGAAACGCAGCGGTGAGAGGCTTCTTGGGGGCATTCGGATCCCTCTCCTTCTTTTCGGCGCGCTTGCGCTTCTTCTTGCCCGTCTCCGGCGCGCCCGGGGCGCTGATGGCGGCAGCGACAGCGTCACCGGCGTTCTGGGCGGCCTCGACGGCAGCATTGGCGTGGGCGGCCAGATGAGGGGGGAGTTGGAGGCTCTCGAGGGTGTCGGCACCGCCGGAGAGGATGGAGGACGTGTGTTGAATGTAGACGCGTAGGAGCTGTGCGAGGCCGTTTTGGACGTGGGTCAAACCGGCTTGGAGGTTGGTGAGGGATATTATGACCTGTTCCGAGAGTGCTTTGTGAGCGACAATCCTTTTGGCTTGCTTGCGACGCTTGGTCGCGAGGCTTTCGGCGGAGGAAGATGGAGGGGAGGAGGTGGTTATGGGAGTGTCGGACGCCATTCCTGGGTCGCGTAGAGGGCGCGAACAGGAATAGCTGGGTGCAAGGGCATGGAGAAGGGGAGGTGGGAGGATGGGAGGGAGAAGAGGTGAGGATGCGAGATGGGTTGTGTGCCAAAGTCGCGATGGAAGAAGCGGCAGGCGCGTCGCAAGACAACAAAGGGTAGAAGAAGAAGAAGCAAACGTACCTGATCGCGGGTGCGCGTAAACTGCTCGATGGAGACGAGCAGCTCGCCCGTATCGTCCTTCTTCTGACGAGCCATGTCGCACTGGGTTGCTTCGAGTTGAGAATGACGATGGAAGCAGTGGGTGGTGGAGCTGTGGAGGAGGCGCGGGCGTGTTTTGGGGGGAGAGTTGGCGAGAGTTGGCGAGAGTTGGGGGGCGTGACCCCCCTAAAAGCCAGCCAATTCGGCGCCCAATCACCGCCGTCGCCAGGGGGAACGGGGGAGGAGTGCCCAGAATCGCAGCTGAAGTCGCCAGCCACCGCGCCCATGGTTGCCCGCGCCGTTTGCAATCACGGCGCGCAAATGGGCATTCCGTCGCCATAATGCCCCCCGTCTGCGTGCCCAAATTGGCGAGCCCCATCTGGCCAACTCTGCCCAACGTAGTCGGATTGCAATCCCGCCGTTGTTCTGTTTAACAGCACAGCCAATCTTCAATATTTTCACCAACTCCCTTAGCCGCGTAGCCGACTTGGACGTCACATCGACTGTACATGATAGATATACTAGATCTAATAGCTGTACTGTGCCATTCCTCCACCTTGGCCCAGTGCCATGCCTCTCGCGCCTGTCCTACATGCTCTCCCTCCCTACTCATTCTCACCTTCTCATTCTGAATGGGTATCTCGATGCAACACGGCCACGTCTGGAATCCGAGTCCCTCCACGAAAACACCCAAATCCCCATCCTTGGTAGATGCACGCTAAACGAATCTCTGCCCAAAGATGCAACATGCGGCCCCTAATCGCTAGCAAAAGACAAACTCCTAGTGACATGCAATCCACACCATGAAACGCCTCTTCCAACACACTATTGACCAAGTCAAAGCGAATCAACCCAGAACCAGCCAACAAGCATGTCAACTGTGCATGTCATTCCAGAACCCTCATGTGTATACTACTCCACAAACGCCTTGCCTCGCCCTCCGCAGGCCGCGAGCCTCTTCTAGCACCAGCTAGTAGGATCGGTATTTCTAAACTCTCCGTCAGTATCTTGTGCATAAATAGGATAAAATCGACACCACCACTCACATCTTCAACCTTCCTCCGGCTGTCCTTGTCCAGCGCATTCCCAACACCAAGCAGCGCATGCCCAACCGCCTTGGTAGCCCCCAGCGCCGGCCGCAGAATCACAGTCGGCGCACGTCGCGCAATCGCCCTTGCCGCCCCCACCCCCGTCCCTTCCTCCATGACCTCGGCGGGTATGGCAATCACCGCGTCCTTCGCCCTGAGAAGATCTCGCTCCAGATAGCGAGCTGCGTTGCGGAGACCCGCCTTGACCCCGAACTGCTGGTTGGCGTAGTTGGACACCGCCCGGCCTCCTTCGTCGTCCGCCTCTGCGCCGCCCACGTCGTCCCATTCCTCGAGCGCCGCTGGTGCCGAAGAAGCTGGGCCTTGCGCGTTCAGTAGGTTCTCCGCTCCTTCTAGCATGTTTTGCGTCCCTATCGCTACCTTGGCACCAAGCTTGGCCACTTCAGACGTCGTGTTCCTTGCAAAAGCATACACGCCCTTTTGCAGGCTGCGCACCAGCCGACCATCCTTGCGATACTCGCGCATCGGCACCACGACAAGATCACGCACTCCGCTGCCGACATTGACGAGCGGCCGGACAGCTGCCACCCCTGCGAGCACCGTTGGGAGCTGGTTCCTCTTAACGTCCGGCATCCATATGTCGTTCAGCGTCTTGTGCAGCTTGTCCAAGCTTGTGATGCCGTATACAATGACATGCCGTAGCAGCACATCCGCACCCTCGAGGATCAGAAAGTTCATGAACTCGGTCGTGTGCCCAGAGCGAAGACCCCCGTAATCCACTCGCTTGGGTTTGTAATCCAGCTTGAGTTTCACAGGCATGACTTCCAGCCGCTGGATGAAGGGCGGTTCCGACGGTCCGCTGCTGTCCGGAGCCGAGTCGTCCTTGAACTCGAAGAACCTCGTCATGAAGTCCAACGCGTCCTGGTCCACGTGAAGACGGAGCGGGAGGACAGTGGCCCGAATGACCAGCTCAGTGGCAGCAAGATCTGCCACGGGCTTCACAGTCAAAATCTCCACGTCCACCATGGGCCGGTCCATTTCTCGCTGGCTGGGGTCAATCAGCGACGTTACGAACTTGTTCCAGGTCGAGGTAGGCACATGGTCAAATATCTCGAAATTGTAGATGCGGACATCCAGCGAATTCTGCGTTTCTCCAGACCCAGGAGGGTACACGACCAGGTCCAGAGCAACGCCCGACAGGTCGATCGTGATCTTCTTACGCTTGCTTCGCTCCAATTTCAGCCTACGACGACGCGGCTTTGTGTTACTACGCGGCCTAGCCGTTGCCGTAGTGGTCGACGTGGCATAGCTACCCGTTTCACTGGCAAGGTCATCGATATCCCGGTTGATGCGCCTCGCGAGTGCTCCCTTCTCATCCTTGATCGGCACACCGATCCATACGGAATTGAAGAGGAAGTCCTGCTCGACGAAATCGTCGTCGTCGTCTTCGGTCTGCGGTCGCTGTCGTCGCTCTTCTGCACGGGCTTCTAAATTATCAACCGCCTTTGCCATGATATCGCGGGTTCGTGGCCAATCGTAGCCATCGTAAAGGTTCCATACCACATTCACGTCTCGGACCCGCACCCTGAGCGGTGCATCCGGAACGCCGAATTCGTTGGAGAGGTGATACTGGTTGTTCGTAGAGTCCCATTTCCTGGCCTTCCCCTTGTATTGTTCCCCAGTTTGGTTGAAGTAGTCGTCGAATGTGAACTCCTCTTCTGTGACCTCATACTGCTCTTGAAAGCTCTCTAGAAGCGAAGGCTCTCCCTGCTTTCGCGTAGTCGGAGGGGTGGCAAGAGCTCCAAGGTTGTCTTCGTCGAGAATGTTGTCGCCGACATCTTCTTCCGTAGGAAGCGACTCGGAATTGTAAAGGCTACCCACAAACTCTAGATTCCTAGGGACCTCATCCGCGACTAGGTCAGCCTGGTCCATGAAATCGTGATCTTCGGTGTCCGGAGGAGCCGCCATTGCACTGCCAGTAAATGATTCCATCATGTTTTGCAGTGGCACAACCGTCCGATATTTCTGATCTGTGTTAGGGGGCCGGGGAGGTTGCAATCCATTCAAGACCGCAATGAGCGTTTGTGTTGAATCTGCGCAAGATTCTAAGACGAAGAGGTCATTTTTGAACTCCACTTCGACGACTTGTTGCCGTTTCACGCCAGCTCCAGTAAGCTGTACGGACACCTTTGCCTCCGATATGGAACTCAGAGAAACATAACCTTGCTCACGGAGCTCAAACAGCTGACGCTGGCCTGTGGAATATCCCGATGCGCTAGCTGCAGACATCTCACGTTCCACGATTCGATTAACATCGTCGATCACATGTATGGAGGCTTTGCGCAGGTCCGCTTTGATTGAATACCCAACTTTCGTTGATTGCTTTCCCAGAAAATGCGCATCCGTGACAACGAACAGCCCTTTGGAGGGAATGGCGCGGGGATTAAGTCCAATAGCACAGGCTCTGAGGAGCAGATCGACATGAAGAGGGTTCAAGCTGGCCGAAGATGACGAACTCGTTTCAGACGCTTGCCTGCTCAGGGATCTTGGACTCTGAGCACCCGTGATGGTCGCGATGGACGACGCAAGAGCCAAGGCAACATCGTCCGGCTTTCCGTCCTCTGGCAGGCCCAGGACGGCCATTAGTGTGGGCACATGGTACTCAGCGCACACGTTGAACAACTTTGCCTTGACGAGAGGCTCGACTTCCTCACCAATTATCCTCACCATGATCATGGGTAGATGGTCCTGCTGGCGAAGTTTGACCAACTCATGCAACAATAACTCGTCGTTTCGGCAAACAGAGACCTTTCCAATCTCGGTGGCGAGGAGAGCCGGAAAACCTACATGAGCGAGGGACGTATTGTCCAGTGACAACGACAGCTCACCAATACTGTCATTAACACTGACTCTTCCTTCGAGGTGCTGCACTATCGCCATCGTGAGGATACCGGGACGATCATCATCTGGCAAATATCTGGTCACCTTCGAGAACTTCGCGAGTTCCGTCCCCAGAGCTTCCAGGGCTCGCAACGCACCGAGATCAGGCACTCTGACCGCAACGCTAGACGACTCTATGCGTAGGACGGACCCTTTTCGGCGTTGGCGCAGGAGAACATCGATCAGGATGTCTTCATCATTCTCGTAAGGATCTTTGGATGGTGTGATCATTGATATCAATCTCGATAGGTCCGTTTCTTCGGGTGTGAAAAGGAAGTTCACAGTGGTGCCTTTGATATTTAGATCGAGGGGGGCGACGGCATCTCCAATGTCCGCATAGGGACCGGACATTTTTACTTCAGCCACCTTCACTCGAACGTTACTCTGCCTCGCTGCAGCCCGAACTGAAGTTGTCTGTAACTGCACCGCGCAGCTCTTTCCTTTCAACACGGAAGATACCTCTCCCAACTGGATGTCGATCTTTGGCATACCGGAGGATCCAGTGGGTAACGCTGGTGCCGGTGGGGGCGTGTCACCAAAATGAACGCCACGTGGCCGCGGTGGTGAGCTATGTCGAGCAGTAGCGCGCATCTGAGGACTATTGGCGATTTGATTGGAGCTGATAGAGTTCCCAAGCTCCAGTATTCCGCTGAAGCCACCATACGAGCTCAACGCTTCGTCGAGATGTTGCAGATTGCAGGTGAGTTTAACTGGGCGGGTAACCACTGTTATCCTTGAGGTGGGATCCTGCTCAACATCTATTTCAATGTCATTCTTCAAGGAACCAGCGGAGCTTTCCCCGGATCGCCTCGACCGCGGTTTCTGGGCTACGAAACAGAGAATTTCTTGATCAAGAGATGCCAGAACGAATTGGCCGATCTCGATTTTGGAACGCCGCCCTTCGAGGCTTGTGTGACTGGAGAGCTTCATAGCGGTTGCATTCATTCTGATGATTGAATCATGCGGTTCGCATACAAGCCGAGGGCGAGGGGTCGGCCGGGCTGTACGGTTCATGATCTCTGTTCTCAATTGTTCGAACCAAGCAAGCCCAAGCTTCCCTACAGTGACCTCCAAGTGAGCTGGATTGGTCGACCGTGCATGTAGCTCGCTTTCTTTGTCTTCAGAAGCCTCAGTCCCTCCGATGGCATCAACGACTCGGTTTAAAAGTCGATATAAGATGCGTCCCGTTGATAAATCAATATGCCCTGTTACCACCCCAACTTCCACAGATATCGGTCCAGAAGAGTCTTTTGATTGCTTTTCAGGCGATACGTTGGTTGGAGCTGACGGAACGGCTTGCTTCGGCCTCTTCCCCAATACCTTGTCAGAGGGCGTGCTTCCATGTGATCCTGTCGGAAACGCGTAGTGTGAGAACGTTCCTGGCATGTCTTGAAATATTGAATCTGGTTCTAGATTTGGAGGGCTGAGGGACGATTCAGGCTGCCGTGCCTGCTCTTGTGTTTCCCGACTAGAAGGGCCGTCATCTGCTAACTGCAGGGGAAATAGGACAATGATATCATCCATAGCTAAAAAAGCTTTAGCCAACTTATGACCCTCGTTTGACTCCTCTGATGGTTTAGCTTTCCCGTGCACATGCGTAGAGCGGCTATTCGGACGGTTCGATAGGGAGCGTACGCTCGAGGGACTTCCAGGGCGAGGGGTCTCGCATCCCTCATCGGTCTCGCGAAGAGGGCCAAGGATACTTCCAGAAACCATGGCCTCCGGAACAGAGCCCGACATGTCGGAACTCCCGCCTCGGCTCGAGCCTGAGTTGGAGTCCCATCCTCCTGGGATAGCCCCGCCAAAAGAAACGGAAGTGGCGCCGCTCATCGCACTCATGTACATGCTCTCGGCATCTTCATGAGTGAAGAGTCTTGATTCTGTTAAATCTTCTTCCTGCGGAAGCGAAATCGTAGGTTCCTCCACAGAAGATTGGCCAGGGGTTTGATGTTGTGTCCCAACATCAAGCTCGTTCGTCTGAGTATTGGATCCCTCGACCGGTCCTGATTTTGAGAGATTCTCGTCGTACGGGTTTCTTGATCCTTGACGGTGATTGGAAAAGGGATATGACGCAGCCGGCTGCAGATTGAATTGCATCTTCCCAGCTTCGCCTGTCAAGAAGGATGAACGCTCTCCTGATATTTCTTCACTGTTCGAACCATTCTCAGCTGCAAAAAGGTCAAAGGCGGAATTAGCCAACAAATCATTCTCGATAGAATAGTCAAGCCGGCCGTCATCATTGTACAGATTACTACTCCCGCTAACTCCTGACTGCTCCATGGCGTCCGAGGAGGCGTTGTTGTGAACGTCAGCCGCTATACTCTGGCTCATCTCGTCGTCAGATGCCGCATCCGCAAATCGATCATCGTCACAAGTAATGGCAGAAGACATGAGGGGCTCAAACCCCCTATCAACGGGGATGGGTTCAGGAGGACCAGGTTCGGGCTCTCTCTGCTCCTTACTGGTGGCCATCGGCGGTGCCGCATCCTCTCCTCGAGCGGATTCCGGAGACGAGGACCGGGTGGCGGCAGTATCTGGCACAGGATTATTATCAACTTGGCCACCTGAGGAATTGCGCCGTGTACTTTGGCGATAGGACGCGGCGGAACGAGTGGAGCGAGTAGACTGAGCATCATCGGTAGGTGACAATGGTCTCAATAGACGAGACAGAGTCTCAAAGTTCTGTGACTCGGAAACCAAGCGCGCATATATTGTTGGTATTCGCAGGCGGCGTCTGGCTGCCGTGGATTCTGTCGCTTGGAATGTAAGAGGAGAAGCATGGACCTGGGGCCCTTCAGATGTCACCGTGTCCACGGCGATACTGTCTAAGTGGAAGCTGAGGGAGACAAAAGGCTCCTGGCCCTCTTGGTCCGTGTCCGGAGATCCTGGTGAAAGCTGATCCTCCACTTCAACGTGAATCTGAGTTGCGGTGATCTGTAATCTATCCAACGCAGTATTGAGTAATCTCCGGAGAAAGGTGGGAAGCCCCAAGGGTTTCCCAAGTCCGGCCCCTTCATCACTGTCTGTGCTTGATGCAACTGACTCCTGCAACGATTGTGACTGGGATTGAATAGCCTCCTCCAGTTCACGCAGCTCTGTCTCGGGCTCCTCCTTGATGAAGGATCGTGCTAAATGATCGATAGTGGGTATATTTTCATCGTGGTCTTGAGAGGAATCATCGCTCGAGAATGAGTGGCTCGGGTCGCGAGGCGACGACCGGGCGCAGGCAGGTGATTGCGGTCTAGGGGAAGGGCCAGGTTCCTCTGAGTTCTCGACCAGCCGAGCATGTACGTGCACGTCGTCTATCTCGATTAGAATCTGCGGAACTCCCAATTCCAGCACGAATGTGCAACGGAACAGTGATGCGCGAGCATGTGAGAGTTGCAGTTCTGGCGGAAAATTGAATGGTAATAAGGCGATGAGTTTCTATTGCGTCCCAAGGTCAGTGAGGGGTATCGGGAGGGAACTACGGCTCGTACGTACCTTTACGTGCAGCCCAACGTCGCGGACCTCGAGGGTCGTCGTCGTACCGATGTCGACATTGACGAAGTCCGCTGGATCCTTATCTAATATGTCTATATGTCGTAGGCCAAAAAGGAGGAGCTTCCTGCCTATAGACGAAGAAAGTCTCGAGAAGGTAGTAAGGAAGGCCATAGTGTCGTGCTCTGAAGTATGATGGCCTTGGGCAGTTTGGGATGTGGGCGCCCGGGATGGGTACGTTGGGACCCTATACCGGGGCTGGTTCTGGTTCCCTGCCCTTAAAGACGGACGAGTACATGCTCAAGCGAGGTTAATGGAATAGGTCCAGAAAATGCTGAGTGTTTAGGAACAAGGTGAAAGAGCAGAGTGAAGGACATAGGGTGGTAAGGTGGTGAATGGACGGTGGATTTGCTGTCAGGTCCGAATGCATGTCGAGTGACCGATGACTTGCACCAGCTGCCCGGCGCCTAGCACCTAGCCCCGGCCCACCACCCCGCTAGAGAGCACCAACGTTATCAGTCACGTGCTGATAAGCAGCAGCCTTAATTCTACACTGCACCTTCCTCTTCCGTCACATTATGTCAGCACCTCTTTTGCGCACCTACATAGGTGAGCCCTACTGTGAAAATTCTCACTCATCCATTTCCCCTCATTTTCTGCTCTCATCTAGGCTATACAGAAATGGCGGCCGCAACAGGTTCACAGACAGACGAAGAATGGGCGCAGGCAGAAGGCGTCCCTAGCCTAACCGACCCCTTCATTCAAAAGTATCTCTCTGGCAGAGATGCCCTCGTGCATGAGGAGAAAAAGAGGAGAAGCGGTTGGTCAATCTATCTCCAGAGCCTGGTAGTACACCTCGCCAACAGGCGCAGTCTGACATGAGTTCAGACCGCGTCTTTCGTGAAAATCTGTCCCCAACGGCCGCCGAGGCCTGCGCTATTGTAGATCAAATCCGATTCGAAGAGCAGCAGACACTCTGGACCAAAAACTTCGAGGATAGCCTGGTGCGCCACCACGTGGATGTCTTTCCAGGCATGATGTTCTCCCTTGCCAAGGAGCGAATGGAGAAGAGGAGCAGACTATGGAAAATCATCCGTCGGATGCCAAAAGGAGCGCTGCTGCACTGCCATCTGGAAGCCATGGTGGATCTAGATTGGGCACTGGAGGAAGCTTTTTCGACAGAGGGAGTCTGTATCCGGAGCGACGGTCCACTCTCCTCACCAGAGGCGCTCCTGAAGGCGGGCATTTCATTCTCATATACAAAGACCAGGGCTAATGTGGATGTTTCGATCTGGAGCAACCAGTATGTCGCTGAGACATTGGTTCCAATAACCGTTGCTGCAGACAGCTTTCCTGATGGCGGCCGTAAAGGATTTATTGAGTGGATACGATCTCGGTGCACCATCACAGACGAGGAGCATCTCCTTCATCACGAGGGCCCCAACCAAGTGTGGCGGAAGTTCATGTCCTGCTTCCCCATCTTAGGCTCCCTGGTCTACTATGAACCCATCTTCAGAAAGTTCATACGAAAGATGTGTCAGCAGTTGCTTGATGATGGTGTTTACTACGTTGATATGCGGTCGGCGTTTTATACGCCTTACCGGAGGGCGGGACAGGAAGAGTGGGATCCCGACTATCTGAATTATCTAAGTCACATGGAAGAGGAGATCGAGAACTTTAAAGCCTCCGAAGAAGGGAAAGAATTCTGGGGTGCCCGCATGATTTGGACTACAGTCCGCGCACTCGACAAGCGCAAGGTCATCGAAAGTAAGTTTCTGCCATTGCTGCACTAGAACATGCGCTCACGGCTTCACTAGGCATGACACAATGCATTGAAATGAAATTGGAATTCCCCGGCCTGATAGCAGGCTATGACTTAGTAGGACAAGAAGACATGGGCCGTCCTCTCGCCGACCTCTTGCCCGAACTCTTCTGGTTCCGCAAAGCCTGCGCACAGTCCGGTGTGGATATTCCCTTCTTCTTCCACGCGGGCGAGACCCTGGGAGACGGCGACGCCACTGACGAGAACCTATTCGATGCAATCTTGCTCGGTACACGACGTATTGGTCACGGATTTAGCTTGTACAAGCACCCCCTGCTCATAGACATGGTCAAGGAGAAGAAGATCCTCATCGAGAGCTGCCCAGTCAGTAATGAAGTGCTGAGGCTTTGTGGGAGCATCATGTCACACCCACTCCCCGCGTTGCTGGCACGTGGCGTGCCTTGCTCTCTCTGCAATGACGACCCGACTATCTTGGGCCAGGGAGGCAATGGTATGAGCCACGACTTCTGGCAAGCGTTGCAGGGATGGGAGAACCTGGGACTTGCGGGTCTAGGCTCTCTAGCGGAGAACAGCGTAAGGTGGGCCAGCTTTGAAGATTATAGTGCGAAAGACTGGGTGCAGGACGTGAAGGATGGGGCTTTAGGCAAAGGCATCCGGGCTCAGAGGTTGAAGGAGTGGATCGCCAAGTGGGAGCGGTTCTGCACCTGGATTGTGGACGAATTCGGGCCTGACGAGAATCTGGAGCCGGAGGAATAGGGTCAGCACAGTCTAGGGAAACAGTTCTATTAGGGATACAATGGGTAAAGGTAACGGGGGACTGGTCTCAACACCGTTTTGCATTGTGCTCTCTGTATCCTATCTATTCGGGATACTGCGCACATCTTGAACATGCATAGCACATCTATTTGTTGCACACTATCTTGACTACAGCATCCAACTCGTCTTAAAAAGATATCGCCCGCGATCCTATCTGAACTGAATTATCATGTAGTAGATTTTAGTGACAAAGTCTAGGCTTTTCTTCAATGTTCACAGAAGCTATGAGTAGTGGGCTGAATTGCAGTCGCGTAGTTCTTTCCTACGACCAAGGTACAGTAAATTGACGCCTAATCTGCAGCTCAGCAATCTAACAGAGACCTTATGCTAAGCACTATGTCGCCGTCCGCCACCTCACTCACTTTTCCACCGGATTCGCTACAACTTCAGAACAATCGCTTGTCTCCACCTGCACGCCAGCAGTTCCCGAAACCTATCCCACCCTCGCGTTCGCGTTGGAACCCTTGCTATTACCCCAGTATTAGCTTTTCTCAAGAACTATGTCATGAGTGTCATGTGTACGATGAATAACTGGCGTATCAAAATACGCCACATACTTCACACTTCACAAACGCAGGTGCAAGTGTAGTTGACACACGAGATAGCATTTGCTCTGGAAATGTACATCCCACATCCACTCACCCGCCACTTCCTCCTCCTGCTGCTCCCCCTAACCGACACTCTCCACCCTTCTAGCAGACATCGCAACATCCGCAGAGCACCCTTGGGTCTCCCAAAGCATCCTCAAAACTCTACTCCTTCACCCCGTCCTTTCCCTCCTCCTCCTCCTCCCTTACCTGCTGCCCCGCCACCAATGCCACCACCCTCCCCATTGCCAAATCCGCCCTCTGACACCTCAGCCCCGCCTCCTTCGCCATCTGCTCCGCTCTCAGCGCAGCCACCTTCGCCTCTGCGACCTGCTCCAAGCAATCTGCAACCGCTTGGGTGAGCTCTAGACGCCGGAGACGCTGCGTTGGGGTTTCGGGTTGGGCATCGGCCGTGGTTGGTGCGAGCGGCTTCGTGAAGAAGGTCTTGATGCTTTTCTTTAGGCCGAGCTTTTTGTCGGTTGGGACTAGGGAGCCGGTCTCGCTGCTATTTCCTGCCCTTGCCGAGATAGCCAACGACCTTAGGTGGGACTTGGTGAAGACGCGTGGGCGCATATGAGGGAGGACTGCGGCGGCGGGTTTGTCATCTACCATTCTTTTCCCATTGGACCGTGCCGCAGGGCCCGGTTGGATGTCCTCCCCGTCTTTCTTTTCTTCCGGCGACGCGTTACGAGCTGGAGACAACAACGGAGAGGTGTCTTCCTCACCCAAGAGCACAGCGTCGGCCTGTTTATCAATCTTTAGAACTGGTCCGAGTCCTGTGAGCGCCTGCGATGTCATGGACAGACGCTTCACACGGAAATTCACAACATCCGCGGAAGCGACACGTGAAGGTTCATTGGGAAGCGGCCAATTTGGATCATCGGTGTTGACATCCGTGTCACGAGTGCCTTCCAGAGACGAATCGGCCGGCTGGATGGCTAAGACGTTGTCTCTGCCAGTCTTTTGTACGGAGGGGCTTGCTTCATGCACCACCGAGGACCGGAGAACTGGATGCTGCTCCGGGACAGGAGTATCATCAACAGGCGGGGGGCTCGGCAAGGGCTTGTCGACGGGCGCCGGACACGAATTCTGTGGGGTTTGAGGCTACCGCAGCGTTAGTTTGCGATTTGATCAGCGAGTTAGCAACATACTTGCTGAGCCAGGGGGATAGAAACGGGAGCCTTCCGCGAATATGGTCGCTGAGGTAGGCGGGAGAAGTTCCTCGCAGTGGCGATAGACCTGGAACTCTGTGGTGTTGAAACCTTCGTGGACGTTGCCATGGTTGGCAGCTTCGAAGGAGTTTTTGAGGCGCTCGAGGAAGGTATTCCAGTTGTCGGGAACTCGTGTTTAGACGGCTGGTCCTGCTTGAGCAGAGCTCCTGGCGACGAAACTGCTCTGACGGTTGCGGAGATCTTGGAGGCACTCGAGGAAGGTGTTGCGGTTGTTGGGGACTCGTGTTTATGCGAATGTTCCTCCTTGACTAGAGATCCTGGCGACGAAAGTGCTCTGACGGTTGCGGAGATCTTGGAGGCGCCTCTGGATAGAGACCCAACGGGCGCGGTCTCGCCTTTGGGCGTAGATTGCCGTGCAATGGGGATCTTGACGGGAATCCTCCCTTTAAATGATGGGAGATTCGTGCCCATGATAGTAATTAAGAAACTGAGGTGCGATGGCTGGAGGGGTTGACGCGAGAAAGATGAAGGAGGAGAAGGAGACCGCCTGATATGGAGGGGATGAGGGAATAAAAACAATTGCATACGCGAATAAGGCGATGGGCGTTTGCTGTCGCGCGTGGCAGGCGATGCAAAATGTGTACGCGTGGTGAAAGAGACTTCTTGTCAACAACAAAAAGGAACTTGCAGTGACGTGGACTCTGAACAGGAGGTCACCACAGCATAGTACAAGAGGGGTGGAGAAGAGCTACGCGCAAGTTACTGATATCGCTAGCCGGTGAAAGGCGATAATGCGTCCAGCCCTTTCCACAGTCGGCATGAAGCTCAAAGGCAACCAGGGGAGTCGAAGATCTGGTAGTATATTTATGTAATGTGAAAAAATGAGGAAATGTGAAGATGAGATCTGATAATGCGACAGAGATGGTAAGAAAGTTTTCTGGCGCCGGCGAATTGGGTTACACTCTCCTAGCGGAAACCATGGAGAAGACAGTCTTGCTTACTTTGAACGTGTCGTACTTCAACCTACCTTCTTTCTTAGCTAAACTCCTATCCGATGTGGTCGAAGACGGTGTTCCCAACTCTTCCGTCGCGTTCGGAGTCTAACCATAGGCATTTTGGCAACTGCAGGCTGGAGGACTTGTACTACAAGAAGTAAACATTGTTTCTTAGTTGTTCTACGGAAGAAATGACCCTTGGGAAACGGATTTCATGTATCTATCAGATGGAAGTTGAGAGGTGATATTCGAACGATGCCAAGGGGTTGACAGTGCTTTCGGAACGGAACAAGTTGAAACGCCGAATTACCTCAACCGCAAGCGTCAACTGTGTCAGTAGTCAGGCCAAACGACAAATCCATTCGTGCTCAAGATGCTCAAGTACGACAAGGCTGCGAAAGAGGCTCATGTCTCTGGCCTTACCGGCAGCACCGTGAGCGATGTTAACAGCGTTGCTCTCGCAATGCCTGTAAGCCTTGCAACCTAGCAGATGTTGACCCGAACCAATGCTAATACTGCTACCAGCTCGCAGTCCTTCTCTGGTCGACGCTCCAATCTAGGCAACGCACGTTCACTCCCTACAAGCCTGTCGCTATCTTCGTTGACTTTCTCATAAACTGTTGCGCTACACTCTTTGCGACCACCATATACTCGTCGTCCACATGGCTGTTCAACTTTCTTCTGATATTGCCCGCCGTCTTCATAGCCACCACCTCCCAACCCGTCACAGCACGATCCTCCAAACCGCCCGTCAAGGAGCTCTCTAAATCGAAACCACCGAGTCGCCTCCCCATCAAACCCTTCATTACCCACTACCGCGGATCAATGCTGGTTATAACCTGCGTTGCCATACTCGCCGTAGACTTCCGAATCTTTCCACGGCGCTTTGCCAAAGTAGAGAATTGGGGCACATCCTTAATGGACATGGGTGTGGGCTCGTTCGTCTTCTCCAGTGGAGTGGTGTCCGCCCGAAGCTTGCTAAAGAATGAGGCTGGGGTTCGCCTTCCGTTTGCAGAGCGTCTCGTTCGCTCCACTCGGCACTCTCTCCCTCTCCTTGTACTGGGTGTCTTACGGCTCCTCTCCGTCAAGGGACTCGACTACGCAGAACATGTCACGGAATATGGTGTACACTGGAACTTCTTCTTCACATTAGGGCTACTGCCACCTTTTGTGGCCGTGTTCCAGTCCTTGTTTGACTTTCTTCCGTCATATGCTCTACTGTCACTGATCCTAGCCACCCTATACGAAATTGCACTTGACCGAACTGATCTGGGAAAGTTCATCTTGACCGCTCCACGGACCGACCTTTTATCACAGAATCGAGAAGGTCTGTTCTCCTTCATTGGCTATCTGGCTATATTTTTAGCCGGACAGTCCCTAGGCATGTCTGTGCTACCGAGACAAGCCTCCGTCGAAAGCAAGTCTTCTTGGAGAATTCTTTTAAGGCGCACGATTCTGGGAAAGCTTGTTCTGGCGACGACCTTCTGGACAGTCCTCTTCTATTGGACTGTGAGTTATGCCTATGGACTTGGACTGCGTCTCAGCGTCTCACGCCGCCTTGCCAACTTGCCGTACGTCTTGTGGGTATCCTCCTTCAACAGCGGCCAGATTACCTTGTGCTATGCTATTGAGCGAATTTTCTTTCCCCAGATATATAAGGCAAGCAGCGAGACAGAGGAGGCGCAAAGAGCCCGAGACGCAACCAGCCCCGTTCTATCTGCATTCAATCGGAACGGACTCGCGGTATTCTTGCTTGCAAACCTACTCACTGGGCTTGTCAATCTGACATTGCCAACCTTGCAAATGGGCACTGTTGCATCAATGGCCATGCTACTTGCCTACATAGCGGCATTATCTGCTGTCGCGCTCACTTTAGATCGCATGAATGTATCGATAAAACTCTAGATGAGCTCGTACAATCGAAGCATGTACCTTCAAACAAGCAGAAGAAAATTTCACTACCTATGTATATATAGTAATTAAATAGATCGAATCTTCTCCAGTAGCAGAGCACCGCCAGAATCAATAACCGCAACCCAACCAGCAAGTGAACGATATCGCCAAGGCATATCATGTGCTCGCGCGCGTGCCTCGCGCTTTCCCTGCGCACAGACCATAGGACGCGGGGAAGCTTCAGAGCGCAAGTACTCCGCAATCCTCCTTCAACATCCGCAGACGAAGAGCCATGCAGATTTACGTCAACGACGGCGGAAATGAACACCCCTTTGGCAAAGCGCCGCCGGCTGGATGAGGCGACCAGGACGCTTCACAAGCCGTTCAAATCGCCGTTCCGCACTCCATTGAAAGCATCAACATCCCCTAGCGAACCTCCGTCTTCAGATCCCCCAGAGGCCCCGAAGAACGACCTTTCATCTACCAAGACCAATGCTACCCAGAACAGACCATTGCATGATCCAACTCTAGTAGTGACGCCGCGATCACCTACCACTACCCCGAGCCGCCCAATCCAGAGGAAGGCGTTACCTAGCCTGACTCGAGAAATCATACAATTGCGCTCAGATATACAGATACTCACCCAAGCACTTACGCTCGTGACGTCCGACAAAGACAGGGAACTGCAGCGTCTGATTGATACATGGCGGACTGCCAGCCGAGCTGCAGCCGAGGATCTGTTTGCTCGGACAAGAGACAGGGTGAACAGAATGGGTGGCGTTGCAGCTTGGAGGGAGCGTGAGAAGGAGCAGAAAGAGTGGAGAAAGAAATGGGATCGTGAGGAGATGGAAGCGGAGCGAGCTCGATGGGAAGAAGAAAAGGGAGATGAGGATAATGCTCGCTTCGATGACTATGAGTATGGCGGTGGGGAAGGCGAGGAAATGGAGAAACAAGAGGAGGTGGGGCCTAACGACGATGTGAGATGGACCTCTCCAAGCGACCATTCGAGAGGATCAAAAACTAATGCGCAGCAGTCCTTCACGATGGGCATGATGCTGAATACACTCAACGTTGGTCTGAAGTTGATAGGGTACGACAACACATCGCAAAGATGGGAAGGTTGAGAAACCAAATTGCCCTGAAGTAGCTCTATTGGAGAGCAAGCTTAGAGCCGCATGTTCGTCATGAAGGAAGAGCTCGTCCTAATTGCATCAAATACCACTCCCCAACTCCTGCAATATCTAGCATCCCCAATCGTACGGATACTAATCCCAAATGCGCGATTGATGCTACTGTTTCAATAATCTTCGCTAGTTTGCAATGGGGGCCGGATGTCACGCTTGTGGCCAGGAGTGGGCGAATCATTCGCTTTCAGCCCCCAAATTGGGGCTTAGTGAGCCTTTGCTTACCTCTAGCTTCCGTGCAACAAAATAACTGTCTACAAATATGTATCCGGCATTCGGCCCTACTGACTTCTCTCTAGCAAAGTCATCTCCTCTGAAGCTCACAATATGTCGCTGCCGCCGGCAGAGGCGAAGAAGGAAGCCACGAAGGGGAAGAGTTCGAGGACGACATATGAAACCATCAAACAAGGGGTGAAGCAACTCTACCCACCAGAAACGGCCACCAACCCTACGAACATTGAGTGAGTATCAAAGAAAGCTCGCTTTTATGGTTGGCTGATATTCGTCTAGTATTGTCTTCGTTCCAGGGTTAGGAGCCAATCCTGAGGAGAGCTGGAAAAAAGGCGATTTCAACTGGGCTTCAGACAAGAATGGCACAGCAAAAGACTATCCCAATGCTCGAGTGCTGCTCTATCTCTATGAGTCGGCTTTTCATGGACCACTCAAAGTTGACCAATTTATGGACAACATCGCGAAAGGGCTCCTCCATGCTCTTCAATCAAAACGAGGGGTATGCTGAGACATTCTTTCCCACCGTCCAAGGTACAAAGCGCTGACATGGGAATAAGGAACAAATAAACCGACCCATTGTCTTCATAGGGCATAGCATGGGAGGGCTAGTAATCGCCAAGGTGGGCATCTCCATTATAAACTCCCCCTCAGTAACTGAAGATCTAGGCTGTCACCATGATGGATACACAACGTGACACGTTCCGCAAAATGTTCGAAGCAACCGCAGGATGTGTTTTCTTTGGTTCACCTTTCAATGGTGCTGAGGCTGCCTCAGTGGCCGCAATGTTCGCATATGTCGGCGACAAGTTCGGCCAGGCCACCACAAGCAAACTGCTTGATCTCATGAAGCCTGGTGATGCCAGCTTGCGTGAATTGAGGGCAGATTTCATGCGCCTGGTCATAAAACTCCCGACCAAGATTGAGCTTTACTGCTTTTGGGAGAATCACGACACTGACCCCGCCAAAATGGCTTCCGAGTTTATAGCCAAACGGGAGCCCGCTATGACGGGCGGGCGGATCTCGAACGTTTTGTATGACATCTTCAAACAAGCTAAGGCACCTTTCAAGATCGTGGAGCGCGAATCTGCGACGTTTGGCGATGTGGTAGAGAACCTAGGGCTTGCATGCAACCATCGAGATCTGGTCAAATTCGACGACTTCAAAGACCCTCGTTACCAGATGATTAGAGACCCACTCAAAAAAATCATCCACGGCGCTCCCTTGGTTGTAAAGAATAGGTTGAACGCAACTCGAGATATTGATCTGAACGCCATAAAAAGCATCACAGAAGCACTGGAAGTGTCGACAATCTCAAGAAAGAAGGTCTCCCAAAAGTTCACTCCCTCGTCATGGCTACCCACAGACAAACAATTTTCGGAGTGGCTGGCAAAAGATGAGGACCCCCATTCTGAGCAAAAGCAACGGGGAGATACATTATGGATCTGCGGCTCTGAGGGACGTGGCAAAACGGGCGCAACTGTTGCGGCTCTTGAACAGGTTGACAAGGTTATCAAAGAAGACGAGCACAGTGACAGCGGCAAAGGTACGCAGTATAGTCTGCGAAGCCAACTCCTTGCTAACTCTGCACAGCTCCAATTCTGATGGCATATTACTTCTGTGATCCGACATCAGATGCTTCCACTGCAGAGGACTTGTTGAAGTCCTTGCTCCTCCAGCTCATCCAGAAACAACCCTTGTTCGTCCCCTACGCAAAGCAGTTCACAAGACGCGAGAAACGGCAGGCTGTGCCTACCTCGGTGGAAAATCTGTGGCAGAGTCTACAGGATATGCTGTCGGACGACATAGCGAGTAGCAGGATCTACTTCGTCATCAACAACCTGCACGGTCTACCGCAGGATTCCGATTCTACGAAGAAGCTTTACGATCTCATCAGAGCCGAAATGCAGACGATGAATGATGATGATATTGCCCGGGTTTCCATCAGATGGATGTTCACGAGCAGGAAATCGAACAAGAGCATCAGTGATATCGTCAACAGCGGGATGGTGCGGCTCATTGACCTGGAAGACGAGAAGTACGCGAACCAGGTTCAGCTGGAACTGCGAAAACATGCTCAAAAGAAGGTCGCCATGCTGGGCAGTGAGAAGGGGTACAAGAAGGATCTCGCCTATTTCGTCAGCAGCTTGATCGGAAACAGGGCGCAAAACACGGGTTGGATCGATATGACGTGTGGTCAGCTTGAAGAGTTACCAGAATCTGAGAACCCGTTGAAAGTGCGCCAGACTTTGAAGAAGCTACCTCAGCAACTGGATGACCTCCTCGATGAGGGATGGAAGCAGATTTTCGATTCTAATCCTTCACAGAGCGACAAGATCAAGAACATGCTTCAAGCCCTCGCCCTAACTTTTGAAGACCCCACCCTTGATGAACTTACAGTACTGGCGGGTTGGCCTGCCGATGCGGGCGCTGAAGAGCTGCGCGATCTCGTTGGACGATGCAAATCCTTGCTCGTCCTCAAGGGGGACAAGGTGTGCTTCAAGAGTCCCATTGTCAAGCCACATCTGGTACGCCACGCCAATCCACTGCTTGGTGTTACCGAGGAGGAGATCAAATGGCTCCACGGGGAACTTGCATGGAGATCCTTCTCTCACCTGCTGGACCGCTTTGACAAGGAAGAGCCGGCAGCACAAGAGGCGCCGGAAGGCGAATCTGGTGATGGTGCTGAACAAGACGAAGCCAAATCCGATGCGGCGCCGTCCGTTACAGGAGAAGAAGAACAAGAACCTGAGAAAGACGATGAAGATGAGCAAGAAGAGAAAGTGGAGGAGGAACAGGAGGAAGACGAGGAAGACGAGGAAGACGAGGGAGAAGATGATACAGACGATGACGATGACGACGACTCCTCGGTCATGTCTGAGCCTGAAATCACTGCACTGCCATACATGGTGAAGCATTGGCTCCATCACGCCAGCAAATCCACCATGGAGTTGGCCGAGGACCTCAGTCTTCAAGAGAGCTTTTGGAAGCCTGACTCAATCATACGCGCTCGATGGCTAGCCCAATACGAATACTTGACAAGCCAATACGAGGATCTGGATTACAAGAGTCTTTCTGCACTCCATGTGGCAGCTTCAGCTGGCTTCCGGCAGTTAGTTGCTGCCCTCATGGACAACGGTTATCAAGATGAACTGCATCTGAACGACTCTCTGGTCAACCAGCCGGTGTGTCATGGTCCCTTTTGGATTAGCTTATTGCATGCAATGCTAACTGGTAACCTTAGCTGCACCTGGCTGCTTTCTTTGGTCGGCCTAATATCGTCGAAGAGCTGATATACAGAGGCGCTCCTGTCGATGGAGGCAAGGAAACAAAGAACGCGACACCGTTGCTCATGGCAGCATCTAACGGGGCTGTCAAGGTGATGAGCATGCTTCTGGCTGCGGGAGCAGACCCAAACGCCTTGTCTTCGCAGAGTGGATTACCGTTGACCAGCGCCATCGATTCAGGAAGCATCGAGGCCGTGAAATTGCTGATCCAGAAAGGTGCCACTATAGCACCAGACTACGAGGAAGACGTCGACTTACCTCTAGCTTGTGCGGCTCGGTTGCCGGATGCGACGATCTTTGACTACCTAGCAGAAGTAGGAAAGAACGAGTTGCGACCCAAGGATTATGATGAGGCTTTTACCAACGCAGCTTGGGCGGGCAATCTCGAAATATTCCGGAAGCTCGCACAACACGAGCACAGCCAAGATGTCCTTCAGCAAGCGCTTGACTGGGCGACTGAGGAGTGCGAATGGGATATTGTGCGGGACATGCTCGAGAAGTATCCGGGCCTCGATTGTAACGCGCTCTTCAAGGCGGCCGCTGTTTGTTACGATGACCAAGACGAGCTCCTTGACATTGTGTGGAAATACACAGCAGGGTCCATCGAGTTGAGCTACCGCAATGATGCGCTCTATGAGGCTACCGACAATGAGAAAGAGTCCACTGTCAAGTATCTCCTCGAGACATGCGAGGCCGATCCTAATGCTACCGGCGAAGAGTAAGTATCCCTCAGTCATGCACTACTCTCTGCTAACGACTCCAGGTATGGGAACGCGCTCACGGCCGCTGCGTATGACGGCAGACTGGATATGGTGAAACTGCTTCTGGATGCCGGCGCCGACATAAACTCACCGAACGGGTGGGCTCTGCAGACCGCTGCCGGCGAGGGCCATGAGGACATTGTCAAGGAACTCATTGAACGTGGTGCTAACGTGGACGCACAAACGGATAACGAACACTTTGAGCAATCCACGGCGCTCCAAGCAGCTTGTGAATCCGGACAAGTCGACATCGTTCGACTGCTTTTGGAGAAGGGAGCCAACCCCGATATAGGAGGCGGCTCGATGACGTATCCCATCATTGCAGCAGCTCGCAAGGGAGAAGGCGAGATCCTGAAGCTTTTGGTCGAGCATGGAGCAAAAGTTGATGTCTTTGGAGGTCCAGACAACTCAACGCCTCTCATCAATGCCGCCAGCAGTCTGCCTAAGGAATATCTCAAGCTCCTTTTGGACGCGGGCGCCGATATCAACCTCGCGGATCCTGACGGCGATACTGCACTCATTATCACTGCTGCCTGGGCAGATGCAGACAGTGTCGAGTTCCTGCTGGAGAACGGCGCTGATGTCAAAGCTATATCGACGTATCGTGGAAATGCCTTGCAAGCTGCATTTGCGAGCGAAGATAGGCGCACGTTAGAGCTGCTCGTTGATCATGTGTCTGAGATTTTGAAGGGGCCCAAATCTGAAATCGAGGAGGCCGATGCGCATGGGGCCAACGACGCTGAAGCTACTGCACCCGTAGTGAAACAGGCCGCTCAAGAGACTGTGGGAGCAGAAGACGATACTGCAGCGAAAGCGGGCCAGGCTGACGGAGAGAATGTGGAATCAACAAACGATGCCGCACCTGTCCAAGCTGAGCTTGCAGACACGGAGGTCGCAAATGGGCCGACTGAGCCGAGCTCGTCCTCTATTGCCGATGAGAAGTATGTGACAACGCATCAAGTCAACTACGGCTATCCCACGCCCGAGCCACATACCGAGGAACCTAGATATGACTCGAAACCAGAAAGGCAAGAGAGCCCCGGTAACCACCTCGACCACGTACCGCAGCCTCTGAGGGCGGGTTATGGGTCTGCTCCGCCGGGTTATAGCCCCAAGCCTGGTTACACATCACCTCCAGCTACCAATGGCCCACCAGAATCTGCTCCACCGCCGGGCTATGCCAATCCGTCAGGCTACGCATATTCTTTGGGCAGCGGTGCTCCATCTAGCTATCCATCTCCTCCAACACACGTCTCTCACTCTGGATACACCTCACCTCCCGCTCAAGTCTCTCATTCCGCATACGCTTCTCCTCCTACTACCACAACGACCGCTTATCCTTCCCCTCATACGAGCACCCATCAGCCTTCATACACGCCTCCTTCCAACACACCGCCTACCGAAAACCCTCAAATCAGGTACTCCTCTACCCCAACCAGCGACGCCCAACCTGCATATCCATCCCCAGCCGGAAACGGCATACCTTCGAGATACAGAATGTCCTCGGGCCACGGCGCCCCACCCAGCTACGCACCCCTCTCTCGAAAGCCCGTCCCAGGAGCATCTGGCTCCCAAACCGAGCAGTCTGCCGCAGCGAACAACAGCTCCCTCCCCAGCTACACTGCTCAGCCCCCCGGATACCACCAACCCCCGACTGCGTACAGCCGCCAACCTAGCTACGGGAACTTGCAAGCGCAGTCGCAGTCGCAGTCGCAGTCGCAGCCGCAGCCGCAGCCGCAGCCGCAGCCTCCGGCGCCTTACAACCGGCAGTCAAGCTATCAGCTACCACAACAGTCCGGGTACAGTTCACCACCGGTCCCGTCGGCGTACAATGCGTACCCTGGAGCTCGCACGGAGTTGGGAAGTTTTAATCCTCAGACGGCGGCGTATGGAGCGCAGCCTGGATATGAGCGGGAGGGATACGGGTCGCAGGATGGGGGTGTGTGTCGGGGATCGGGGTATCAATGATGCTTTGGTTAGGATTTCATAGAGTTTCTTTTAGCATGTATGTTGCTAGGTGGGAAGACATGGCGGATGAGGTCTGCTTTTCGCCATCATTGTTTCGCATTTACGTTGTATAAAAATATTCTGGAGTTGTCTACTGTGCATACTTTTCGATTGACCATGTGATCTCTTCTTTTATCTTCACTACATCCCTATTTCCATGCCAACTGATAGCCGTCCACTCTCCATGCTTAACGTTCGCGTGAACTTTGGCAGGGAAATTTACTTCCACAAGTAATGGCAGCCCAGTCCAATCCAACAACTCAACTAACTTCTCCGCCGCTACATCACTCCTCCCAACAGCGCACAGATGACAAGAACAACAAGTGGCATCCTCCTACCCCAGCGACAAACCACGCTACACTGCAGCAACCCTCAATCCATCTCAACCAACCCATTCGTTTCTTTTGCACTCCCGCGCACCTCCCTACCTCCCGTTCCCCGGAGTTAGGCCAAGTAAAACCCGGCACACCACGTGAGCCAACGCCTTCCTCCCCTACCACAGTATGTAAGTACATGCCGCTAGATCCTTCGGCCGTAAGGTACCGCTTAACGCCTAACGCGGCCCTGACAGCACCGAATCCGTGGGCTCGGGGAACGTGGGGAGCGCCACGATGTCAGACGTACTGCTGTGCCGGATTCGGGTTGTTGATATTACTGTAAAAATGGACAGAGAGAGGGGCTTTGCATGCGTGCGTGCATGTGGCTTGGTAGTAGTGGTAGGAAGGAAGGAATGTGAAACAAGCGTGGCAGATTTTGCACCACAGTCTTGCTGTGCCGCTGTGTGTGCACTGCGGTAAGGTCGAGTTCCGGGGTAAGGGTAGGCTACTTACTCCGTAGACTTGATCGGACTGGACTGGACGAGTGGCTTGGGCTAGGAGAGACGTTATGTAATACAAGGTCCCCATCCCAGGATTACTGTGTACACAGTACTCCGTACCTGCGACTTGTTGGGCTTGGTGCTCATTGGGTACGGAGAGATAACGGAGAGATGTGTACCAGTACTGTTATGTAGCGATGGTTGTGGCTGGTTAGCGTGCGTATACCGCCCCGTCGCATACCCATGGCGTACCTGAAGGTTGACTTGGCTGTGCAGCGCGTTTGATCTCCGGGGACGTAAGCTGGATGGTGCAACTTTGCCCCAGGATTAGTCGGTAGGATTCTCATTCGTACTGTGTAAACAGGGTGAGTATGGCATTTCTCGGTTTGCCATGGAGAACACGACTCTTGACGCCGTGAATTGAGCGAGAGGGAGAGGTCGAAAAGTCAGAGGACAGGAGAAAACAATACTTGGTACTAAATAGGGGTTGACAAGACCCAGAAGAGAAGCCGAGCAGGCTTTTGCATTGTAGTTCAAATCGAAATGGAGAGTGTCCAGACACAGAACATGCTGCTCGATTTCATAGGCATTTGTACTTGATTCTTGAATCCTTTCCGCGTGGGTGCACGTAACTTCAACACCGGGTTCGGAAGCCTGCCGCGCCGTTGTCAGTATATGCTACCGTCTCTTTGTGTGAGTTTAAAACATACCTTTGAACGCATAGGCGGCAGGGGCGCACCCACAGGCCTCGCAGTATGGCCAGTAGAGAGTAGGTAGTGATCATTGACCTGTCTTCGCGGGACCTGGACCTGAGCCGGGTACATGCGGTGCATAATAGGATAAGGATATGAACAGGTGAGGTGCATTTGAAATACAGCAAATGAAGGTAAGGAAAATATCAAGCCCGGCCAAGAGACCATCGGCGTTGAAGGTACCCCATACGAAGTCACGGCTCACACTCCGCCAATAGAGTGAGATTCAACATCTCCTATACGCATATTGTGTAGAGATGATGTAGAAGGAGTCGCAACTGCGCCTCCGAATGAACACAGGACGTAGCAGGTTCCAGCACCTCAAAGAGAACGGAAGCTCTATCGAGTGTATGGACTCGCCAGTTCAGCATCCGAGAAGTCAGAGTCACACCGCTGAAGACTGCTGAAGACGGGATGCAGATCTAACGAGTCGACTGTTGCCTTGAGAAGTTGAAGCCCGGATCACGCTATGTCTGGTGCACAAAATGATTACATTGACCACGATCCCTCAAGAATTCGAGGAGTATGCGATTTTCGGGGAATCGCTGCCGGGATGCATCTGTCATCTCCCCTGCATGGAGCAGGATCACCATGGGAGGATCCGAGACATGGGGGCCAGGGGTGAGCAAGCGTCGGGAATCACGGAGGCGTTCGTGAGCACTGCTCAATAATCGCGAATGAACAACAGGAGCCAGGTTCTCATGGGCTTCCAGGTATTTGTACGGAACCTTTCTTAACGAAGAACAATTCACGGAACGTCCTGCAAGCGATACGACAAAGGCGTGAACACTCCAGCGAAGTTGTGATTGTCCAGTTGTGCACTGATCAGGATCCTGGAGCGGTGTCGTCATGAGTGAGAGACCGTTTGGGAGGGGTGCTGATCTTACGCTAGAGGCTACGTATGTATTCTGACTCCAACCTCGTATACACAGTACATCGATCGATTGGTTCCCCGGGTCCAGCCACAGGGGCTCTGCGTAGCGAATACTTCCCGCATGCGAACAGTCCTGTGCAGTCGGGGGATTCCTTCCGTTGCACTGCCTGGGACGAAAATACAGATACTGTTGGAACTAACTGGAGGTGATTCCTAAAGGAAGGCAGAGCAGAAGAAACGAACAATCAAGCAATTGAAATGGTGAGAGCGACGCCATTGGATGGGTTCTCTGGTATCGTTTAATCCACTTGCGAGTTAACGGCACCTGCTCCACCTCCCGCACGGGAGGAATTGCTTCCCAAGATGAGCCAACATCTTGGATGCACGACTGGGGTCGCCCCTGGTCAGATTGGATTGCTGTGGTGCATGTGTGCACGTGCGAGCGACTTCATCAATGTCCAGCTTCAGGGCGATTCTCCTCCTGTGAAGTAGCCGGCGGAAATGATACAGGGTGTGACATGCTGAGTTTTGTCGAGATGGTAAGGGCGTGCCATCAACCGAGATATGACGTCCATTGATCGAGTGCAGTCAAATTCGCTCAGCAAATTCTCCCTGGATGCTCGTCATGGCGACCGGTTGGGAGCTTGGAACACTCGACAACGGCTCGAGTCTGTTTCCTTCTCAGTGTGAGGACGGTACGTGCAGATTGATCGTTCCGCCTGTATCCGCTAAAGGTACTCGTATGCGCATGTTCCATCTGCTGTCAGTACCACGAGCAATGAACTGTTCTTTGTCAACAAACAGCAACGCCACAAAGCTAGACCGCCAGTTAACAGTTCCTAAGCCCTACAGACACTGTAAGGCCGTCTATAGCAGCCTACAATATGAACGACAGCGACTGCGAGTGCCATATGTAGACACGATTGACTGGCGAGCGTGAGCAATCCGCAAATGACCTGGCATAGGGATGGGTATTTGGAATCAACTGAGCCACCTTGGCGCAGAGCGAAATGGGAAGAAACCGCACGAAGGCCCAAAATCCCAAGTCCAAACGGGCAATAGTCGAATTGCTGTGCCATACCCCAGCGTCGGCCGATGTCGATGGTGCGGGAAGATCGGACACTCCGTGAACGGGTTGCACGAGCCGTTGGTGACTAAACAGAACCTCGGCGTGATATGATTCCAATCTGACTTGGCACTACGTGCCTGATGGTATTCGACACCGATCATCGTCGTCGTGATTAGTAGAAGTGGAGACGGCTGTGCTGGGAACTGGCAAAGGCGAGGGCGGTTTTTGAAGGGCGTTAACGCCGCTAACAGCGGGCGGACGACTTGTGCCCCGGAAGCATGGCGAAGGGAAGGGCGGAAAGGGATCGCATGCTCACACCGACCAAAAATGCTGGCGAAGTGAAGAAGTTAGCGGAAGCATCCCATGCAAAGAGCGGTGATGCCGAGTGAGAGCGGAGGGCGCGCTAGTCCCGATATGAATCACCAGCCACGCGATGACGTCGGAACGACTAGGGCCCGAGACGGGCCGCGACTAAAGCCACACATGGTTATATGCACTCCACGCTATCACGTTCTGAATCACCGCCCCCAACGAGTCAAATCTATTGCTTGATCAGGAGATCAAGGATCCTGGGCATAGTGGGACAATACGGGCACAAGGCAGACTTGGAGATATCAAAAATGTTTCATCATCCAGAGGTGAGCTACGGTCGAACCCGTTTTCTTGAAGTCTATAGTTACACTCAAGGAACAGAAGAAGAAAAGGGAGGAAGAAAACAAAGTCATGAGAACATATCCCGGAGACTCCTTGCAATGACCCTAGGTGCCCGTAATCAATGTCATCTGCGGTTCGCACCGCGGTGATTTATAAGCCAAGCGCCATCCCAAGTCATGTCTTCGTGTGCGTATCCCAATCGTCGCAAACCCAACCGTGCAAACAAAGCCGTGCCGTGCTGAGAATTCCGTCTAACCCTCCGGCGCCATGAGAAGAAATGCCGCATATATCCCGCTTGTGATGCCATAAACAACTTCGTGACTGTCGAGTCGAAGAATAATACAGTGCCCGATTACGAACATTTGGTAAGCACAATGAGCGTCCAGTGTAGTCGCCATCGCGTTTCCGGGGTCCAAAGGTTCGAAGATGGCTGACCTTCCGAATTGAAATTCATCGGGGCTATCATTGATAGTGGGGTGGGTGCGCGCCGCTGGCATAACCCGAGTCCGGAAGGACTCCGGCGTAGTATCCAGGCTCAGGTCGAGAGCTGCTGTGGCTTGAGCATGCGTATCCGACGAGGACAGTCTTCTCTTGAACAATATGGCCGCGTTGTCCGTAGGCCGAGCATGGATCGATCGAGTGCTTGTAGTAGAGACACCGGCACACGGAGTAACGTTCGACGACTTGATAGCACATCTTGGCGTAGGGAATGTGACTTGGATGACGGGAGGTATGGCGCTGAGCGAAGGATTGATGTATGAGAGACGTCCGAGCTGCGAAAGGAGACGGAGGAAGGTGATGTGAGCTTTGAGTGAAAGTTGATGCTTAAGCTTGAAGGGTGAAACTATGGATCTGGGAGGGTAAGAACCCAGAATATATAGCTCTTAGAAATATGGGGAGACAATAGAAATGAGAAGAGAGTAGAGACGCCCATTGACAGAAGAGTATGCTGTGTGCATGCTGCACGTCGTCAGGCAACGGAGATCAAAGTGTAGGAGTAGTGTACAGTCAGCACGGATAGCTGCGATGTTGGGGCAGAAGGGATGTGAACTAGCACAGCCATCATGGGTGCTAGTACGCAGGTAGTGAGAGTGGGTAGGCGCGATGGGAGCGATCCCATTCGGTGGCGCCAGGGTGTTTGGAGGCTCCTTCAGCTGGATCGCCTTTGCTCACTCCTGTCGATGGAGATCTCATTGGTTGGCGTAACCTTTGCCCAGGAGCATCAACAACAACGGCGCGCGCGGGCTGTTCGCGTACGCAAGAGCGCAATTACTTTTTGGTGACGCCCGTAGAAGCCTGCAGCGATGGGGCAGAACCTAGCAATGGGCGCTGGGTGTCGAGTCTCGCAGCTACCCTACCCATGGCCCCATCGTCATGTCATACCTACGGATACAGAGCCTATTGCGATCTCAGTGAGAGCCCCCCTGGTCGGATCTGACAGCAGTGAGCTGGGCAGTCGGGGGGTCAGCCAGGGCTTCGGAATGGAGTGTGGCTGCTTGCTGTCGTGCACGTAGCAGACTAGTGGTAAGGGAAAGCAGTGAGATGACGGTATTGGGACTCTCGAATCTGTATTATGATCATGGTTGTGCTGCTATACATGAACAATGCTTTCGAAGCTGCCGTTGATGTTGTTGTCCCTCTTGCGGGCGTACTGGTGTGAGTCTGCAGGCGGAGCGTAGTGGGCGGGAGTCAGATATGGCAAGTAGCCGGACCGGACCCGAGACATTCTGCGGCAAGAGGTCACGGTGCCGTAATAGCTGGGGAAGGGTGTGGATGGTGTTGAAACATGGCCTGGAGTGCAAGCAGCCGGCCCCAAGAGAAACGGTCCCAGGGGTTTCCAGAGGTTTGGGGCCAGTTCGGGTAACGTGACTCGCTTAGAGACGGGTGCCGAGATCCATATAGCCTCGGTTTCCCTAATTTTGGCTAGGCGCAACTCGTACACCATCTTGAAAGCAGCAATCATTATTTTAGTCATCTCGAGCGGTAGACCAGAGGCTGCTGCCTTCTCTTACGCATCCTGAGATTGATCGCAAAGAGACGGGGAGTCAGATGGTCCATGATTCACCACTGGCCACGCGTAAATCGAACAATGAGGTCATATGGAGCGCGGAAGTAGGCGAAGCTGCCGGGCAGTCAGTCCCAGCAGAATTGGGAATATGGTGTTGATATGTTTGGCGCATCTAGTCCATTTCATTCCAGGCTCCACTGCTGTTCCTGGTGCCTCCCCGCTGACGAGCTGATGAGCTTGGAATTCTCTCCAGCTTGGAGCTCTTCATTGGCTTCACACACGCCAACTATGTTCATGTTCATTTCCATTATCACACACTGCCTCATGAGGAGGGACACTTGATTTTGGCGCAAGGCGCGGTTCCGTAGAATTACTCGGACTGCAGGTCCATCTACTGTGTATGTATCTCCGGTTCCCTGCGCCTCACTGTTGGCATGTACACAGTAGGTACGGAGATAAGCTGACCACCATTTCCTCCATCATCTGCAGCCCTATGCACCCTCCCGGTTCGGGTCCCACGTGTCGTGGTTGTGCAGTGTCTCACAATTTCCCCCGACCATCCATCTACACCGCGTATACATGAAGTCCTCCCCCCAACATCACTCATCATTGCCGTACCTATCGATTGCTTCATACGGCCCTCAACGACGAGCAGGTCGCCTATCTGGTCGTTTCAAGATCATCCATCTTACGTCGGCGCTGTTCAACTGAGGCCCTTTTTCCGCCCCCAGAGGTCCTTTTCGGCGGCGCAAACGGGAGATTGCTAAGGCAGAATTCTCAGAGTCTATACATAAACTGCTCGAGGAAGTCTTGTGGTCTGCCTTTGTCGCTGATTTTGTATTTTTGTCTTTACATCTACGCAGCATACGGACCTGAGTGGGACAACCTTGGACAAATTGTTCGCCTACTCCGAGTGTTGAGCCCGACCCCAAACATTCGAGAATCACCCCGGCGAGAGTCCATCTGTCGGATGATGGCTCTGGCATGCACAGCTCCTTGGGGTGTAGATGCAGTCGGTTCTGTGTCACGCGATTCAAAGGAAACCTTCGGAAGTATGAGAGATCATAGAAGAGGCAGAGATGCACTCACACATGGTCAGACAACGACACGCGATTGTGGGACGGGAGGAAGAAGCATCGAGAACAGATACAATGTTGGATGTATCCTCTATTTCTACTCATAACTGTTCATTACAAACTCCGGCTCAATGTGGTATCATGCCAGAGAACGCCCAACCGATGGCAACCCCCAACTCCGAACGTATCAAAAACGATTGTACCTCTCCAATATAACAAACAACACCTCCCAAAGAAAATGCAGCCGTTATAGGTAAGCAACGGTGCAAAGGGCGATAACAGCCATGACCCAGTATCCAGAGTATACTCGCAATCCTTGTGCGGCGTCGTCTGTGCCTCCTGGCGCGGTTGTGCCGTTAGGGAGAGTTCCATTAATGACAATGGATTTGGTTCCGTTCACGGTCGAAACCGTGACGAGGCTCTTGTTCAGCTGGTTATAATCGCCGCTCCCGATCAAGGATTGCAGGTACTGCTGATCGTCGTTCTCGTCGCAGCCGCAGACCGACCACTCCTGGCACAAGCACACAACAGGCAGGGTCTCGTTCAATCTTGCAGTCTCGTTGTAGAACTGGTAGGGGAGGTTGTAGTAGTACGGATAGACGCTGTACAGCCAGAGTCCAGGGAAGATGAGTAATGCAGCACCGACCCCGAGAAGGGCTGCGGGAAGTAGTCCTCTCGGTGTCTTTGATCCGGCGGAATAGGGTACTGCGGCACCTCCTCCGTAATATCTCCCGCCTCCGTAGCTGCGAGCCGCTCCCGAACCGAACTTCGTCGAACCGCCCGAGAAGGAATTAGGAGCCGTTCGAGCAGGGGATCCGCCTATCAAAGAATTAGCCATCTATGATTTACGTTACAGTGTATAGCTGTTTACCTCCGCCTCCACCTCTCCCGCCGCCACCTCCACCTCCACCTCCACCTCCGCCTCCGCCTCTACCACCGCCGCCCCCTCCTCCTCCACCGCCTCCTCCTCCTTTACGCTTCTCCAAGGCATGATCGGGTGATAGAACGTCCCGACGAGGTACAAGGGCCGGGGCAGGCAGCGCATCGTCGACCCGGTTTACTTCAGGTATGGAGACAGCATTGACTGCGGATGCTGTGAGCGCGAGGTAGGTCAGAAGGTGTGTAACCCTCATGGTGGTGCGAAGCGGGAGAAAGCCAGTCGGGGAATATGTCGCGCGTAGTAGTATGGATAGCAATCGATAAGTGAATGGCACACAAAGCCTGTAGCGTGTGTGCGACTAGCCGTTCGGTGAGAAATGTTTGCTAGAACTAGACGTGGCGATGGGTTGGTGTCATTTAAATATGTAGGTATGACAAGCAGCTTGCACCCAACAAAGTGACCGGTTCAAGGAACAAAGTCAGCCGCAGGTCCGCCTCTCACTGCCACCTTTCATAGATAGAGCGAAGTGGCTGGTGGACTTTAGCTGCACACCGGTCACTATTGGGCGAATCACCGTTGCGGAAAAAGGGGGCAGTGCTCGTCTTGGGAAAATGACAAATTAGCAAGCTACCAGTACAGTAAATACTTGTGAAGCTCGGCATTCGGACAATCGTATAACATACCCATTTCATCATGCATCGGTTGCGAGGGTGACTTTCGATCCAACTTTGAGAGACATGACTTCATCGCGCTCGGCAACCGTGGCGATCATGAAGATCTGCAGCTCCGTTCTGCAGGACCGAGAGAAACAAGTTCAAAGACTTAAAAGTGACGACACCCGCGGTCCTCAGCACATTGCAGAGAAACAAAAGAACGTGCGGACAATCGTGTGAGCTGGCCTCTCTTGTTTTCTTTCAAGATGGATGTCACCAGCCGTGGATTGATATTATTATGAACGGAGTGTGCAAGCAAACGGCATCGGTATGTATCAGCCGCTTTGCAAACAATATACCACCCGTTCAGCACTCAAAGAACATGCCATACAGCGAGTGCAGCCAGGGACCAGTCCTTCATTCTTCGAACAAAGTAAACTTGAGGGTATCTTTGATTTCGCATAGTTAACCGAGGTTCGCTGTTGATACTCCTTACGCACGTAAGACTCAAAGAGGTCCAACGGCTTTGCGAACATTGCCTCATCCTCCTTTTCCAATCCCCTGACAGCCTTAACGGGTCTCCTCCCCGCGACCGGAAAGGCGGGACTGCAACCCCAACTCTCTATCATGGTATGCGCATATACCACGGTGGAAGCAGCGTGCGTGTTGTGATCGTGGAGGTCATTTGCACTCTTGGTTTGCATAGCATCCGACGGAGGAAAGAGTCGCCGGTTGATCGTTCAAGGCGACAGCAAGGCCGACACGGAAAATGGAGAGGGTGACAATCCTTTGTTGACCCCTATCCCGCGTTCACCGGTCATGGAGGAGAGCCTTGGCTAAGTGCCTCCGTCCGGGGCAGCAGGCGCAGCAGGCCCTCCGCCGTCCGAAACAGTCTGCACTTTTCTATATTCTCTCTCAAGCGCCTGCTGCATTTCGAATTCGGCTTGTCGTTCGCGTTTGAGGCGTTGTTGCTCGTAGTCACGGATAACCCCGGCGTGCATTGCCTGGAGACTGTTAGTAGCCGCAACGGGAGCCATGCGAAGTCAAACTTACAGCTTTCTCTGCGCGCTGCGCATAGTGCACGAAAATCACAATGCCAACTGCGCCCAGCGATGTCGCCGCTAGTGTGATTTTCGATGCGCGGGACATGGTCGGGGTAGTAAACGAATGTAAAGTCGACTGAGTGCTGCAAAGCGTCCCGGAGGAGATTTGTCGAATTGAGTACTTAGAAGCTTGGACCTTATTGCCAAGCCTTACCGCGACCTGACTACTGCCCACCTTCTAACACCACATAGGCACAGACGTACATCCGTACCGTTGATTAGTACCCTCATAATGGTGAGCTGTCCTGTCGTAGAGGATTAAGGCGATATGCTGACCTGCCCCAGTCTGCCCAGAACTCCGCCGGCATACAGACTCTCCTCGATGTACGGATCTCATATACGAGTAGGCGCAACATGTAGCTTACACTATGAATAGGCGGAACGCGAGGCGCAGAAGATTGTTCAGAAAGGTATTGGATTCTTTCGTATGGGCCGAGTGAACTATATGCTAATACCCTATAGCCAGAGAATGTGCGTAGCCCGGCGAACTCCACCCCGACTTCCCATCTGACAATGCTTCTAAGATCGCACAAAACGAGTCAAAGATGCACGAAGTGAGGCGCAGAAGGAGATAGAAGAATATCGGAAGCAGAAGGAAGAGGAGTTCAAGAAGTTTGAGAAGGAGGTATGGGACCAGGAATTTATCATTACTACGAGGACGGATGTTGACCGGCTTCTAGCACAGTTCAGGAAACAAGAAGGCGGAGGAGGATGCGAACAAGGAGACTGAGGCAAAGATCAAGGAGATTGAAGAGATAGGCAAGAAGTCGAGCAGCAAGGTCGTCGAACAGCTACTTGCTGCGGTCACAAACGTCAAGGCGGAACCCATAAAGCCACAGTGATGATCTGTGAGCTTGCGCTGGAGTCCTTTATATGCCGGTTGGATACCGAGAGTCAAAACGCCAGCCTCTTGAGCTCGGCAGAATGAGCGGGCTTCTTGGGGCCCATCCCTTGAAGGTAGTGTGAAGCTGATGGATTAGAAGAACACCATAACGTCCTTCCTAGAGTCCATACAACGCCACACTGTTCATGTGTGCCATATATGCCTCTCAGTATCCCAATCCGAGTCTCCTGAACCTCTTCATATTAGACTTCTCCGTCGGTGTTAACCCTGCAAGCTCTCACATTTGATTGGAAGAGGTCTGGCACAATAATGACATCAGGCGGTGCTGCGAACATTCGAAGCATCGACATGGTTATTCTGAATGCCAGAGGATGCCTAGTTCTTCGAAGTGTTGCTCTACTGCCTCTTTTCACATTCGACTGAACACACCTGTGCATGAAACTGCTATCCGGGTGACGGTGCTAAGTACCCTTGTCTTTCGTTACGTCATCGTCGGCATTAGCCAGTTTGCTGCCCCCCCGCGAAACGGTCCCTCGACAGTTCCAACTCGAACGCGACACTAATAAATCTCTCATCATGATCATATGCTTTCCACTAAATGATACGCCCACCAATACGAGCGACTTGTCGCTTGCGCTACACATATCCGCGCTTTTTCGGCACCGGCCGATTGCTGCTGAAGGATCCTCGACTTCAGGACTTTGGGCGAGTGTTAGAAGATGAATACGCGGTTATACGCGAGAATTATGGTACGCTTGGTGCTTTCAATGGGGCTTCGCAGCAGCTAATTCCAATCAGAAACTCCTGTACGTTTCCGAAAACGTCTTCTTCTCGACCCTGTCTGACAATTTGTCGCACAGAAACATAGTATCGTTCTCGCACATGGCCTCCTCGGGTTCGACGAATTACGACTAGCGGGACCAGTCTTCCCCGGCTTGCAATATTGGCGTGGCATAACAGATGCACTGGCAAAGAAGGGTATCGATGTTATTGTAGCAGCTGTACCGCCGTCCGGCTCTATTGAGCGGAGGGCGGAGAGGCTGTGTGAAAGAGTCGCGCAAAGGGCGAATGGGAAACAAGTCAATATTATTGCACACAGCATGGGGTAAGGACAAGAGCGAACGTCTGCTTATATACGCGTGACTGAGAACATCCAGGGGACTTGATGCTCGATATATGATCAGTCGCCTAAGACCCACAGAGTTCAAAGTGCTATCCTTGACAACGGTGGCCACTCCGCATCACGGCTCTGCTTTTGCGGATTATGTGTTTGACAGGATTGGACCGAGCCGGATTAAAGTCCTCTACAACGTACTGGGGCAATTTGGGTTCGAGACTGGCGCATTTTCACAGCTGACAAGGGAGTATATGCAAGGGACCTTCAACCCGAAAACACCTGACGTGGAGGACATCAAGTGCGTTGATATCTCATAGTTCGCTTCCATTCTCTGACGAATGTTCAGATATTACTCCTACGGGGCATCCCTTGAGCCGTCCTCCCTGTCAATCTTTGGACCATCCCACAAAATCATCAAGCGCATCGAAGGGGGTCTGAACGATGGGCTGGTCAGGTAAGCGCTATTTGACGAGGGGTTAAGTCACTTGCTTAGGCATGCAGTGTGCAATCAAGTCAATGGGGCGAGTACCAGGGGACTCTGCTTGGAGTGAGCCATCTCGACCTCATTAACTGGACAAATCGTCTGAAATGGTGGATCTGGAGCCTTACTGGAGGCAAGAAGAAGTATGGGGAGGCGTTTCACAGTCCCCACCAAGTCCAAGTCTAACAGCAAAGCAGTTTCAACGCCATTGCATTCTACTTGGATATTTGCGGTATGTGTCGCCCAGGTATAATCAAGGCTTGGAGCGCACTGACACGAGCGCATGCATAGATATGCTGGCAAAGAAGAACCTGTAGCACGTCGGCCGGATATGACGACGACGATAAGGAAGGACGTTTCAGACCTGATTGTTTTGGGCGCTGAAAGTCTCAAGGCTGACGTACCACGACCGAATTATGCGCCGAGTCATACAAATACACGTTAACGAGAGAGCTTCAGCTGAAACGGGTGTAATTCCGAAAGTGATACGGGCTGTGGTGTAGAATAGGGGTCGGCGGGAACGGGATTATTATACCGCTGTGGCTGAGTTGTGGCATGCACGTTGTTGGGCTCATGGCAGGGTCTCTGCAACCGCGAAGAACAGCGTTGTGCACTTGGCCAACTAGATGAGAATTGTAGATTTAGTCCAAGAAAGTGTGGTCTGCTTCGGAGTGTAGAGTTGACGTCGGGTTCGAATTCGCGCTCTCAGGTGACCTGGCTAACTGTTCGCGTCCACAGGTGGGTAGCACCTTCTGAGCTCCAATCCTGGAGATACCCCTCCAACAACCCCACGACATCCCTCTCTCGCACCATTGACACGCGTCTTGCGGCTGTGCTGGCACTTTTCTCCACTGCGGAGAGCCAAGCTTCAGAAAACGAACAAGCCAGCTTCGAATGCGACTGACGTCCGACTGGTATTTCTATTGAGATTTCTCATGACATGCTCCGCGTGGTTTAAATAACCTTTCTCTCCACTCGCTCGCCCCCGCGCGAAACCATACGGTGACCACGGACCAGCCATGCTCGTGTCAATTAGCCTAGAGCACCCTCACACACACTATACAAACCTAGACATTATCAATGGAAGGGTCACACTACGGGTTACGAGTCCCAGCACGGTGTCGAACATCGTCGTGAAGCTGGAAGGAGAATCGCGGACGAGGCTGCTCGCTCCAGTTAGACCCGAGAGACCTGACAAGCAGAGACCGGTGTTGGAAGTGCACAAGGTGCGTTCGGAAAGGCAGAATACCCATGAGGCATCAACCTGACTTGAGGGAGATTCTCTATAAGCTTCAAAACCTATGGCCTCCGGACCAGCGGCCTGAAGATGCATCCGTGAGCTCCAAGGCTTCGCACGTCATCGAAGCCGGCCAATATGAATATCCATTCTCGTTCAAATTGCCCCTGAACAACGCTTGCCAGCAGACTAATAACCTTGCGACAAACTGTATGTATGTTCAGCCTTCCAGCGTTGCACATCTAATTAGCTTGCAGTAAACTTCAGCGGCATGGCGCTCGAGTTTGCACGCACGGCCACGCACCACGTCAAGCAGACCCTCCCTCCCTCCCTCAATGGCTTCCCCGGAGAAGCTGAGATTCGATACTACGTGAAGGTTACCGTCAATCGACCCTCACTCCTCAAAGAGAATCCACGAGCGATAGCGAACTTCACGTTCCTACCCATTGAGCCTCCTAGGCCGGCACAGTCAGATGGAGAGGCATATGCAAGAAGGCAACACCAATTCCTAGAAGTTGCAGCAAGTGCACCGGCAGCCAAGAAGAAGAGTTTCTTCGACTTTGATCGAAAGTCGTCAACATCCAACCTACCTTCGCCGACGTCCCCCCTGCCCGGCGGCACCACGCCGCGATTCACAGTGGATGTGAGGTTACCAAATCCGGCTATTCTGACTTGTGCGCGGAATATACCCTTGCGAATCCTAGTGAAGAATATGAGTGGCCGGGAGAAGAATGTATATCTGCAGATGCTGCAGATTGAACTCATTGGCTATACAAAAGTGCGGGCACACGAAGTTCAGCGAACGGAGTCTAACAGCTGGATAATTGCTAGCTTCAGTAATATGGCCATCCCAATAGGCTCCCCAAATGACGCAGTCGGAACCGAGACGCCAATCAACCCGGAGTACTGGTCCGACAGCCCTCTCCCCAACACAGTTGCTCCAACGTTCAACACATGCAACATCTCCCGCTTCTATGAACTCGAGGTGCGCGTGGGTTTGGGTTACGGGTCATACAAGCATGGAGAGGATCAACTTGTGGTTCTACCCCTGAGGCTGCCCGTCAAGGTGTATTCTGGCATTGCTCCGCCCAAAGCACTCCTCGATGCCACATTATCAGCACAAGCTGGGAAAATCAAACCCAGTGCTCCTCCAGCCCTCGCACCCCCTCCAGAACCAATGCCACCCGTTACGCCGGTCGATCATGCAGGTTTCTCGGGGCCAAATGCGCTCCCGCCTGTCCAAGGCGCGCCTCCTAGCCCTGCGCCTTTGGGCGTACAACCTCCGTACGATGATGCTCCTCCGAGCTACGAGGAGGTGGTTGGGGAGGACCTGCCTCCCGTTGATGGCTACAGAGGGAACTACCAGCCGCCGCCAGTACCGGAGGGAGCCCCTCGGTTTTCGGATGAGAGGAGGCGATAAATCAGAGTGGAGTACTGTCTAGCGGGCACAGGCGAGATCCCGCTGTATCATATGTGACTCTGGCCGACGCATTCACTTTTGGTTTTACGTTGGGGTTTGCAGGGGGAAAGAGTGCCGCTATCCAATAGTATCACCGGGATCCCAACGTATAGCTACGCTCCAAATCCAGAGAAGAAAGGATTGCGCATGGCCCTCTAAAAAGTCAGGATGAAACTACGAACTGGAGCGACGCACCCAGCAATAGAGGGCAAACACCCACGAGGAAAACACGCGAATATGATGACGAGATGCTGCCGCGACATCCTCTGTCATGGAGAGGAATGAGAAGATTCGAAAGTTGGCAAACAGACTATCGGAGAAGTGTCTTTTCACCGCACTGGGGAAGGGACTAGGTATTGCCAGAGAACTTGGGCTAGTGTGATCAAAAGAATCGGAAAGAACTCCATCGCAATCGTCTCTGGACGATACAAACAACCTCCTCGAGTTCACAAGACGCCCAATGCGGGGTTATCAAGGAGGGAACACCAGCACGCTCATATGCACCCGGCATGCATCATTGCTCTCCCCTCGCACCACGGTCGGGCTTCAACGCAGCCAGCCCTCCTCCAAAGCCCAAGCGCTCAGTATCTCTCAACGGCGGCGGGGTGAGGGTGCGGGATTTTACGCGCTCTGTGTGCAGATGCCAAGTGTTTGCGGGGCAAGTTGTAACGTCGCGTGGTGGCGATTGCTCGTGTGGGTTGTGATTCCTGTGGTGCCTGTACCTGTGGGATTGGGAGACTGGATGGGACGCGATGCACACGTGTTTCGACAAGTTGATGTGCGCGAAGGACGTATCTCACAAGAGCACCGTGACTTTGATGTTAACATAGCAGAGTAGAATGCCTACCGAGCGTTCCCCAGGCGGATTTAATTTTTGCATGTTTTTGGTGTTGAAGTGCAAGGATTCTTGAAACACGCGTCGCAGCCAAACAACCGAGCAATAACAACCGTCTGTTTGTTTATATCCGATTCATGTTTCGTTCTGTCTGACGTCCAGACGCGTCCAGAGTCGTCCACACGCGACGGTTTGCATACCCTTGGCACCTCTCACCGACATTTGCAGCACCCTGTCCAGCACCGCCCAGCCACCTTAGGTTCGGCACCTGCAGCATCACACCTGCGCTACTGCGCCAGATTCGAAGTTGTTGAGTCGATGCATTCACCCGATAGGCCAGCCTCGTCGAAACGTTTCAAGGCCTGACTCGGGATCCCGCCCCGCCCAAGAACAGACCATTCAACACGTCGATATATCTATACACGTCTCGCGCCCCCCTTCAACTCGACGTGCCATAGTCGTGTTTTCCTCCCATTATCCTTCCGCTTCCATCCACCGCTCGAAAAAGCCGCAGTCTAGGAGGCCATAGGAGACCAAAATTGACTCACACTTGCATCTCACGTGTCTCTGAACCCCGCTCCCCTCCTCTGGCGGTAAATACCAGCCGTCGGTCGCGATGCCTGATTCCCTGAGGTTTCCGTCGCTTTGTTTCTGCCACCCCGCTCCAGGCTGAGAGAATTGTTATCTGCTTCCTTCATGAATGACCTGAACTTATGTATTCGCAACGACCATCGCCCCCATCGCTGAAGCGATCGGTGTCTGGCGACAGCCAGAGCAGCTATGCGAGCCAGGCCACAACCGTTTCGCGCGCCAGTTCGAAATTGTTGTTTGGTGAGATCCCGCTGACGCCAGCGACCTCAATCGGAGGGAGATGTAAGCTGATCCGGCGCCCATGCGCATGCGGTCCGGCCGACGACGTTAACCATTCTCCGCAGCTCTGCGCTCCAACAGCTCCGTCTGCTGTAACTTGGTCCATACGACAAACGTCGATTTTTTGCGCTTCTGGATGAACGACAACTGTCGGGAAAATCTGCTTGCACACCTCGAGGAAGAAGACCTGCCCAACCTTCGTCTCGTTTGCCATGACTTCTCTGCGCGCGTTGCGCCTCATCTTTTTGAGTATCTCACTGTTACCTTCAAGCCATCCACCTTTACCAAACCTGCCCGCATGGAGGCACTGTCTAGGATTGGCTATCACGTGAAGACCTTGACCTTCCATATGCCTCACGACCCCAACACATTCCTTCCACCCATCATAGACCCCATCACGGGAGAAGAAAGACAATTCATCTACGAGCCTCAGCTCCAAACGGCCCCGCATATCCCTGGAAAGGAGCAGCCGCCCAAGTATGGAACCGTCGAGATGACCAACCTGCTCATCGCGCAGTATCCGCCTCTTTTCCATGCTGCGACCAATGTACCGGCATTCGTGGCTGCGTTCTCCGAGTTCATCAACCTGACCCATCTCAAGATCTCGTGCCCAGGGTACGACTATACACCCCGCTATCGTCGCACCGCGGTCGACTATGCGCTCATCTCCCTCCGCATCGCCGTGGAGCGCGCTCCTCTCTTCAGCCTGCATACCCTGTCCATGGTCCCCATCCACCCCGGCGGTTTGCTCTACCTGCACCCCATGTCCGGATTCGGCAGCACGCAGACGTCGGCCAGACGCTGGTGTCAAATCCGCAGACTCTCCATCTGCATGGATGCCATCGACCTGAGCGTAACCACTCCGCGGGTACGCGCCCACAACCTCGAGAATCTGCGCACTCTGCATGCCTATCTCCGGACCCTCTCGCGCGGCCTGACCCGTCTCTTCTTCCGCTGGAAAGGCGCACGCGGGCCCTCCCCCCTTTCCCTGGACCGCGAACCCTGCATGCAGCCCTCGCCAGAGGATCTCATGCACCCCAGCATGGCGGGCGAGGTGCGCGGACCGCGGCCCATCAAGTTCCCCCGCCTGCGCTACATGGAGCTGGAAAACGCAGTCATGGACTCGGCCCAGATATCCGATTTCATCCAAAAGCACCGCCGCTCGCTGGTGGAGTTCAACTTCGAGGACGTCAAGCTGCGCGAGGGGAACTGGGATGAGGCGCTCGAGCCGTTGACGCTGATCACGGGCAGCGATGACTGGAAGCGGAATCAGGAAGAGGTCATGGATGTGCCGATTATCCTCAGCCCCGTGGAGATTGTGGGCGATGGGACGAGGGTGATGGGGCCGTTGATGGAGGAGGAACATGTGTCAACTGGCGAGGAGGAGGAGATGGCGATGATGAAGGTGAAGCAGCACAGCCATTTCTCCAGGTGGTTGATGAAGAGCCATGCGAATAAGATGGCGACGTCGCCCGTGTTGGGGGTGCCGAGGCGGAAAGGCGCCAAGGAGACGTTCTTGGGCAGCGAGCATATGAGGCGGTTCCTGAGGGATACATTGTTCCCGAACTGGAAGTGAGGGTGCTTGATTGATATTGACGAACTACGAACTGCGAAGCTACGAAGGTTATGACGAGCACGACTATCAAGAGCGGAATGGAGTTTTCACGGTCGGGTACACGGACGGCATGGACAAGGCAGATACCCTGGGTTTGGGTGGGCGGAGCATTTTATGCGGACGGAGGATATACGCTTCAAGCGGCCGGCTTCCTCTGGCATTTCTTTTTTTCGGGTTTTATCTCTGACATCTTCTCTTCTTCTCTTCTTCTTTTCTTCATACCTTTTACATCTTTTCTCCATCCTCTCTTTTACACCCCCTTTCTCAACCGTTTATCCATTCTTACGTCTTACGTTCATGTTTATGATTGATGACGCGTCGCCTTCCCGCCCGAGGGAAAAAAAGAACAAAGAAAGAAACGGAAACCTTCCCTGATGGAAATGGGAAAATGCAGTAATGTCTGTTTTATGAGATGAGATGAGATAGCTTATGTAGTGCCCACACACACACGGGCTGATGCCCTCTTATCGGTTTCCTTGTGTTCTCTCTTTCGTAGTACTTTTCTTGAGTATATATGCGTTTTTTATGCGTAGGAGATGAATGAATGAATGATATATCTATATTTATATACGGATCTCTTGTGCGGTGCTGAATGTTGCGACAGCTGGATGTAGACATGACACCTGCTTGTAGACGGTGAGAGGAGCTAATTTGACGATTTCTCTCTGTCAAGGACGTGACACACAGAGCTAACACATCACACCGATAGGTGTTGTTTTCGTTCGAGTGCATCATTCTTGATGTCGGTAATAATAGAGAGGCACGACAGGCCACGCCGACGATCTATGGGGGATGCTACCTAGGGTAGGCGGGGAATAAATGCTTCGGTAACGGTAGATCGATAGATGAGTAAATACATGTGACTTCGGCTTCAAAAGCCTCTATCAAAAATTGGATAATTATCCTACATCGGGGCATTACAGGACGGTATGTATGTAGAAGTTTGTGTGATCTTGTGTGCTTTGGGGTAACCCCACAATCCACTAAACCCACATTGTCCCCGGTTTTTCGTCTTGAAGCCGCCTAGCGTCGCCTTTCCACGTGCCCAGTCCGTGCTCTTTTGCCTCGGCATGTGACGGCGATCTTGGCCGCTCGCATCAGCGGACATTCACATGCCTCGCCGGGAGCAACTGTAAAGCAAGGCAGGGCTCGTCTTTCAAATAGTCCCACTTTGCTCCCCTTTCTCGAGTGTCACGACAAATCCATCCATCCATCCGTCTTCAACTCAGTCAATCCCTTAAAGCCCAACTTCGCCTACCGACACCTTCAAACAATCAAGTATCGCACGAAGCAACCATGTCTCTCAAGCACGGTATGTCATCATCCATTCCTTCGCAGTAGCACAATCGCGCGACCTGCTCCACGGCTAGATATTTACGCCGTCCCCTCTCCCACCCCAATCAAACCAAAACCAAGCACCCATTCGAGTCAAAAACAAGCTAACAACCCCGCCCACCAGCCGACTTCCCCTCCTCCACCGCCTTCGACGCCATCTCCACCTCCCTCACCTCCAACCCCTCATCCCTCCAACCCCTGCTCAAATCCGCAAACGCAATCTTCGCCTTCGAACTGAAAAACCCGGCCGGCAACGTCGAGCACTGGTACATCGACCTCAAAGAGACGGGCAAAGTCGGGCGGGGCCAAACCGCGCCCGAGGGCAAGAAACCCACAGTCACATTGGTCCTGTCGGATAAGGATTTCGGCGAACTGGTGCAGGGGAAGGCGAATGCGCAGAAGTTGTTCATGGCGGGCAGGTTGAAGGTCAGGGGGGATGTGATGAAGGCGACGAAGTTGGAGCCGGTTCTTAAGAAGGCGCAGACGCAGGCTAAGTTGTAAGATGGTGTGATTGGGAAAGATGTTGGGGTTGTGTTTTGGGAGTGTATGATATGATGATGTGGTGGTGGGCATGGTGTGTTTTTTGGTCTTGGGCGATGTTGAGAGGCGGGCCCCGTTTATATGAGCGATGGTTGGGACTCCCTATACCTTGCGCATGATGAAATGCATTTCTCATGGCATGGCAACGCGTTGCTTGTGATGCCTATCTATATCAGGAAGAGCTCGATTAAACACAAGATCTGTCCATTCCTTCATAGGATCTCCCATCCCATCCTCCACCATCATGCCCTCACCCAGATCCTCAAGGCGGCGTACCAGGCTGAACACTCTCAATAGGAAACAGCCACTCCTCGTCCCTAAACACGCCGGATCCCGTCCGCATACTTTGTAACATCCGCCCCAGGACCCGCCCATCTCGACCCAATTCGTGCGCTGCGTAGATGAACCCGTGACGTACGTGTTTCTGGGGAGGATGTGTATAAGACACGGGGGCTGACCCTTAAATTTTTTTGTCACACAATCCTGACCACTCTCCTCCCCTCGCCCTGCAAGTAGACAGGCGGCTCCCCGCGACCCTCCCTCTCAAGCGTAAGGTATCCCACCCGCCGGAAACTCCCATTTCCCAATCCCGAATCCATCAGAACCAATCCAAACACCTTGCCCCATACCATGCCCTCCATATCCACCCACAGATCACCACTCGTAGCCATCGTCAGCGTCCAACAAGGTACCGGTAGAGCCGCTTCCCCTTTATTCCTCCCGCCATCAAACCGCTCCAGATCATCCCAAGTCACCCACGCACTCTCCTCAACCTGCACCCCAAATTCCGCCACGTATCCCTCGACTACCAGCTCCCCCCCAACCACCGCCCCATACGTCACCCCTTCGGCCGTGAGCACCACACCACACTCCAAAATGCTGCACAACGGCAAGATATGAAGGTACAGAGCCGAATTATCCGCGAACTTGATCCTCCCCGAGTTAGAAGCCCAGCTCCAGCTCGGTGCCTGGCTCGTAAACCGCGCCTCTCCCTCTCCCTCTCCACCCTTGCCCGATGATGGCAACGAGGTGTACCATAGGAGGTCGAATACTAGGTGTTTGCGCCACAGGCCAGCGAGGTAATCTCCACCACCGCCGTGCAAGGGCGCAAATTTCTCGGCCACGGCCGAGATTGCCGGGAGTTTGTCGCCTTGGAAGGTGAGCGCGCGGCGGGTGTAGTTCTCGACGAGGTCGTGCCAGGCGTGGTGGGTTGCGGAGTTGTGAACGTGGGCGTGAGCGGTAGCGGCCTGAAGAGAGTCCAGGTACGGTCTGGTGACGTAGCCTGAATACTGGTCCCAGTAGTAGTATATTTTGTTTTGGAGCGTAGCGGAGGAGAAGGACGGAGAGGAGTCTGACGCACCGTCGTCATCGTCGATGCTGCCGAGGCCTTTTGGCAGTCCGCCGTGCCACCCGGTGCATGCGCATTTCCAGACGACTGCGAGGCCGGCGAATACTACGAGTCTGGGAGCAACCCAGGACTCTTGGAGTGTCCAGGCGCGGTTGTTGATCGGCTGGCTGATGTGGTCGCTAAATTCTAGAGTTTCTTCCTGATTGCCGACGACGAGTGTGCCGATTTGGTTGTTGTTGATGCGCACGCTCAATTGCCGTGGGCTGCGAGAATCTAGACGGGGGTCTAGGAAACCCTCATTGCAGGAGCTTGCGCTGCCTGCTGAGATTGTGACGAACGAGTTCTCGTAGATGCGGAGCATCCGGGGCAGCTCCCGGTTCTTGTCCTCGAGATCGTCCTGGATGATGCAGAGGGAATCGATCCATATGTACCGGAGACCGAGGCGCCTGGTTACTTCGAACGCGTCGAGTATGGTCCTGGGCAGGTTGGAATAGGGGAGCGTCGTTGAGTAATCCGCGAATGAGTCCGTGACGGTTTGGAAGGGCTGTGGACCACCCCAGCAGTAGCTGAGCGTGGCATAGCTTCCCGTCTCACCCCCCGTGGTGCGGAGACGCGCAGACTTGGGGGCGTCCGGCGGCGAGACTTCAACCAGTCTGGTGGGCAGCTCAACTGACTCGTTTTCAGGGCATCGCTTGTGTTTTGCAACGCACTCATTCAGCCATTGCCGCACGTTTTCGAGACGCTCCAGTGATCCGATATCTGCAAGCGATACTCGCGGGATGGGGAGCTTCGCAGCTGGATCCTCTGGCGTGTTTGTTAGCAAAGTGCTGTGCTGTCAAAAGTTGTAGCTGCTTACCACAAGTGGTCCACACGTACCATTTCAATTCTCGGTCATTCCACTGCTCCTGGCGACTCGGCACGAGACTCACCTGGCGGCTTTCTTCGTCATACTCGAAGTGGAAGTCAAGCTCTTCGTCTTCTGGAGGCCACCATGGAGGCCGCCGCCCACTGTTGAAGTACTCCTCAGTGAAGTCGACGGCCCCTTCTTCATCTTGTTCGCTTGGAACACAGCTTTCGTCGTTGCTGAGAATCCATTGACAGATCTCGCAACCGCCTCTGCAAGCCTTCTCGACATCTTTTCGCAGTTTTTGAAAGTAGAACGCGTCGGGGCCAAAGATGGCATGATCGCTCTCGTCTTCCGAGTTCGTGCCAAAAAGCCGTATCGGCCTTCCCTGGGACGTTTGTAGGTGGGGTTTCTCTTTGGGCGGCGGGTTGAAGAGCTGCTGACAGGCTGTGCAGAGAGTCAGGGGAGGAAATTGGTCAAGTGCGGGCATTTTGGTAGCAGGAGGAAATAATCCGAGTCCGATGATACATCTCCGGGTGGCAGTTGATTGCGGGCGGCAGATGAATATATTGAGATTGGCGACCACAACGGGAGTGTTATTACATTCAGGATCTCGGTGAGCACGAAAGCCAGCGAGCTGGGCTCAGCTGGCTACCCTAGAATCCGGGGGTTCGTAACCCGCACTTCTGTGCTATCCACCTGCACCTCAGACGCACTGGGCGATGCACCTGGGTGCTGGCTGGTCGCTTGGCGTCTGGAGTGAACATTTGGGTTCAATATATTGCGTTGATTCCAAAGATTGGGGTTCTCCGCTGTTGTCCTGTTTTTCAGTTGGATCGCAAAGGTGGGGGGTCGATGGCCTCAACCGATGATTCGCTTTTGGAACTATCGTTTCCAGCGGGCTGAAAAAGCCGCCCGACATATCCGCGAACTAGAATACCTCTTTACAACACCTCCGACATCGCCGTCTGCTTCTCACTACGTAGTCTTACCACATGGATGAAAGAAGGAAGGCGAGTAATTGATGGTGGAACTATAACAAGCGCATCATGATCTCTTATGAGCCGGTCAAGCGGCCGATTCCTGCCAAGTAAACCATCTTGGCGCATCTAGTCCCAATTCGGTGCGAGCTCATGGAGAGGTGAATGGGGGGACGGAGGAAGTGTCCTCCTGGCAAAAGATCTTTTATCCAAGCATGATCCCCTGTCTACAAAACTATGGCTATAGTCAACACAATTCGATGGGACGGTGTTCAACAAGCGGCTTCGAAAAGTGTAAACTTGAGATGTCACCTAGGTTTAAACAGGATCTCACTCGGAGACAGTCTCGGGGAATTAAAAGCCAAGAGCAGGTGGAGAAACGCAGAATCAATTAATGTCAATCAACACATCACAAAAATCATGTGAGAGACTCCATATCGTTGGCACGAGACATGCAATCCTTCCATTGTCTCGCCTCCCCTATACGCAAGGGGCAGAGGCGAGCCAACTATATATCTAAGCATGCGTGCATTGAAGCAGAGCAGATATCAGGCTTCCCACGGGCAGCGATATCTCTTGACCTTAAAAACGCAAGAAAGGCCCCTGCATTTCCCCCAACTTCCCATTCACGGTTCCAGTACCGGCAGCAATAATTCAAAAATTTCATCCCGTCGCGTCTAATCCAAAGAGTGTGTTTGCTCGTAACGAGCAAAAGAAGAAGAGAGGCCATGACATCGTAACGTTGAAAACTAAAAAGAAGAAACCAAAAAGTAAGCCCCGGAGGCTAATAAATCTTTAAATATAAACAGAAAAGAATGGAAAAGTCGAATTCGAAAGAAGTATTGTCACAAATGGTCGAGATACAGGTTGTCCGCTATTGCGCACTTCAAGAGCGGATGATGACGCCCTGGCGGCGGGTCGTCTTGGCCGCGTAGTCGTGGCAGTACTCGTCCTCGGAGGAGCAGTCCTCGGAGTCGTCGCTGGAGCCGCAGCGGGCGCCGCCGCAGTCGAGCTTGACGCGGTCGCCCGAGCGGGTGATGCCGTAGCGCTCGCACGTGCAGCAGCTGGAGGAGCTGCTGATGCTCGAGGGGGAGGAGCTGTTGGACGAGCGCGACGTCAGCGACGGCACGTCGGATTCGTCGTCCGAGTCGATGTACGAGTCGGAGTCGGAGTCGTCGGAGATGGACTGGTTGGCGAGGCGGCTCGTCAGGGCCTCGAGCGTCGCCTTGTCGTACTGCGTGTTGATGACCTGGCGAGTCTCGTGCGGGCGCTGGGGACGCGGAGCAGCGATCCTCGAGGGGGAGAGGGCACGCCCCTTGGGGATGGAGGAACTGCTGATGCGACGGGAATCGCGCTGCGACGAACGGGACGAGGTGGTCGTCGACGACTTCTTGGCGGGAATGTCGAGGATGTTGAGCTTGCGGCCCGTGGTCGGCTCGGTGGTGAATTCGCGGGCGGGGTCGTGCGAGACGTGGTAGCCGTCGATGATGTAGTAGTACCAGTATCGCTGGCCCTGCTTCAGAGTGGCGCCCTGGAACTTGAAGCATCCGACCCAGCCGCCGGCTTTCTTGGAATCCTTGGACAGCGGGAGTTGGCCCTGGTAGTTGTCCCAGGAGCCGAGCAAGTGCACCGTCTTGCAGTTGGCGGAAGTGCGGAGAGTGAAGTTGAGCTGGATAGCGGCCATTGTGGGGTTCTGTTCGATTTCCAAAAACTTCCGTTATATCAAAGAGGGGCTGATTTGTTTCTCTTTTCAGAGATGTCCGGCCAAACTAATGGATAGACTGAAGAAAGATTGCTGATGAAAGCGTGAGAGAGCGTGGAAAAGCGAGTTTGCGTTACTTTGCTAGTTGGTTTTTCGAAGAGTTTCGAATGATTGATGGTCGATTGAGCAAGAGAACTGAATTATGCTTGGTGTATGTGGACCGGCCACAAAGAAGTGAATTAGTGTAAATGGGGGTGGTAAGGTTGATGATGTTGGAATTAATGGCACCAGGCCTAGGGCGGAGACAGAAAGGAAGAAGGGAGAAAAAGATAGAGAGAAAAACACAATACAGCTCTGAAGACTTCACACGCTTGCTGAAGAAGAGAAGCAGAGGAGGGCGGCCAGCGGCCGTTTAAGTATTGCCTCGCACAAGGTGGGCATGCCCCCAAGGCTGGCTTACCGACTGGCATATTATTGGGTCAGCCTGCACGACGCAATGTCGGGAGAGTAGCTGGAGCCAGGCGCAGCTTGATTGCCTTGTGCAGCCCACATGCCACCTTTCGCAGAGAGCCAGGGAGGATGGGTGTGGTGAGGGGGGGTTGGTGCATCCAGTCTATCGAAAAGCTGCGAGCGCTTAGAGGTTGATGTCAGATTGGACGATGGGAGAGGCTGGTGTAGCCCAAGTTTCCTAAGCGCCCCGCTAGCTGGTCCATTGTGCTCTGTGAATGGTCCATGAAGGCGGGGGAATTCACGCGAATGCGCAGACCATGAGTGAAAACAGACGTCCAATCATGCTGTCCGCGCCGCATCCTCTGTTGATATCGCTGCCGACATGCATTGCGCGGCCATCACACTGCAGAAAACACCAAAAACAGGGCCTCAGCATGCCCGTCTGCCACTTCGAGGCATTTTAGGGCCGATATGCGAATGCCTTCTCCTTGCCCCATCGGGGATAATTTGCAGCAATTTGCATCTCGCCCAGTCCGAGCTGACATCTGCGTCCAGTGAGCGGGGAACGTCCTGGCTTCATCTGTGCACAAAAATACCCAAAGAGGGTCTCCGGCGGTTATTTTATATTGTGGCTTGCGAACTTGTACGACGGCCTGCTGACGATAGTTGATCAGTGTTGAAGGGAAGGAGAGATAGGCTTTGTGATGTGCAGAGAAGCTTGATAGCTTGCGCTGAAGAACGGACTCCCGCACATGGCAGCGGAGCAGACGGCGGTTGGAGTAGTTGTGTCATTCGAGCTGTTGGATGTGAGTGATGGTCTCGGGAACGTGTACTCCGTACCGCGTGGAGAGAGCAATGAGCCGACATCATGGGTCACAAGGCGAACACTGAATCTTCATGGAGTGGCCAGGCGGCTTACTGGTGCATAAAGGCCATCTTGCTGACTGGTCCTGGTGCCCGCATCGTACCGGCATCTTTCTTTTCAATTTGGCATGGCTTCTCCTCCAGAGCTTCTCCGTAGAGGCAGCAGTCGGAATCCCTCAGGCCCCAATGAGACGAGCCATCTGCGGCAAAGAAACGAACGATTGAAGGATTCCATATTTAAGCGCCACACCCTTGACATGCGTTGAATCGTTCATGCACTCCTTCGTAATGGACATTCCAACAACGAATTAGATTATACCGATACAAAGTCATTAGTATCATGCCCGCAGAATCAAGGCCTCCCGTATACCCGCACATTCGTCAAGACACACGACCTACTACTCAAAGCCTAGGAGATTCTGCAGCTCCTCGGGCGTCAGCGTGCTCTTCCTCCTCCTCGGGCGTCCCGATATTCGTGTCTTCGTTGGTGAGCCACGAGAACGGTGCTTGCGCTCACCCGCTTCTTCCCCACCATTTCGGCCTGCTGCCGAATCTGCGGATTTCAGTTCTTCCGCAGCGGCAGCTGCTTCCGCCTCGGCAGCTTTGAGCTTGTCATTCACTGTGAGTTTGGGGGACCGTTCGTCAGGGTGAGCATGTGGGCTCGAGAGTCGTTTCCTAGCCTGCGAGTCGTCAACAAACGGGCCTGTAGAACTTCGAGGAGAGGATGAAGGAAAAGTGACTTTGCTCGCCAGCTTCTGAAGCTGGTTCGCGGTATTGTGGCAACGTACATGGCGGGGGATTCGCGATTCCTGGCTTGCAGGCCGGGACGTTCGCTCATCCAAGGGTGAGGATGTAGCTGAAGGTGCCATATGCGTGCGTTTTATCGAACCGACACGGTCTTCTTTCGAAGGTATCTCTTTGGCGTTCTCGTTCCCGGCCTCTGATGGTGTGTTGGGAATCGACGCGGAGAAAGCAACCTTTCTCGGTGATTTCAAATGCGACTTGTTGATATTCGCTTCTTTAAGCACCGGCCGGTCATGTTGCAGCTTCAAAGTGAACATATCCGTGCGAGGATTTTTCGCCGGCACTTGGTTCGCCTCGGCTGGGAGGGGCTCTTCCACCTCCACCTCTTCATCAATATCCTCGTCCAACTCAGAGCTGGCCTCGTCGTCATCATCTTCGGAAATCACGGACACTTCCGCGTCAGTCACCGTTCCCAGGTCAGCACCAAGTCCTAGGCCCAGCTTCAACTCCTCCAGGTCTATGGTGTTCCCGCCGGCCATTTTCCTTCGCCAGCCGTCCATGAGTGCGAGTGTGTCCCTCCACCTCGACTCCATCCGATCCCACCCTGCCCTCAACTTCGCTATCTCTTCCTCTCTCGTCTCTACCTCCTCAACAGAAACGAAGTTCGGGTTTGTAAGAAGCGTTTTGAGCTTTTCCAGGACAGTGTCCATATCAGCAGCCAGACTCTCGTAGCTTGTGGGTAGTCCATGCATCATATTCTGTCTGACCGTTTCCTCCTCCTCTCCAACGGTGGAAAGATCCCCGTTTTCGTCTCGTCTTGGCCCAATGGGCAACCCCTGAAGCTCTTTCAGTGTCACAAGTGTGCTTCTCACTAGACCGATGAGGTTGTCATTCTCGTCGCTCAAGCTTTGACTTAGCTTTGTCAAGAATTCGGTCGTGTCCTGACTCAGATTGTATTCGGGGTCGTCCACATCCAAAGCATCGTCCCGAGAGGTGCCCATCCCGTTCATGGTCATAGTTCCCGGATTGATTGTGATGCTAGCTCCTACAAGACCACTTCTGTTCCCGCGCTGCTGGCCCGTCAAATGATTTTTCAGCCTTTGTATCTGAATGTCGCGCTTCCGTATGTCATTCGCGCAGCTCGTGCGCACTTGCTGGACAGTTGTCTTCAGCCGGAGCATTTCTTCGCGCAAGCTTCGCGCGGATGATTCGGCGGTTCGTAGAGCAGCGCGGGCAGATCGTTCTTGGGATTGGGCGAGGGAGAGCTGGCGCGCAAGGTCTTCATTGCGAGTTTGGAGCTTCTCGAGAGCGGACGTCTGGCGGGTGCTTTCGCTGCGAAGGGCGCGGAGGGTACTCGCTAGGGATTCGCGGTGTGCTTGGTCGCGCTGGCACGGTATTCATCAGTTCTACGTTGTCTAGTCCGTTCAAGTGCTTGCAACACACATCTCGTTTCAGTATCAGGTCGTGCACCAAGTTGATGATGTGCGCCATTGTTGCCTCCTTTCCGCCCTCTCCGCGCGATGGATGCGCAAATTCGATCGGCTTGCCATCGCGCAGTAGTCCCCGTGCAAGCAATAAGTTGTTGATATACGTTGAGGCCGTCTTCAGATTGAGCGGTTCCATTTTTTGCTCCATTTTTGCGAGCGACAGAGGTGTAGTCGGCTTCCAAGCTTGTTTGCGCGGTGTAAACAATCATACGTCGAGGTTGCACCCAATCGGACTGCTGGACAACCGACGCTAGCCAGGAACAGTTAGTCTTTGGTGTTATCGATATCACCACCAGAATGCGTACACCACCATCGATGGAATATATATCTTCAATTCATGAAATTTGCATGTGTCTTTGCGGCTAGGTTAAGCCGAAACCATGTCCTTGTCAACATACAACCACTTCTGCCGACCTCCAACCCACTATTCCAAATACTGTGAGATACTTTTCTGCACTATATAGTTCCCAATTAATTGCCCTTCAACATCGAACGTTAAGCCCTCATGGCGCGGTGACTCTGTGGTTGGGCGTGCCACCTTGTAGCGTAGTGAGTTGTGAGGGTTCGAATCGCCCAGTGGACAAAAAAAGAGATGGTGGTGCCTTTCTTCTCACCGTGATGAGGTTTTTTGGTTATTTCGTTTGCTCCTCCCTCCGGAGGCCACGTGACTTCTGCTACACATGCGGGTTCCAAGGTTTTTTTTTGGGCGCCTGCGTGCCCAGGTGGCCTGATGTGCTAAAATCCACGTGCACATAGGCTCCGTAGCCAAATAAGGCTTGTAGTATTCCTTCTGGACTTGTTCCTAATAAAACGAATCCTGCTGGACGCTTCTTATGCAGTAGAGGCCGCAACACACCGATACCAGTCACTCCACAGTACAATTCAGTTCTTCACAAACTTGAACGACCGCCGGTTGTTGCGGATCGTGAAACACCTGGAGCAAAAGGCATTCCTCCACGCTCTCTGGGGCGACGGTGAGTTTGACGTGCACCGATAGACCGGTTTCGGTTGATGCCATAGTAGTTTGAAAGGCGAGAAGGCGACAGTATAGTTGACCATAGATGGGAATATGACTATCTACGGTGTGAGGAGAAGGCAAAAGTAGTCACGGTATTTATATATAAGAGATGGGCGCCTGCTCAGTTGCGGGTAGCGGGCATGCCGAACCCATGAAGCTTTGCCGCAGTTGATATGATCCTCACTGCCAGCTGGGCCAGGGCAGGGCGTTCAACTTGGACGCACAAGTCGCATGACGAAGATTAGGTGACTGGCTCGCTCTGGTCCTTAACAGCTTGTAGCCGCGGATCGGGCTTCGGCATTAACGGTTTACACCACCAATACGGGGAGCCAGCCTTACCAACCATATGACAACAGGGGTATAGTGATCACGAGCCCATAGTTGTAGGTGAACTACCTAGCCCCTTAGCACGGCCGATTTCCACAAGCCGTCGGATCCCTGCACAGGCGTCTGGCTAGAATGGTAACGTACCCAACAAGCCAAACTAACGACCATAGGACGCATCTTTTGAGAGGACATCAGCTCAGCTGATCCAAATGCTGACGTCTGTAGTCTGCCATGCAGGAAAAAGCGGCGATGCGACTACGCCGTACAACGTAGACGTTACAGACCCCTTCTATCGCTTCCTTGAGAGAGTTGCAACGACCACGGCTCGCACATGCTGTGAATGATCGCAGCAGGATAGAAGCTCGTTTCGCAGGGCCGCAGACTTGTAGCAGGAAGGGAGAAGGCGCATTGGCTATTTCCACAATGTAATGAAATTTCCAGGGAAAGACACAGGAGACTTATATACAGCATGTTCAGGTGCTCAATGCCTCCAGTACACTGGCTCGCCCTCTGCCCTAGCCTGTTGTTGTTAGAGACGACGCATCCATTGGGCGGAATACTTACCCTCACTGCTCGTGGGCCGCCCAATTCTTCTTCCAGGCCACCCTCATATGCCTTTGGAACGGTGATCTTGTCCGGGTACCACAACTTGACGATGCCACACAGCCCTAGAACGCTAACAACGAAAGTCCCCAACAATACACCACCCCAGCCCGGCGTGAAGTGATCATAGTCATGCAGCGCCAGAGCTCCAAGAATATCGTTATCCTCGTGAACGGGCTCGCCGTAGTTCCTCCGCTCCTGTTTGTCCCACCAGTCGCCATAAGGGTCGCGGTTCCCCCGCTTCTCAATGGGAGGATTAAGATAGCCGCCATTCTGCACCTGTCAGCGCAACGACTCCATTGAGAAACCAATGTCACACACCATATATGGGTCATCAATGCTTTTGGGATCCACAAGCTCCTGCACCTCGGACACTTTCGGAGTATTGGGGGAGTATGGGGTGTGCACGATCGATCGACGGGGTGCAGCCACGGCTGGTGCAAGGACGCGGGCGAGCGGGCGGCCCGCTATGAAGCGCCGTGAGAGCATGCTAAGACAATGTCAAAACTTGGGCGTGAGGAATTGGCATGGCACCTACGCTGCGACGCGACTGCGGGTAGTTTCGATATGTGCTTGCTGCGAGTGAGGTTGATGTCCGTGATGCAAGCGCGAGCTCGAATGACTAAGCAGTTCACCAAGATGCCAAGCCATCTCACCTTCCAAGGTTTCCTGGTTGTGACAGCCTGGAGATACAGATGCACTGGATTCAGAGATGAGACGGTGCATACCCTTGCTTATCTCTCCATTGACGGCTCAACCAGCCTCTATAAAAACTATCCAGCTAACATTCAACGACGTACAAAGTATGGTAATGGAATGGAAAGCTGAGGTTCAATTGTGGAGGAGGGGCTAGCGCGCCTTGGCATGTCCCGCTAAACCAACCACGACTTGGGGCGCGTTGCGTTTTCGCCCAGGGAGATCACCGACATCCCAAAATCTAGAAAATCAACCATAACAATCCACCACGACCCGTAAACCCGAATCTGAACACGTCACAGCCACGGGTGGTGCTTGCGCTATACATTGATACCGCATTTGGACCGATAGGGCTTCATTCCAGCGCGCTGCAGGTGGTCCCCCTCACTTAGGCACCCTCAAGTTGACGCTGCAAGTCTCTGGCAACGCTGCAGCACTGCTTGCAGAGTTCCATTAGGGCGGACTGGCGTGAATCAGGGGCCTGTACGGTGTGGGCTGCTGGTATGTGAATGGATATGGGAGCAGATGTTGAGATCGTCACCCGCGACGATGTTCAAGCAGTTCCGCCTTCCGACGCCGACGTTTCCGCCAACCAGGCCGCCACCGCGCCCAACGGCACCCCTTACGATACCGCCAACGACGATATAACCACGGTCAAGCTCGAGCCGAACGATGGAACACCCGCCCGCAATGGCGACGAGGTTATCGCCAACCAGCGACCTGCGAAGCGGCGGAGGCTCGATGACACAGCACCGCGCAGGTCCGCGTCACGCGCCGCGTCGCCGCCTTGGAAGTCTTTCCTCGCAGAAGGTCCAACCACTATCATAACGGACGACGGTATTAGGAAGTCGGGCAGAGTGAACAGTCAAGCTCCTCCGCCATCAACACCAACGCCTGCGAGACGAAACGCGCATAATGCCGGCAAGTCGACTCAAACAAATGGGGCGGCAAAGAACAGTGCCAGGCAACAGAAATCGAAAGCCGCATCCGGCGCAGGAAATATGGTGAAAACTCGGCCTACAGGAGGAAACGTGAGGAAGCTGCCAGCGACCCAGAGCTCGCCTCCTACGAGGAAGTCCGAACGCCAGAGAAGGCCATCCGCAGCGGCTGCCGCAGGTCTTGCATCTCCAAGAATTCCCCTTACGCCGGAAACTACACGAAATCGCCCTGGAAGGCCCCGAAAGCAACCGCAGCCGTTCGGTTCTGCTGCCACTGATGACGTTCATAGCACGCCTAAGCAGTCCTTCGATCCAACCTCTGATGGTTCGGCGCCTCGCCTCAGAATTCGCTTTCGCAAGCCCGATCCACCAAGCCGGCATCCCCACCATGCCCCCGCCCTAGCCAAGTTTGCGTCATTCGATGATTGGCTGCGGAATGATGATCCGCTTGAAGGGGAGGAGTCGCAAAGGATAACGCACGATAAAGCGGAGGAGGAGGCTCGGCGCCGCTTGAGGATTGTAGACGCTGCAGAAAGAGGTGTCCTCAGTCAGGCACAGTGCAGCATCTACCTTCCTGAGCCGGCTGAGGAACCGCCTCCTCACTACGGTCATTGGGATCACGTCGTTTCACACGCTCTGAAGTTCAATAAGCTATTGAGAGAGGAGCAGATGAGACATCGGAAGAACGCTAAGCTACTGGCTCGAGAGGCCTTCGACTATTGGAAGGAGAAGTACAAGACCAAGTCTCGAGAAGAGATTGAGCAGGAAGAGAGGGACCGTGTAGTGCTTCGGTACAAGCAACTGGTCAAAGACCTCAAGGATGCCTGGGCAAATGTCCGACTCGAAGTGGATAAAGAGCGTTTTGCTAGGTGGGAGGAGGAACAAGTTCGCCTCGGCCATAAAGCCATGGACCACATGTTCGATAAGGCGCGAGAGGTTCTCGGGAGAGGCATAGTTGACTCAGCATCATCTATGGTCAGCGAGGATCAAGATTCGGAATCCGAAGACGACTCTGTGGTCTACGCCTCCGACAATTCCGACGAGTCGAACGATGAAAACATGTCCTCAACCGCCGAAAGCGACTCCGATCAGGGTTCCGCTGACGAGGACGCAAACCTCACCACTGAACAGCTCCGCGAAAAGTATGGTCAACTTCCTGATATTTCCCATGCCAGTTCCGACGAGGATGACGAGTCTGAGGCTGAGAGCGCGGAGGACGACGGTGCAGAGCGTACACCTGAACCTACCCCAGATCCCGACATAGCAATGGAAGACAGCGGCGATGCGCCCAATGGTGCACACACTAATGGCTTTCACGTTGCTGAGGATGAAAAGCCTGACGGCATAGATCCCGCAACTGTCGAACTCGAAGAGGTCGACGATATTTTGTTGGATTCTGATGAAGGCGAAAGCATCAAGTCCGAATCAGGAAGTGAAGAGTGGTCCAGTGATGCGGAGACAGACGAAGAAGAACGGTCAAATTCTGGCTCTGAAGATGGCGATGACCTTGGTGTTATGGGTTTTCTAACCTCCAGCGAGATCAAGAAGTTGAAGGAAGCTGAAGCAGCAAAAGTCAGAGCTGATGAAGACAATGTCATGACCGAAGCATCACCCGTCGTTGAAGCGAACCCCAGTACGCCCCTGGAGGAGCATTCCTTGGATATGAAAGTCGACGATTCTGCCAATCTGGATGAGCCACCTGATGCAGAGCACACCGTCCACCATACTTCAACAATGTCTAAGCACTTGATAGAGGAGACGGAGCCACAGGCCCCTGAGAAGCTTGCACCAGATAAGACTGTATCACGCAGCAGATCACGTCATACGTCCTCCCCACCTCGGACGGAGATACCTTCGCTCCTTCGTGGGACGCTTCGGGAGTACCAGCACGATGGACTTGATTGGCTAGTCAATCGCTACGATTCAGACTCAAATGGAGCAATTCTGGCCGACGAGATGGGTCTTGGAAAAACAATTCAGACCATAGCTCTTCTTGCATATATTGCTGTCAATCGCGGAAAATGGGGTCCACATCTTGTGGTCGTACCAACCAGCGTCATGCTCAATTGGGAAATGGAATTCAAGAAGTGGTGTCCTGGCTTCAAAATCCTAACATACTACGGAGACGTCAACGAACGGAAGAGGAAACGAATCGGTTGGCGTAACGCTGGGCGAGACATGTATAACGTCGTAATCACGTCCTATCAACTCGTCCTCCAAGACGCTGCGGCATTCAAACAGCGCAGTTGGCAGTACCTGATCTTAGACGAAGCACACAACATCAAGAACTTCAAATCCCAGCGTTGGCAGACCATGCTGACCCTCAGGACTGAACGCAGGCTGCTTCTGACCGGAACTCCGCTGCAGAATAATGTCGACGAGCTTTGGTCTTTACTGTACTTTACCATGCCCGGAGACGGTCGTATTGCCGGTTTCGAGGAATTCATGATGGCTTTGAAGAACCCGACGACCCAGATCCTGGAACAAGGCCGGCAACAGCTTGACGAACAGGGCCAGAAGTTGGTCAAGAAGATGCATGAGGTCCTGCGGCCCTACCTGTTGCGACGGTTGAAAGCGGATGTTGAGAAACAGATGCCCGCGAAATACGAGCATGTTGTGTATTGCAAACTCTCGAAGCGCCAGCGCCAACTTTATGATGGCTTCATGGGCCGGGCATCTACCAAGCAAATCCTTGCGTCCGGCAACTATATGTCTATCATCAATTGCCTCATGTCTCTCCGGAAAGTCTGCAATCATCCGGATCTTTTTGAGACAAGATCTATCGTAACTTCCATGGCGATGCGACAGTCTGTACCAGGAGCATATACGATCAAGGACTTGCTCGTACGGAAACGATTACAGGAGAGGATGGACGAGGAGGTCAATCTGGATGCTCTCAACCTTGTGTTTGCGCATCGAGAGCGTACTTCTATGCTCCATGCGCGTCGTGCGCAGCAGATTAGGGCGACACGTCCTCTGCAAGACCTCGTCGAGCGGCAAACTCGTCGTTTGAACACACCAGTCGCGCCTTCAAGTTCGGTCATGGAAAGAGCACTCTCGGCTTTTGAGAGACGGACAAACATAGCTGTGAAGGACCATCTTGAATCGTGCTTGCGGCTCACTCAATCTCGCACCCAGCTCCTACCAATATACGGCAAGGGTCTCATTGACCTGATCACCGAAGATTATCAAGACTTCAGGTTTGGGGCTTACGAGCATGGCTACACTGTTAGAACGATCGAGACCACCCAATCTAAAGGCCAGGGCCTTCAGACCGTATCTTCCATGATCCAGCAGGTGATCACTCAGCCGCGCAAGAAGCTGCGATATGGGTTCCGTGCACCCCGAAGCCCCAGTCAAGCAGGGCAATGGAACTTCAACCAGATCTCGCTATTCAAGTCTCTGATACCAACTTTGGAGGAACGAGCCGAATCCCTTGAGCAAACGATCGCCCAGTTCACTTGCGTAACTCCCGCCGTTTACGCCGAGGACGTTGTCAGATTCACAGTCTCCGAGCCTATCATCGACCTAGTAAGATCGTCGCCCATTGTACGAACCAGTGACCCTTTCCATGAACCGCGAATCCGTCAGTCAATCGCGTTCCCAGACAAGCGCCTTCTGCAGTACGATTGTGGCAAGCTCCAGCGTCTGGCTGTGTTGCTTCGGACATTGCAGGCCGGCGGGCATCGCGCCCTGATATTTACCCAGATGACCAAGGTCCTCGATATCTTGGAGCAGTTCTTGAACATCCACGGGCATCGATACTTGCGTCTTGACGGAGCCACCAAGGTCGAGCAGCGCCAGATCTTGACGGACCGTTTCAACAATGACCCTCGCATTTTCTGCTTCATCCTTTCTTCCCGCTCCGGTGGTCTGGGGATCAACCTCACAGGCGCCGACACCGTCATCTTCTACGACTTGGACTGGAACCCAGCTATGGACAAGCAATGTCAAGACCGCAGCCACCGCATCGGCCAAACCCGCGAAGTCCACATCTACAAATTCGTCAGCGAATACACGATTGAAGCCAACATCCTCCGCAAGTCCAACCAGAAGCGGCTTCTCGACGACGTCATCATCCAGAAGGGAGACTTCACAACGGACTACTTCAACAAGGTGAGCTGGCGCGATGCGCTCGAGGGCGAGGAGCCCGTCGACGAGGCCGGGGCTGCCATGGACCGAGTCCTGGGCGAGAAGGTGGGGCTGCTGGGAGATGCAAAGGTCATGCGTAGCGTGGAAGACACCGAGGATCAGAATGCAGCGAATGTTGCGCAAAAGGAGATTGTGGACGAGATCCATGATGACCAAGTCGATTTCAACGAGTCGTCGTCGGCTCCTACGCCGGCGAATCTCGCAACGAGGAATCCGTCTGAAGCGGTTGGTGATGTCGGTGCTGAGAAGCCTAGGGAAGATGATGGCGAGCGCAGGCATGTGGATGAGTATATGTTGGATTGGTTCCGCGAGGAGTATGGCAAGGAGCCGTATAAACCGCCGACGGATCGGCAGAGGAGGAGGAATAAGAAAGGGCAGGATCCGCATAGGACGAGGAAGAAGAAGGTGTATTAGGTGGTGGAGGTGTGGGAGGTGGCTTGGGTTCGGGTACCCCCGGAGTAAGAGGGGTTTTTTTTTTGCTGTCTGCGAAAAAGCAGTGTGTATTTGTAGCTGTGTGTTCAAGATGGTGATTCCAGCGTCTAAGAGGCATGAGAGGTGGTGTATCAGTAGTGGAAGTCATGGATAGCATTTGTGGCGTTGAAGGTTGGAGGGACTTTTGGAGGCGCCACGCGGTGGGATGGCGCTGATATGCAGGTATACAATGATGATAGAAAAGCTATTGCACATCTTGTGAATAGAGTAATGCGTTTCGTCTCACTTGTGATCTCTCTGCTTCCGGGTTTAGAAGTCATCTCAGGGAGTGTTCACCGGAGCACGAGTTCTCCTGCTCGACAGGTATATCAAGTCTCGTACTCACCGGGACTTTGGATAGCCAGAGTCTGTCTCTTGTCTGCGGTGATGCGGTACCAAACATGTTCAAAGACTTTAACGTTTACCGTACTACATGTAGCATGTACGAGGAATCGCTTTCCCTGGCGAGGCCTGCCCAAAAAGTTGTCCGTTAGGGTACCATCTGGGAGGAAGCATGGATGCGTTTACTATCATTAAGTATAAGTATAGAAACTTCCATTTTTCCAGTGTCCGTGATGTCCATGGGGTAAGCTAGGTAGTGTAAACTTTGAACTCGTTACGGACCTGAGACGTTGGACGCATATCAAAGGTCTATGCGGATGGAAGATGGGGGAGTGTTGCGCCCTGTGATAAGCAGGGTGAACCACAGTTTGTTGTGGCTTCTTCAGACGTGTACGAGGATATGGAGAAGGGTAGTCTACAGCCTCTCTTCACATCCGACTGAACACCCCCCTGCACTTCCTCAGTACTACTGTTTCCCACATCTAATTTAAACAGCTAGCAGGCGCAGCAATATAGGACGTCCTGTAATTAGCTTTGTAGCAAGCCTCTATATATAGTAGTATGTTTAAAATAAATCTACCTGTCGCATTATTAAGTTGTAGCCAGTTAACTTGTGCTAGGTAGGTAATTCCACCTACAGAGGAATTGCAGCCGGATGTTCAGTTGGACGTGGAAAGCCGCAGTACAACGAGCGTGAGGTATATCCATTAATGGTTCACGTTCCTAGTATGGCACGGAAAAGGAAGTAAGTGCAGTACGGCAGTTAGCAGTACATGTACAGCTAGGTGAGTGAATCACGAAAACGGGTTTACACAATGCAGATAAGGAAAGCAGTGGGATTGTAGCATTGTTATGGTTATTCGTGGATGGTACCCTACGGTGACTTATGTAACTGGCTGCTACTGACGAGTCCCCTTCCCTCTATGTAATTTCACGCTTGCGCTTAGGAGCTTCGTGAACCTTCAGATATCCAGTGAAATCAAGACCAGATCGATCGTTCCTTGGAATCTATTCGCATAGATGCCTAGTTCTTGGTTGCCGATGTGTCTGCAGCAGCCTGGCCGTGGTCGTGATATTCACATGCCTCCTTTGCAATCGTCTCGAGGTACTTTGCTCTTCCGACCTTGCTGAGGCACTTCCCTAGAGCATAAGTCCCGTCCTCGTAGTTCATGATCATAACGTCCATTAAGAACATTCTAGGAAAGTTCTGCTCGGCATTGCGTACGTTTCTTGTCCAACGATATGTCTCAGCTCCAAATTTGACCAATAACCTCCGGAGACCGCAGTTTTCTGGAGTGTTGTCGTAGACGTAGTTCAACACGCCGTGGCAAAAGACCCATTCTGATAAAGACTTTTGAACCAGAAGGTCAACGGAAGCATTGCAGAGATGCGGAATTCCACGAGCGTCCCCAAAAACGTAGACCTTGGCGATAAGATAAGCACTAAGGGGTACTTTCCCTTCCGGAGTCAGCTGAGAGTAGAGTGTTCCATAGTACAGCCAATGATGGAAGGCTCTAAAGACATCCGGATCATCGTCTGGCAGATTGACTGTTTTCTGTGTGCTTTCTTTCCAATCTCCTCCAAGGGCGGCGCGGAAATACGAGGAGTGGTACGTCAGGAGGTTTCGGAAGACGGTGAATCGACGCTCGTTGTCTCCCTTTCCCACTACTACGAGGAATAGCTGATCGCCAAAATCATCGCTGAACGAGTATCAGATCAACGAGTATCAGATCAACGGAGAACAGAGTTGTAACAGAGGAACTTACGGCGACAACCGTGGTTTGGCGTGCGGACACTTGGGGATCTCGACGAGTGCCTCCGCCTTCATCTCCTCCTTCCCGTTGGGAGTGGCCATGGTTTCAAGTCACCGTAGTTATTATACGGTAACGGTTCGAATTGTATAGACGAGGATTGCTCTGGAGAGGTAGGCGAAGGTAGGCGAAGGTACGCGAGCTCGATGTGAGGAAGATGATCAAAGATAAGGAGCGGATGAGGTGCGAAGAGAAGTTGATCGAAGATGAAGGAGGGAAAAGTGTTGATGAGAGCTTGTACCGTGATGAAGGTGAAGTTGCCAACAAATATCTGCCAAGGAGTAGAGTTTTTTTCACCGCCCAGGATTAGAGATCCTTTCACCGCCCAAGGTGAAGGTGAACTGCAACTCCAGTTGCAACGGCCTGACATATGTGCAGCAAGATGCCCTGGTGGCCAGCTCAATGAGCAGGAACAACCCTCTAAGGTCGTGTCCCGGTCGAGCACAGTCGATTGTGCATGACTGACGTCCCCCTTTTCCAGACGATGTGACTTTGTCAGGCAAGTTCAGTGGGAGCGTCTTCCAGATAAAATTCACAGCAGAATATCGGAGATTGGAATGCCCGGACATCGCAAAGAACGAAAATCTTCGCGATAAGTATTGTTTCCAACGGGATTTCACGTCAGTGTCCCAATTCGGGAGGAGTACAGAGTGGCATAGAGCCGATGGGAGGAGAGTAAAAGACCTTCGAGTCGTATGGTTAGGTAGCTTGATGCTTCGGATGGATCCTTTATCCCCGTTGTTCGTAATAGCGGCGCGGAAGTATGACGAGTAGTATGTGAGGAGTCCTATGTAAATGTGGAATTCGCGCGATGCCTTCCCGGTTCCGACTCCGGTCTTGACTACTGGACCGTAATCGTTCCAGGGCTTTTAGCGGAGTCACACTGACTGACGATGCACTACCCTGCAATCGATCTGCAGGTGAGATGATCTAATCATCAAAACATGAGTGGCTACTACCTGTTAATTCTAGAAGTAGAGTTTCGTTCCAGAGCTTATCATATATGTATAGAGACGCTACAGAAGTAGTTACAAGGTCTGATGTATAGCTGCATCTTGTGACTGTTTAACTGGACAGCAAAGACAGCAGAACAGAGGAAACGCAGGTGGGTGTTCAGTCGAACATGAAAAGCGCGGTGGTCATGGTTCCAGAGGTTACCGGTGATGAAACGGCAAGACAATGGATATCAAATTATCATTCTAGAGCACATGAGTGGTTTTACGGCTGAGTCACAAAGTTCGGGAGGCTCTATGCCGACCTGCTGCCACCAGGGGCGCTAGGACTCCTTATCATTGTGGCATTACTCCGATGGAGAAAGCACAATTTTCAATGCTATTCCGCCCTAGGTTGATCATATAGTTCATCAGCAATTGCGATGTTAGGCTCAGGGTCAGCACCTAGACGTTGAATGACCTACCTACATAGTAAAATTCGTGACTGCAAGTGGAAGAGATTTGGCTCGGAATGGGCCTGTAACCGAGACGACACTTTGACCGGCGCTCTTCTTCGCACTGAAAACTGGCGTGCCTGGTCCTGTGACGTATGTCTGCCATTGCGTATTTCTCCGGTTGAGTAAGGTCAATACGCGCCTGGCCGTCCAGCATTGATTCTAGTGTAGTTCAATTATACAAGGTTAAGCGGTTATGATGATGGTTTGAAAAGCAGGTTAATGCCATTTCATTGTATCGTGTGCCTCCACCTAGCTAAATTCATCTCTGTGGCAGAGTGAAGTGGATTCCATCCCTATGTGAAAATATCTGAAATGACCTGGACCTTGAGGGATTTGGAATCCAATTTTTGCCCTGAGCAGTGTGAATTCTCGCATAACCCCAGTAAGAGGCCGAATTCATGCAAGAGAAATCCAGTAGGAAAGCTTCCACCGGAGCAAACCCAAGGCCGTGAACAAGCCGCACCTTCGTTCGTCATCGGCCTAACCGACCATAGCTAGGAGCCAGCCGCTGGCCCTTTTCCCAAGTATAGCAAACTCGTCACAAGCGTGATCCCGTAACCTCCTGCGTAGTGGACGGCTTCTGGACGCTCTGTCGGTGTTGTAATTCCTTCGTCGGGTGTGTATGGTCATGAAATTCGCAAAGTCTCGTTTCCTTTGAAAAGGCTCCGCGTCCCATACCTCCCGGCGCCGACTTCGTGCCATATAGTTTGAGGATGACATCCGCGAGAAAGTCCTGAGGATACTTTTGGCGGTCACTATCAAGGTTTTCCCATTTGAAGGTCTTTGCAGCATCATAGACAATGAACTTCCTCAAGTTTGACTGGGAAGTCGTGTTGTCGTAGATGTACTGCAGCTGCGGCGTTGGGAATGTCCATTCCTGGCAGATGGTCTGCCACAGTGCATCAATGCAAGCATTGCAGAGCTGTGGGATGATGCGGGCATCTGCAAAGACGTACGTCTCGCAAATGAGCTGATACCCGAGCGGAATTTTTCCGTTGGGACCAAGGGCACCGTAGAGGCAGCCAGTGTCGACCCAGTGGAAGAAAACTTTAAATGCCTCTGGGTTGTCGTCTGGCAGTTTGATGGCATTTTCTTTTCCTTCCTTCCAGTTTTGGCTGAGGGTCGCTTTGAAATAGGAGGAGTAATACGTAAGGAGTCCCCTGTGGATATGGAATTGCATTTCGGCTTTTCCGACTGTCACGGAAACGATTGGTCCATAGTTGTTTCTACTTGGTCAGCATATTCATGTGATTTCTTGAGTAAACGTACGGTGAAAAGCGCGCTTTGACATATGGACATTTGGGAATCGGAACCAGTGGTCCCGCCGCTTGGTTCTTATCCTGTCCGGAGGGAGGATACATTTCCCCAGATCTTCACGCTAGTCGTCTGGCTTTATCCAGTAAGGCGTCGCAGATGCGAGGAAGGAGGAAGAAAGAAAGGTATTGACGGATTGTTCGGCGGGACGATGAAGGGATTCCGTCGCCCTTCTGGTTTGAGAGCCGTGTTACGCAGTGAGATCTTTCTCCACTGAAAGGAACGGTTGACTTGATAGGAGGAGAGTGTCAGGTGCGGGGTGTAGGAGGGAAGATACCTCCGGATAAGTTATATAAGAAATCAGGTGAGGTGAAACTTTGCCATCGGCTAACTCATTTGGGGTGAGAGATCTCACCGACAATCAAGGTGGCTTCTTTTACCTGGGTGGATCGGAAATTATGTCATCTCACCGCTATGCGATACACAGTGCAAACTCAGTGGAAGACAGAGAGTGTAGGGGTTTTTGATTGCATCAATGGTGTTAAGCGACACTGTTCATTGTCATCGTGTACTGCAGCCGAGTTGTTGGAAATACAGTCTCCTTTGCGTAACTCAATAAAGCAAAGAAAGCATAGCAGTGGAAACTCATAGCATGATGTAACATGGGCTCTGCAATTGTGCGGTCCAATCTTGATGAGCCCTGTCTCCCCACCTTCTTGATACCTCAGGCAGAGTCGATGCCATTCCCAATAAACAAGCTCTCCCATGTTTCAACCACCTCCATCGTCGGATGTGAACAGTATGGAAGACGTCTTGCAATAGAACGGGCTGATGGAAACAATCCATGGGCAACCTGATGGTGTCTCGCACTCCAAACAGTCACAGGACGATCCCGCAAGCATTATTCTTCTGACTCTGTGCTTCACATGTGTTAGCTAACCTTATGAATCAAGCAGTAAATAACCAACTTACACTGAGGCGGAGCGAGATCTCTCGGTATCGGCCGACGTGTCTGGGTGCTCGTGATACTCGCACAACTTTTTTCTGAGATTTTCGATGTGTTCCTCATCTGTGGGCCTACGTTCAAAACTTGGGATAACGAGAGTCCCCTGGGACACTCGTGCGAGGATGTCAGCGAAGAATTCTGCGGGTGGGTATTTCTCTCCTTCTTCCATGGATTCTGCCCAGTCAATACACACAGAGTCGTCCTGGATGAATTTCCTTAAACCGGAGGCAGATCTAGTGTTTCTGTAGATGTACCCAATGTCTTCAGCGGGGAAAATCCAGTCAGAAGCAGTCTTCTGAAACAAGAGGTCGATGGCGGCATTTCCCAGCTCCGGGATCCCTCGCGCGTCAGAGAAGACATATAATTTGCAGATCAGCCTGGAGGAAAGAGAAGTTCCTTCACGTTCAAGACGCTCCGTGAACAGCCAATGGAAGAAGGCTTCGAACACCTTCGCGCTGTCCTCAGGGAGCTCGATGATATTGGAGTTGGCTTCTTTCCACGCTGGACTGAGCGCAGCCCGAAAGTACGAAGACCAATATGTCAATAATCCTTCGTAGACCTGGAAAGAGCGTTGTCGCTTTCCTTTCCCTACAACAACGGTTATCATTTGGCCGTAAGTCTTTCTGCGTCTGGGTTAACGAGATGTGTGATCTTTCCCAAGGCATATCTACTTACGGCGACGGCCGCTTCCTAGCGTGAGGACACTTCGGAACGGTGAGGTCAATCTCCTGGTCAGACTCGTCGTCCGTATAGGTGGACTCGTCGTCCGTATAGGTGGACTCGTCGTCCGTATAGGCGGACATTGTACGCGGATAGGGTTCGTCAGAGCGAAAAGATCAAGCAGCCGGATGCTGGTAGTGCTTGTGTGTTTTGCAGAACAGACGGTGTGTAAGACGGAGGAAGGCGCTTTGAAAAGTCTTCGGCGCCGGTGAAGGGAAGGTGCCCTTATCGGATTGACGGGTGAAGTCTCTCGCTCACCGCCAAAAAGTAGACCGGTGAATGTGAACGTGGAACTCGGTCTAACTTTATCACAATGTGCGTGAGCTTGCGGTGATTGCGTTGATTGCGGTGAAGGCAGAGGTAAGATACCCTCGTTGACTGAATATCCCCACCACCCCCCCTTCCTTCCCAAAAGAAAAGAAAGGGCACGGGTTGCTCAGGTATCCCAATTCAAGCAAGAACGATTGGCCTTGGCTAACCGCGAAGTAAGGAAAACCCACAAAATTGTAATCATCAAGCATGCGCGTCATTGAGCAGCACATTTGATACCGCTACCCTATTGGCTACCCTCTTCACTGACCATATCCGGATCCACGCCTTCTTCAAGATATGTGTCTGACCGTGCTTGCTGTGGTCTAAGCGAACTACGATGTCCATGAAATACCTGCTCCAGCCCTTTTTCTTGTACGCCAGCGATGCGAGGGTAAAGGCCTTCACGTAATATCTCCTCCGAGCTCCTTCGCCGAATCGTGGGCTCGCTGCAAATGTCACGAAATGTCTCCTCTGACCGTGTCCGCCGTATTTTCGGCATGCGGCAACGTCGACGGGATGTTCGCTCTGACCGCCTTTGTGATCGTTCAGGGAACTGTGGGATGTTTTCGTGCGTCCCACGGTGGTCTGCAAAACTGTCAGTAAGCGTCTCTGACAATGTAATAGAGAACCTACATATCTCAGCATGGATTTCGGTATGAGCATGGTAGCGACAAATGTGAATTGCGCTGTATGCGGCCCAGTCCTCTAGCCTCTTAACCCGTCGATTCAGCATAGGGGCCTCATCAGCGACTCTTAAACGTTCTATGACATCCGCGAAGAACAACGACTGGTGATCTATCTCCTGAAACTCGAGGGAGTTGCACCAAACGAAATAGTTAACAAGAAGTCTGCACATGCCGCTCTGTGGACCAGCGTGGACGTGAAGATGATCCAAGGTTTGTAGTAACAAGTTGGGCGTCCGGTCCCTGAGAGTCAGAAGCATGAGTCCTATCATGTAGTCTTGAAGGGGATAGATCCTGTTCATGTGCGCGAACACGTAAATGTTGATGATTTCTGTTTCTAGAACCAGGGGGATGCCATGGTCTTCCCAGAGCAGGATTCGGCCCGTCTTCAGCCATCTTTCGACGTTTCTTAGGTTCTACCCGGGTAACAGCGCCGTGGGTCCAAGGTCAGCCGGAATGTTGCGGAACACCTCAGCGTAGTAGCCTAGCAAGTCGCGATTTGTCTCGAAAAATGGCACCCAAGGGTATATGCTATGCGCATCATAAGCGAACGCTGCCACGATAAGTGTGCATCTAACTTACCACATGGGCGGATCCGCGGCCCAAGGACACAGAGTGACCATGGAAAAATGAATGTGTTAAGGTCCCACCAAAAATGGCGGGACTTACGATGGTTATATTGTCGTTGAACAGATGCAGATAATGGATGTTGATCAATAGCGAGAGTTGAAATGGATGAAGCATAGAAAAAATGTGCTTTGAATGAAGTTAGGAAACAGTCGGAGATCTGTCTGTCAGTCTGTCTAAGTCCAGGAGATTGGGCATCCGCGACCAGCAAAATGAACAAGCAGCACAGCATGTGTGTGTACTGCGCCTTCTTCACTGAGAATTGAGTCGACCCTGGCCACCTAGAACCGTCTCGAACAAGTTCGCGAAAATGCTTTTTAGAGTGATCTAGCAGGCAGAGAGGATCAGAGGCATCCTGGGGCGATGTCTGCCTCATCTTCTGTTGCTAGCGTATTGACGTGTCGATACCAGTGAAGAGCGAGGGAAGCTCATACCGTGAGCATATTAGGCTTCCTTATCGACAATGAGATGAACAGCTTCGTTTCTCTTAGCTCTATCAGTCGCATTTTACTAGTCTTGAACTTTCTGAAACAAGCGATAACTATCTTGACTCGAAAAAGATTCAGGATGATGATGACCAAAGTAAAAGAAATATCGAAGTATTATACACAATTACATACCATGATACAGGCAGGCTCATTACCCTACAAATACATGTTGGCCAGGCGTTCGAAATAGGCCCTAGCTTGCTTCACATCCATATTCACAGCCAGCTTTCCCCGTCTCTTCTCGGTCTCCTGAACTGCTCTACCGAGTACTTCTTGCAAGACACCCTCCGTCGCGGACATGTTGGGTTGATTGACCGCTTCCATTTTCAGAGACTGGCCTGAGACCTCGCTGGGACCGACGACAATGATGTGATTGTACCTCTTCTTCTGCGCATCCGCGATCTTCTTTCCAAGGGACCGTGCGGACGTGTCTACATCAATAGGAAGATGCACGGCCGATAGTGGCCGAGGCGTCGGTCTTGCGGAACTTTCGTTGGTCGAGGGGGCGTGCGGGTGCTGCAAACCGGACAGGACTGACTGAATATGAGAGACGTGTCTCAATAATTCCGCATCTTGATTGAGCGAGAGAATGATAGCAGGCCGCGGCGAGAGCCAAAATGGGTATGTCCCTGCATAGTGCTCAATCAGAAGCGCCATGAAACGCTCTAATGAACCATAGATGGCACGGTGTACGATAACTGGCCTGCGATTCGCAGAATCTAGCTGTCCGCATTCTTGCTGCGACATTGGTGCTGCAAGTTCTTCCGGAGAAGCCTGGTATTGCAGATCAAACCGTTGCGGTAGCTGGAAGTCGAGTTGTATGGTTGCGGTTTGGTGTTCTTTTCCATTGGAATCTTTCAAAATGATATCGATCTTGGGGCCGTAGAATGCGCCATCCCCTTCGTTGAGATCCCAATGTCTGCCGCTGTTGTCCAAAGCAGTCTTCAGCTGTTGCTCGGCTCGATCCCACTCCTCCACTGTCCCAATGAAATGGTCTTGTGGTCGTGTAGACAACAGCAGCTTGTACGGACCCAGTCCGAACGTGTCATAGACCATACCGACAAACCTAAGCGTCTGATCGATTTCCGTTACGATTTGATCTGGCCGGCAGAATATATGAGCGTCATCTTGGTGAAACCGCCGTACTCGGGTCAAACCGGTCAATGCACCAGAAATCTCATTCCTGTGCAGCGCGCTGAAATCGGCGTACCGGATGGGCAAGTCCCTATAGCTTCTGATATTTTCCCTGAATAACAAACAGTGACCAGGGCAATTCATCGGCTTCAAACCAAACTCCTCATCTTGACCTGCCTCTGCGTTCTGCGTCTGTCCGGTTGCACCCCGACCTTGCACGCTGAACATGTCTTCCGCATAATTGTCCCAATGACCGGATGTTTCCCACAATGACTTCTTGTATATTGTTGGAGTTATCACCTCCTGGAATCCGAACTGGGGATACTGGGCGCGCAGGAAGGATTGAAGTTTCTGGAAGATGTAGGCGCCATTTGGTAGAAGAAGAGGGGATCCCGGGCTATATGGCGATGTGATGAATAGATCATGGGTTTGCGCAAGCGCTCGATGGTCGGTCGGAGGAGTAGGCGGGTTAGACGTCGTGGGATTTAGAACCGGATTGGCGTCGCGTGTATGGTTGGATGTCACCGGAAGACTCTCCTTCTGCGACGCGGTACAGGAACAGCCTCTAACGAAGACCCTTCCATATCTTGCTTTAGCTCTCGAAGTTGACTGGGCACATCTAAGGATATGCGACAATGGGAAAACTCGCGGTGGTGGCATTTGAAGGTTTGCGAGCTTGTTTTGACAGCCAGTTCATTACGGCTTGATATGGCTAGCGGCCTTGGCATATCAAGCCATCTGCAACCCTAATCCGACGTCGTCCTACTTTCTTGAGACTGACTGTACTTGTACTTGATGCTCGGCGTATGCAACAACAGCCATGTCTGTAGTACGCAGGGAAGAAATTTACTCAAACGTTGATCAGTTCCGCAGTGCACCGCCACAGATCCGCCACACCTCTCACCATACCAGTTCATTGGCTAAACACGTCATAGCAACTTGAAAGCGGCGACGACAAGGCAAACAACTGTACATATAAACTGCACTCGTATACTTTCTGCTTGTGTTGACCAGCATTAGTTTAACCCTTCAGTTTCCTTTTGGTGAACTTTACAACCGGGCAGTTTCCTTACATCGTTAGTTCTCATCCCTCGTCGAGCGCCACCCGGGTTCCGCAACTCATGACATGAGTAGCAGGCGAGCTCAAAGACTGCCTGGCAGCTTGTATGCTTCCTGGGAGGATGCTGAGTCTGGCATAGACGATGACCCCTCGGTATACTCAGTGTCGGACGTGGCATCGGACTCTGGCGTTGAAAGCGATCTGGAATATCCCGCTCTCGGAAACAAAGAACCGAACAAGATAAAGTATGATTCCGTCGACACTGTACAATGCAGAGGAATAGAAGGATCCGCCCGGACGTCTACAACACCGGTTTTCGAGACTCCCAGGCCTGGGAGGTCGGCTCGGCTTTCACCAGCGAACGCCCTTGTTTCGCCCAGCGCCGCCCCACGGACTAGAAATCTGCAGGAACCCACATTCATAATGCCCTCCAACTTTGGTACTCCGCAATTTGTTGACAACCCCTCCCCCACCAACCAGCCTAAGATGCGAGGCCGCAAGGTTCGCATGCCACGATCAGAATATGTCGATGGAAGATCAAAACCCCACAACGCAAGCCGACGCGTCTCTAAGCAACCATCTTCCCAGCTTCCATCTCAGGGCAACTTGAAACAGGGTCATGGATATCATTTTCAGGTACTCTGGCCCATGTTACGGTACCTGATGAATCTTCTGGGGTTGACCATGGGTTACCTCCAACCCTTATTCGCTGTCGGACTGGCACTGTGTCTGTTGGCCTTGGTGTTGGGACAAACCTCGTTCTACGTAAAGAATTGTGTCCAAACGGTACTCTCGCCCCTGTGCGCAGTGCCATTCTCTTCGCACATCCTGCCATTTTGCGCAGAGTGGCAAGATCCGGCAGGCAATAAGGCAGTCGAACCGGATTTTGAAGGACTCATGAACATTCAGTCGAACTTTGAAGATATTGTAAAAGAAAATCAGCTTTCCGCGGTTATGCCATACGTCATGAAGTCCTCGCAGGCCGCCATCCGGGATCTTAGAACAATAGTCCGGTACTCCCGGCTTCCCTCAAAGAACCAACTGGAGGTAGAGTTTGATTCCTTCATCGAAACCGCGGGCCAGGCCACTCGCGACTTGATCGCATACAACGCGAAGATTGGATTAACGGTAGACATGATCATTCACTCGAACCAATTCACAATGAGAGTACTTCATGGAATTTCGGAGGATGCCAACGCTGGGCTGCTCGAGACTGCCTTCAATAAGCTGAGCGCATTGGGCGGCTTCCAACCGCCACCGAAGTCTCTGCACGAGAAAGTCTTCGATCAGTACCTTGATCACGTTACGGCCAACAAAGAGAGGATCCAAGATCTTATCCAAAGGAGTACGGCTCTACTAACGCTCATCGGATATATGGAGCAGCGGCTTGAGGCGATGCATGAGATCGCAGTCAAAGACAAAGTGGCCCTGTCTCAGAATCGCGACGAACTTCTCACACAGCTTTGGACAAAGCTGGGGGGCAACTCAGCCAGCCGTAAAGATCATGAGAGGCAGCTTGAACTTCTGAATCAGGTGTCCCGATACCGTCACGAACTTTACAAAAACGTCAACTCGATCCTGATCAAACTGCAAGTGACCGACGCGGCACTGGAGGACTTGAGAGACACCGTTGCTGAACCGGAAAAGTTGGGGTACCGGAGAGATGTTCCCATCCACCACTATCTAGGTTTGGTAGAGAAATCAACCAATAGACTGCAGGATGCCCGAGGAGAGGCTAGGAGGCTGGAGAATATGGCCTATGAGGCTGGGATGGGGAGGTACGGTGGTGACACATCTCGGGAACTTCCTAGTGGCAAGGAGCCTCCAGTCGTATGGGCAAGGTAGATGGCAGTTTTGAGTGAGGATTTGGATGATGGTCGCTGGATTGGACGCAGGTACAGCTTGTATGGTGATCTCGAATATTGGATACTCCATCTCTAGATCACCTTGACCTCCTCTTTTCCTATACTCATGTCTACTTGATAATTCATTTCTTTTCATCCCTCGCCATCCAAATCAGTGAGTCGCCATTGAAAGAGTGCATTGCGAGACGTTGATATTAAGTTGTCTTAGCGCAGACCTCCTTCCAAGGTTCCAAGGTTGCTAGGCCCTTATCGATAAGCTTTTCACCTCTGCCCCCGCCTTGAGCAATCTACATATCCTTCACCTTAGAGATGGCGCAACCGTTCAGTTTTGGGTTCTCGGGAGACGATATAGAGGAGGATCCCAATGATGCTCAGCTTTCCAATGATTCCAATACAGGGGCACGGGGTGAGGTTCCAGCTCCGATCGAAGCGAGGCGGCATACCTTAGACGAACTGGTGAGTAGCTGGTTTCCAAAACCTGCCTATTCTATATAATGCTATATCTTGCACAAATCCCCGGTCTTCACATTCGCTATGAAATCCACGGCATGCTAACCCCTTCGCAAGCTCACCACCCTCCCCTCCAAACTCTCCTACTCCCTCCTCCGCCTCACCTCCCCAAAAGGACACACAGCCGTCCTCCCCCGGCGCGAACTCTTCGATGTCCGCCTGCAACTCATGGCTGAAGACGACCTCGACACCTCCGCGACCTCCACCTCGACCAACCCCGCCCTCTCCGCCCTCTCGTCCTCGGACCTCCAACCCAACGTCTACGAAGGCGGCTACAAGACCTGGGAATGCAGCCTCGACCTCGTCAAGTTCCTGCTAGACCGCGGACCCAGGCGAGACCTAGATGACATGTATCGCGTCCAACATGTCGTAGAAATGGGATGCGGGACCGCATTGCCCTCGTTGCTGTTATTCCAATATGCCCTGAAGAATCGACTACGGATGGACTTTACACTCATGGACTACAACTACGACGTCCTCCGCCTTGTTACCCTGCCGAATCTCCTGCTCACCTGGGTGTCCACGCTCCCTGTCCAAGGCACCGTCGAGCTCTTCGGCGAATCCGCGCAGAATCCCATCGCGCTAGCGATCCAGGAACAGGAGCAACAGCAACAGCAAGAAACCAGCAATAATCCCAAAGAGCACGACTTCGCCGCCGACGACCTAGACCTCACCCCGGCCCTCCTCACCACCTTCCGCGCCTCCCTCCTCTCCCTCGGTATAAAACTCTCCTTCATATCCGGATCCTGGTCCCCCACCGCCAAACTCCTCTCTCTCGTGCCCAGCGCCCAGGACACGACGACCCTGATCCTGGGCTCCGAAACGATTTACAGCCCCGGTTCGCTATCTGCGTTTACGGAGGCGGTGGCGGCGCTGATTAAAAGGGTGAGGGAAGGGAAGGCGCTGGTGGCGGCCAAGAGGGTGTATTTTGGGGTTGGGGGCAGTGTGGACGGGTTTAAGGAGGAGTGCGCAAGGCAGGGTTGTGTCGGGGTGGAGGTGGAGTTTGAGGGGTTGGAGGGGGCTGGTGTGAAGAGGTGTTTGGTTGAGGTGGAGAGGCTGTGATGGGGGAGGGTGGTCGAAGGGTGTTGGGAGTTGTGAGTTGAAGATTCCTATGAGGCTGTTATGAGGTTCATGGGACATGGGAGATGCGTTGAAAATGGTTGTTCGTTTCTTTAAGTCACTATATGAATACAGACGTATCTAATCTACCCAGGTATCAAGCCTTCATATCTACTCTTGTTCGTCGTCTTACAACCTCTGATCCGGGTACGCAAGTGCAATATGCGCCTTCTAGTACCAGGGTTATTCTTCTCCTCCTGATCCTCGCGCACTGCGGCCCCAAATGCGTCAACCAAGTCGGCTCCGGAGTCGCTCGTACAACTTCTACGCGCAGAATCCCATCGTATTCACGGTCCTACTTCGCACCGCCCTCCTGCGGCGTAAGGGGATCCTCCTCCTCCATCGCCAGCGCCGCCTCGACCACATCCTTTGGCAACTCCAGATGGCCCGTATCTTCGCCAGCCTCCTTCATGGCCTCGATAATCTCCACCCTTCGCAGAATCTGCCTGCGTATCTCCGTCACGGCGGCGGCCAGGACAGCCGCCTCGCTGCGGCCATGGCCCGCCATGCCGGGCACGATTTCGGCGAGCCGATCATAGGCGGCGCGGATGACCTCGCGGCGACGCTGCTCCGAGTCGGTATGGTTCTTCTTCCTCTGCAACTCGGTGAGGCGCGGGCGGTCGGCTCTGCCGGTCGCGGTGGTGCCGGTGGGTGACATGGATTGGTGGGAGGAGGAAGGGATGTTGGAGAGGTTGTTTGTGGTGATGGTGGTTGTTGTGCCGTTTGATGCCATTTCGGAGAGATAGGTGATATTTTGTGTGTTCATGATATGTCGTCAGGATGGCGCACCAAGCCGGTCCCTTGCGGTGACGTGTTGATGAATCCCTTGCGATTTATCTTCAGTCGATGCCCTCGGGGTATAGCCGTCGTCGTGGTAGAAATGGATGGTGAAGTGATGTTTGCGGAAGGGGGATGGGGATGAGAGCAGGTAGCACCCTCGGCTCCTCTGGTGGCAGGTGCATCGAGCCGTCCGCTAAGAAGGAGCGAATGTGTGCGGATGACGAGCGGTGACGTTCGGAGACGCGTGGTGGCGACATACGATCGTGAGGGAAACGCGACGGCGTGAAGATGGTGAGGCGGCCGGGCGCCGTTCAAAGTTCCAAGGTAGCATGTGACATCGAGCCCTGTGCACGGACCAGAAATCGTATTCGGGGAGGGGCAACCCCAAGGGGGTGTGTGGCTGTTGCTCTCGTGGCTGAAACATCGAAGGAGGAAAGGAGGAGGGGTGAGAGAGGGTAGCGCTGAGAACGGGGGCGAATCCATATCAAAGGCCAAAGGATTGTTTCTGCTTGAAGCTAAAGAAAGATCGTCAGCGGTAAGCCGACGTGGCCTTGCTGTTGGTGCTTGCTGTTTTATTTACGCCTTGCCTTGCCTGGCCCGTGGATCTATCTGTGACGCACCACACCCAGAATACACCACCACGACTACTACTCACCTCCAAGCACGTCGCAGTCCCTGGGCATGCTACCACTGCCACTGCGGAAAGAGATCGATTGCCCAGGGAAGACGATTACTGCTCCTGTGCTAACTTTTGCAATCTCCGCACCGCCCGCGGTTCCAGTATCAAACACCAACCCCTCGCCCACAGCTCTGTCTCTCTAGCCCACGAGAGCAAGTTCAGCCTGGGCATTCGATTCCTTCTCCAAAGGTGCTAGCTAGATCACGATAAAACGCATTCCTAGCTTTCAGAGCTCTCCGGGACTTCAGCCCCTCGCCCACTATGTCGTCCCGGAGCATCAATCATCGCAGACTAAACAGCGTCCAGCAACAGGACCGCCTCCAACGCCAGGGCTCCAAGAGCAAGCGCACCGTCTCCGCCCAAGATGCCTACCTCTATGCCCTCCGCGTAGCCTACCTCGCATACCTGCTCCAGCCGCGCCAGAAACGGGTCCAGCATGTCGCTGCCCCAAAGCCGGTCCAACGCTCCTCCACCTCCGTCGCCGATCTCGTCAAGGATTTCTCCCTGATCCGAGACTCCAAGAGCACACGATTCCCACATGGGTTCATGAACGAGTTGGATAAGCGCATAACAGGGGTCTTGGTGGGAAAGGAGCGGCGACCGGAATACGCAGACGCCGCCGTGAAACGCACCTTCGCCGTCTTCCTCAACGAGTTCAAAGCGCCCCAATTCCGCAAATCCATGGAGAAGGACCGTAGAGTGGAGGATCTGCTGCTCATCTTCTTCTCAAATGCGACCAAGGAGCTCGGCAGGGGGAAGCCCCCGGGCGACGACAGCTGGAAGCTCATGGTGGATCGTCACGTCGCGCTCTTCGTGAGGTTGATTAGCTCGACGCTGAGGGATCATGACTGGGCGAGGGATCGGCCGGAGCTGAGCTCGAGGCTGAATACCATGGAGAAGAAGCTACTCATGCATGACCAAGATCTCTCGGCGGACAATCAGCGGAATGGCGGTGCGGGCGGGTCCTCCATCGAGGTCGAAGTACCGCGGAGCTACGAGGTCAAGGATATGCCATTGGTGCTGGTGGTGTCGCGGATATTCGGTATATCTTACCAAGACGTGCAGACGGACGTCAATCGGTACAAGTCTGTCTGGACTGAGAAGGCGGCATTGCAGGACTTGAAGACCTATCAGGCACATCTGAGTTTGATGAGCAAGAAAACGCTCAACAGCGACGATTTCGATTTGGAGGAGGCATACGAGGCGTGGAAGAATCAGGAGATCCCCGATCTGTCGCAAATGATATTGGCGATTGTGCAGTCGAACCCTGAGTTGGCGAAGAGCTCACCTGGTGGGAGTCTACCTCAGTTCAAGCCCAGTGCCGCAGCAGATGTAGGGTATTCCGACGCATCCATCACCAATCCGGCCTCTACGGAAGCCTCGTCTTCCTACGTGATTGACCAGCCCGTGGATATGAGCGCCCTCAGCCTTCACGACAGCTCGGAGGATGATGGCGCTGCCTTCACATTTATCCCTCCAGATCCTAGGACATACTACCGTGCCATCGTCAAAGAAGCCCTGACTTACGACCTCGCCGACACGGAACTCCAACCCAGCGAGGCAACTAACGAGACGCCCTCGATAAAATTGCTGTCCAAGCAGTCGGCAGAGCTACTGAACGAGATTGCGCTGCGGTGGAGACTTCCGTACCCCTCACGCCTCGTACTGTTTTTAGATGTAATACGGGAGAAGTATCAAGAGCGGGAAATCGACCTGGACACTCTCGACGCCGCCTTCAACTACGTCAAGGAGCCACCGCCCACGGACAAGAAGGCACACAGGATGAGCCACGTACCAGAGAATCTGTTCGACCGGACAAAGTGGCCCATTGCTGATTATGCGCTCAACCAGCAGATATTGAGCGCTTTGCATGACTGTCTGCTGCGGGAGCTCTTTGAGATGATGCTCCTGGTGTACGATACAAAAGCGCCACCGCTTGGTCCAATTATGTATGTTTTAAACAATCACATCTACGATGACCCCTTATTCAGCGCGGCACCCGAGGCTCTGGACGAGTTCACGTTGCAGTTACAAGGGGCACTTCGGCAACGGGCAGCGGAGGTATACCGCGAAATGCTCGCAAAACACATCCCGGAGATGAAGGAGCAGTGGGAATTCTACCACGTGATAGAGCTCGGGCGAGCCGTCGTCAAGTTGTGCGAAAGGATTCAAAAGCGCTACCGCAAGAATCCGCAAATCATGGGCGTCAGTCCCATGATGTGCCTCGTCGAAGAAATGTTCCCTGCGTATGCTGCAGACGCCCGAGATCTCGTCGCCCGAATCATGGATGTTGCGCATGAAAAAGGTGAGGAGGTGCCTATACCGGATGGCTTCGAGTTGTACAAGGAGCTTGTCGATATTCGTCGCATTCACGCCGAGGCTCTGCCAGGACGTCGCTTCGGCTTTAACCTGGAGGGCTTACTGCAGGACTTCGTCTGGAGATGGATAGAAGCCACGGATGCGAATATCGTTGGCTGGGTGGAGAATGCGTTCAAAGCGGATCTATTCAAGATTGAATCACAGAACCCGGACCCCTCCGACGACGAAAGGCACAGTGTCTCGGTCGTTGATATCTTTCGGTCGTTCAATCAAAGCGTTCAGCAGATCATATCCTTGAACTGGGACGACGACCTGCAGTATGCGAAGTTCATGACAGCTCTATCAAAGTCGATAGGACGTGGGCTGGCTAGGTACTGTGAGCTGCTCGAGCAGAAGTTCAGCAAGGAGATGGATCGTCTGACGCCAGAGCAAGAGGCGGCTGCACGGCAAACGCGACAGGAGAAGTGGATCTCTATGGCAAAGGACTTTTATGGCCAGAAGGATACGATCGAGCCTTTCCAATTTTGGCCCGAGGTAAGAATTCCGCTTGAAGATGCACAACTCAATACTGATTCCCGTGCAGTCTCTAGTGAAACTGAACAATGTCGAGTATGCAATGCAGCAGCTTGACAAGTTGGAGCGCGAGATCAACGTCGATGCATGCGCCGACGTTATACAGAAGAACACGCCGCCCGCGTCACAACGGGACCGCAGACCCGCCAACTACGTCTTCACTATCAAGATCATAGAAGCGGAGGACCTCAAAGCATGTGATATCAATGGACTTAGCGATCCTTATGTGGTACTGGGCGATGAATACCAGAAGAGGCTCGCGAAAACTCGCGTCATTTATGGTAGCCTGAACCCCCGGTGGGAGGAGACAGTCGATATCACGACCAATGGTCCTCTCAATATCATTGCGACGATTTGGGATTGGGATACACTTGGCGATCACGACTGTGTCGGTCGCACGTCTCTCAAACTTGATCCTTCGCATTTCAGAGATTATATGCCTCGGGAGTATTGGCTGGATCTGGACACGCAAGGCCGATTGCTACTGCGTGTTAGTATGGAGGGCGAGCGTGATGACATTCAATTCTATTTTGGCCGTTCGTTCAGAACTCTGAAGAGGACTGAGAGAGACATGACGCGGACCATTACGGACAAGGTGTGTAATTCAGCACATGTGTTGACGGTGCTAACAACGTGCAGCTCTCGGCATTCATCCACCACTGCCTGTCTCGCAGAGCTCTGAAAGCCATGCTTAACAAGGGTATCTCTGTATCCTCGGTAACGAGCTACTTCCGAGCAACGAGACCACAGTCTGTGGCCCAAGCACCCACACAGCAGGATGTTACGAACGCTCTGGAGCCGCTATTCAATTACTTCAACGAGAACTTTGCAATCATGAAGCAGACTCTGACGGACTCGGCCATGATAATGGTCATGACACGGTTATGGAAGGAAGTACTTTCCACCATTGAGTCTCTGCTCGTCCCTCCGCTGTCGGACAAGCTGTCCCAGCAGCGTCCCCTGACACAGCAGGAGCTTGACATCGTCTTCAAATGGCTCAAGGTGGGTCCGTTTGTCATTTCGCACAAACCACCACTAACGACACCAGCTCCTCTTCGACTTCTTCCACGCCGTCGACGAAGACGGCAACGTCAACGGCGTCCCCATGGACATTCTCAAATCCCCCAAATACCACGAACTCCAGAACCTCAACTTCTTCTACTTCGAAACGACCGAAGACCTCATCCGCACCTCGGAAGCCATGGCCGCCGCCAACGCCAGGCGCCAACAGGAACACTCGGCGAGGTTCCTCAACAGCAACAGGATGTCGGCGCCGGCGGCCATGGGGCCGCAATTCGGAGGTGCCATGGGCCTGCTGGGGATGCCGACGAGGAAGCACAAGACGATTCTTCTGAGCAGGAACTTGGGCACGATGAAGAAGGCCAAGGAGGAGAAGAGGAGGGAGGCGCAGGCGGAGCCGAATGATGATATGATTCTCAGGATACTGAGGATGAGGCCTGAGGCGGAGAGGTATTTGAAGGATCGGAGTAGGCAGAAGGTATGTCTCTGTTTATTCATATCTTCCGGCAAGGAGCGGCTGGATGGCTAACGACGACGGTTTAGGAGAGACTAGCTGCTGCGCAGGCGGCCGAGATGATTGTGCGGCAGAGCCTCAATGCGGGCGGCGGACGGATGACGGGGACGCTGCCGCGGAGGTAAATCAGCATGAAGATGCGTCATCTGACTGAGCGGTTGGGCGTCGAGCGTTTGTGTACTAGGGTTTCGGGGTTTTCTTCTCTTTTCTTCTCTTTTTTCTGCTTGTTATCTAGATACCTCTGCATGGTCTTATTTTTCTCCTTCTACGGTGTCTTCTGGATGAATGATAGCAAGGCCTTATGGCTTATGGGCTATTGCTACTGAGGCAATCGCTATGTCTTCTAGGCGCTTTCTTCTTGGATGCGGGTGTCTGGGCCGGGAGGTGTCATAATGGGGAGTACGGATGTCGGAAGAAGGGATTAATTGCACGCTTCACTTCGCTTGGTGGAGATTGTTGCTAAGGCTTTGCACGTCCCGAGTGAACACTTCTCGTGCGATTCCTGTGTCCCTGAGAGTACCTCGTTAGCTAGCGCAAGTAAGCCTGATTGCAAGGTCTGTTGTGATGCTGCACCTCTTGGCCGTTTGATTGGAGGTGGAAGGCAGCAGTAGGAAGAGTGGCCGGATGGGTGTTGAGTCGGATGTGAAAGGAGGCGGTACACGAGGTTTTGGGGGACGTGGAAGTGGGGTATAGGGAATGTAATAGTGATAATAATGTGAGGGTTTTGCATTTGAACAGCACTGTGCACGTGGTATCTTGTAAACATGAGTGTGATACGGTTTGCTATATAAGTAGAGAGCTAAACAGAATCAAAGATGAACTACGCGAGAAGTAGGGGAGCAACGAAAAGAAGTACAAAAGCCTATAGCTATAGATGGCATTTATTAAGGGTCGGGACCAATGACCAAAGAGAAGGAAATGTTCTTTTTTTTTTTCATTTTTCATTCTTTTTTTTCCTTTTTGAATTGGTTTTCCAATTTTCTCTTGCCGCATTTTCGTCCTAAAAGCAGATTCCCTGGAGGAGATTTCACTAGGAAAACGATCAACCCCCCCCGTTTCCCTGCAGCTACAGTGATATCAATCTGGACATTTCTACTTCTCTCATCGTGAACAGCAACCTTGTCTGATACTAGTCCGGGGTTTCTTCCTGCCTCCACACTCGCGACTGCATGTCTCGCTCAAAATAAAAGCACATTTAGATCTCGGACCTCGGGTTTGGAAAAACGGCCGTACTCCTTGCTCAGAAGCAGGCCAAAACAGATCAAGGCCGAAAGGAAGAGAGAATGAAACGTGGGTTTCCCGAGTACGACACCCATCCCCAACCACATCGCCACTGAACAACCATCGCTCGTCCGCACAGCCCAAAAGACCCAATCACCTCAAACCTTTTTGCTGCTTTCGCTCCTCGAGCCAATGGTAACGAAATCGTTCATACCCAAACCCATTCATCTCTCATCCCATGTCAACACCCCCTCACTTAACGAGCATTCATCGCCTCCGACAACCCAAACCCCCTCTCCGCAACCTCCTTATCATACGCCTCCACCTCCCACCTCGTCGGCCTCTTGCCCAACCCCTCGCACCGTATCGGTCCCTGGCCAGGACACCTCACCAATTTGAACCGATACACGGCGCCCTCATGCTTCAACCGCTCATATCCGACAACCTCGTACAATCCATCGTACCGATATCCCCTCTCCGGCCGGTACGGATTGCCCGAGGGCAGATTGGCACTACGGATCAATCTCACCGGCTGCCTGTCCACGTTGGGTCTGCCCTTAGGTAAATCGCAACTCTCTATCAGCCTAGTCGTATTCTCCGTCGGTGCCGTAGCACCATCCTTCGCTTCCGTCCCACAGTACAGCACCACGTCGCCCTCGTCCTTGTCTTCGTAGCCGCTTCCTCCGGCGACAATCACACTATACGCGCCTTTGCCCTTCTCACCGAAGATTCCGCCTTGGGCCGACCCGTGTGCGCCATCCCGCACCGTGCAGAGCTGGGTAGGCCACCACTGCCCCAGCACGAGATCGCCCTGGCCGTAGAAGTTTGCGTTGCGGCCGTACTTTCTCTTGAACTTGGCGTCAATCTTATCGGCGCTGCGGTTGGCGTCCTTTGTGAGGGAGGGAATGATTCCCCGAAGCAGCTCGATGGAGAAGTTCTTCTCGGACCACCGGACGTAGAGCTGTTTCGCGTCCTCTCTGATGTCGAGGGGGAAGGAATCCGCGGTGCGGTTCGTAGGGGAGAAAATGCGGGTAAGGCCGTTGTCGAGCATGTGCGCACGAGCGAGGACGTACTCGTCGATTCCCGGGAGGAATTCGGCTTTGTGGATGTGGTTGCGGAGCTCGTTGAATTCCTTGTCTAGGGTGGCTTGCCACTGGATAGTAGGGTTGCTGCCGCGGGAGGTGGAAGACGAGGCGGTGGCGGATTGTTGGATCAGGGCCTCGCAGCGTGAGATGCAGTCCTTGAAGCTGCCCAAGGTGGCGTGGAGCTGACGCTTTGCTGGGTCTTTGGCCGTTTCGATCATGCGGCGGGATTTGGGGTTGATGGTTTTCCACCATTCTTTGACGACGGCAGTGGGAGTGGCTGTTGGCGAGGTGAGGGTGTTGCGAGTGGGCGTTGTTGCAGTAGGTGAGGTCGAAGCAGTAGTGGTCGTAGTGGTAGATGACGAAGCAACGGGTGCAACGGGTGCAGCGATGGTTGGTGTAGGCCTAGGCCGTGAAGTAGAAGGCGCGTTGGAGGTAGAGCCACCAACAGCCTGCGAGACGAACAGCCCATCACGCTGGCCTTCCCTAGATGAACCCACCACCGTCGTCCGCGGCGATATCTTCTTTCTCTGTGTCTCCCGGATCTCGCCCTCCTCCGTTTGCGATCGCCGAACGTGCAAATCCTCATCAGGCATCTGAACAGGAGCCCCGTCGACCTCCCCTTCTTCCCTCTCGGCCGCACTCTTCTTCCTTCCGTTCGCCTTCTGCTTTCCCTGTCGAGCTAGATGCGCAGTCCACAGATCAGCCGTCTTCTTCTGCTTCTCCGCCATCTGGCGGTTATGCTCCTCCGGTGTCAATTCAGCCATTTGCTGCGCACGCTGCATATCTGCGCGCGATTGCGCTGGGAGAACCCACAGCTTACGCAACTTGGCGGGTACTTCGTCAGTGGAAATCCTAACTGCAGTGGCATATGAAGTCCTGGTAGGAGTAAAAGAAGACGAAGAAGAGGAAGAAGAAGAAGAAGAAGCAGCGACAGCAGCAGAAGCAGTAGTCGAAGGGCGCTGCTGCAGTCGTCTCACTTGCTCCACGGTCAGCATCTGGGCGACACGAGCACCTTCAGCCTGTCGCTCATTCCACCTGCGAGTATATTCTGCATGGGTTATTCCGCCCACTTGCTCGGCTTTTCTGATTTGAGCTTGCAGCTCTTCGGAGAGCGCCAAGCGGGGGATGCCGATGGTCCTGCGGTTCTGCGCCATCGGGAAAACTAAAAGGCACAGAGCGAGGATGGAGTTATTGGATGAGAGTGTGTTCTGTTCGAGGGTTGTTAAAGAGAGAATGAAGAGGTTGTTGTTGTTGTCATTGTTGAAAGTAGCGGAGGTAAAGGTAGAAGCTTAGGTAGGGCGAGACAGGTAAACGACAACGTCTGCACCACTCACTAATACAGGATAGTGGTGTGCGACGATAATACCTCGAGATGCGGAGTAAGGATGTCGGCACTGTAATAGAATGCGACCCGAACGTCTGCTTGACAATATGCTCCTGCACTCACGTCCTGTAGGGAGGAATACCCGTTTCTCTCGCTTGACGCACGGGCTCACCTGGCGCACGATTTTCGCCGAGCAGCTTCACAGGCTTTTGAAGCTACTAGGCCTCACACAAATCTTTCTATCGCCTGATTTTAAAGACTAATAGGCAATCAAGTATGGAGAAAAGGTCTAGCTAGGTAGCTAATCGCAATATCTTGTAGGGAGGTTGATATGCCGCCCCCGACGATTTGTCGCCTGCGGGGCCTTGACGACCTCAACAACAGATTGCTTGCTGCTATCAAGCTTCTGAGGGACAATTAACTACTGTTTCCTTGCTTTTTGAGCCTGCTTAGCAGACTGGATGTCCTTTTGGAGCTGCGCAGCAGCAAGCCGGTCATGTCTGCTGTCCTCCTTTTCCTGCTGTCTCCGTGCCTGCTCTTGAAGCCGAATCTTCTTTGTAGTAGCCTTCATACGACGCCTCTCCTCCAAAGCCTGTTGCTTCTCAGCTTTCTCAATTGCCCTGCGCTGGATATCCTCCTGTTTTTGGAGTCTCTCTGCCCTAGCTGCCTCTGCTTTTTGCACCTCTCACTCACGTGCTATCTGCACCTTGTTTGGGCTCCAAAAGATCGCACCACCATCCTGATTTGGAGGTAGTTCAAGCTGGAGCACTTTGCCTCGCTGCTGCCACTTCTTCTCATTAACTAGCACTTTCTTCAGGCCTTGAACCTCCAATTTCAACAGTATATTCTGGGTCGATAGCGAGTGGATCGTCTGTGAGAGCTGCTGGGCCTTAGAATTATACACATCGTCAACTACTGCTCTCAGGATCTTAGAAACCTTCCTCCAATCCTCAGCTATGAGGACTGACCTTGAGCTCTCACTAGATGAAGGTCTCTCAGCCTCAGGGTTGCTGAAACGATCGAGGATGATGTCAGGCTGGAAAGGATAGAGGCTGCAGGCTTTGAAGCCAGAGAGGATCTATTGTGTGCGTTAATCCGTGATTCCTTGGCATTTCGCATCGCGTCTCATCCACCCACATTTTTTGTATGAGAACTCAGACAGAAATAAACTATACTGGAATCCCCACATACATCTACTAGAACTAGGTCAAACTTGAAGCTGTACGTTTATATGGGCAGAGGCCTATACTCACCTACTTATGGTGTTGCAGATGGCTCCAAAATGCACCCGTACGACGTCTACTCGAGCCGCTGCCGCCCGCGTATCTCCTCCGCCATCTCCATCCACCCGAGTTACGAAACTGAAGCTCAAGCTGCCTGCAAAGAGTGCCCTAAAAACTACGCAGAAAACGCCATCTAGGGCAGGTGTTACGAAGAAGAAGAGGGCTCCGCCAGTGCCTAAGAAGTCAGCGCATTCTGTACGATAGGGTAAGCAACTTACCCAAACCAACGAAGATATAGAGGGTGAGGATGAGGATGAGGAGAGGTTTGAAGCTCGTAACGCCACAATTACTGCAGAGCTAGATGAGTTATTTGCTCTCCCTCTACCTGGCCAGCCTCCCTCGTCGCCACCGATGGTTATACAGAGCTCATCTCCTCCACCACCTGAGCCAGTATACGACATTGAGATACAGTATCTCATCCATGTAAACAAGCACCGTGAATTGCAGGATTGTAGGAGTATAACACGGTGTAACTTTACGATATCGGCGATCGAGGACAAGGTTGAATCTCTTATCTCATCGGAGGTTTGTTCTGTACAAGGGAGAGAGTTTGACTGGGTAGGGAGGTTCATACAGTTCCGGGCAGATCACCCAAAGGGCAGCTGGATAAGCATGACGTTAGCTGATTTCAGTATCTTGGAGGGAGTCCGACTTACTGAGGCGATTGACAGGCACCTGGGATGCTTCCGGAGACCAGTAGATCACGTAGATGTGAAGCTGGAGATACAGCTTAAGGTGGAGGCTCTCCAAAAGGCCTTCCGGACAAAGACAGCAAATGAGCCTTCCTCTGATCCTCAAGATAAAGATACTCCATTTCGAACCTGCCAGCTGCTAAGGGAGGAGCACCAGGCTGCCCACGCAGAGGAAATTGCAGCTTCTATAAGCCACCAAGATGCTATTCACCGCATGTGGGAGTGCTGTACTGAAGAGTGTAACAACTTCAAACACTGGTGTTTTGTCTCCGGAGGTGCTCACTATGCAATTTGGCCTATAGATGGCGAGCACTGGTCGAGGTCAAGAGTTACTGGAGAGTCCAGCATCACCCTCCCTCACCATCATATAATCGAGGGCATGAAGATCCGAGGTGATCAGCTCGCATTAACCCAAATAACAAGAAGAGGAGGAAGCACGGGGACTCGTCGTCGTCAGATGTAGGTTATCGACTGAGGAAGATGCAAGAGCAATTTATGGAGAGTTAGTTAATGAGCTAGATGGTGCAGATGCAGGAAGATGAGGCCATATGCAGTGAGCGGAGAGATCTCCAGCGCCTCCAGCTTGATCAGGTGTACGCAACAGTCAGGCCATCTGCTGTACATCGGCCAGCAACTCCACGAGATATTACCTCTGCTGGTGAGGGTGTTGCAAGCCAGCCAACCTCCACCCAAAACACTACCTCTTCAAGCCCAGTTTCCAGCGCAGGGAAGGAGGATACATGCCAGACTGTAAAGGACTTTTTTAAATGGCTTATTGCGCAGCAACCAGCGGAGGATCGTGGGCCATACGAGGCAGCACAGCGCGTGGTGATTGAGGAGATGTGGACTATTAAGGACCTAAAAGATATGGCGAAGTTGAAGAGCGATCTACACGATCTGGCGGTTAATCGATACAAATTAAAGGATGGAGTAGTACGCCATTTCAAAGAGGAGCTTCGGCACTTCAAGAGTGTATATCGTACAGCTAGTAGTTTGGTAGAAATAGGCACGAATTTGGGCACTGAAAGTAGGTAGTGAATCACATATATGGTGGCGAATATCGCCAGATTCTTCGACTGTAGCTACTGTCAACTACTACTACTCACCCACCTTACTCCTCTACCTCAAATTCGAACTCCCCCATCCTTTCAAGCTCTCTTATCTCTCTCCGTGCACGATCTAATACATCCTGCTCAACATACAGACCCCCAGCTGCGTACTTGAAGTGCTTCCTCATAAATCTATCACACTTTCACTCACCGCCGCCTGCAGAAAAGCCCCAAAGTTGCTACGGAACCGCTGCCGGATGTACAGATAATTGCGCTTAATCCACGCCTTTAAGACCCCAAATGAGAGCTCGATTGGATTGTAATCTGGCGAGTATGGTGGCAGATACTGGATGGAATACCCGGCGGATTCTATGAGGCTACGGACCTCATCATTCGTGTGAATTGACACATTATCTAGGACAATAACCAGTGGCTTTGGACCATAGATAACTCGGAGAGTTGGCAGCAGAGTATCTTGCAGGTATGTGAGGAAATCTTCATGGTTGAAATAACCCTCCTTTATAGCAGTACAGCCGCTAATATAGCCGTTGACAGTATAGGCAGGGAGAATCGCCCAAGTGCTCCCACGGGAGATATCTTGCGTGTATCGAGTCGTCGAGCCTACAGGTCCGTAAGCCATGTGGCCATCCAGTTTTCTCATTGAATATAGACTCGTCGAGGAAGACTATATCTTCTGCTGCGTAACGCCTCATCCTCTCACGATAGTATGCTCGAAGCTCCTCATTACGATTAATCGAAAATGGCGTCAGAGTCTGGTGGCTCCATCCTTTCCGGGAGAGGAAGTGGGAGACATTTGAGCGATCAATTCGTACGCCTCTCTCCACCCATAACCAATACGCAATCTCATCCTGATACATCCATCCATGGCAGATAAGCTGTCGAAATAACGTTTGCGAATCGTCATCAGATATATGAGGTGGATGGCCGAGCCTGCCACATACAGGCGCTCGAACTGAGCCATAGTTTTTGAGGTTATTGGCCACGTTATAAACCGCTCCTTTCGAATAACCCTCCCAATCAGCAATCAGTTGAGGATGTCAACCTAGTAGCAGGAATCGGCATATATTCAATCGTGTATGATTACTGAGTCCGTGGGTGCTGATAACAGGTAGAGGAGGAGGCTCATTAATTGTGGGCAGCGTGGAGACTCCGTGGACGTGATACATGGTCTACTACAGTTAAAACTGCAACACCAGGGTATTACTATATTTGGCTATACTCACTGCAATTACAGCTTCAATTTGGCACAGAAAAATACTATATATCGAGAGATTCAGGTGAGTATTCTTCCTGTCTGCTGTACCATACAAATTTGTGTGGAGGATGAGACGCGACGTGAAATGCCAAGGAATCACAGATTAACGCACACAATAGATATTCTTAGCTGTAAAAGCCTTCTCCCAGGCAGCCCAGAACATACGGAAGAAATCTCACTTTGTAATTGCTGAGATAGCCTGAGAATCCTCCATAAATCATGCTACCTCGTACGAGTAAGCCTGTGAGAGAGGCCGGAACAAAGTAATATCAAGTGGCTGCAATGTATGAGTACTATGAGGAGGATAGACTGCTAGGAAGATCTTGTTGTCGTCACAGTACTTGATGAAGCTCATGTTGATATGTGAGCTATGGCTGTCGAGGATAAGCAGTCGATACTGCTGTCGAGCCTTTGCTTTAGTCTCTCGATCGAAGATAGTCTTCAACCATTGCAGCCCGAGGTTGTCGTTCATCCATCCACTAGGAGATGAAGCAAAGAAGGCCCTGTGTATCGTAGGATCAAAATCCTACAGCCACGAGTCTTGAATATTACTGTCAGATGGTAAGCTAGTTTATGAACATCCCATCTGGGACTGAAGAGGAGGACTGGGAGAAACTGTCTGTACCGGTACTGTCTGAGGACATGTGGCTAGTGATTTTGCAGTGGCTAGTGTCCTGCACAGCCTTGGTGCCCAGAGAAGGAACATCAAAACCGGTGTCAGGCCTCAGCCTCACCCACAGGAGCACACACCTGAATACAATCAGTCAACCCATCTTCATTCAATCTTTCTGTCACCGTGACATCTTCAGATATCATCAAATCTGACAATTAAGAGTCTCACTGCCTTTATCAACATGTCTACCAACATGATCAACAACCAAACTCAAGCCACTCTGGCTACCAGCAAGGACTGGACCTCCTGGTTC